ATAATAAAGAATACAAGATGAAATAAGAAGAAAAACCATAATAAAAATAAGGAAAAGACGAAAGTTGGAAGACGGGGACGAAAAAAACGAAAAAAAAAACAAAAGAAGAAAAGAATTGAAGAATATGTGAATAATAAAGAAGTTGAAAAAATCAAAAGATAAAAGGTGAAGAATAATAACACAAAGCAAATTGCAAAACAAATTGTAAATAAATTGAACAAAACGAATAAAAACTCATGAAATAAAATATGACGATGAAGAAAGAGGAAATGAAACAAAAAAAAAGTTGGATAAATTTTTTTTTAAAAAGGTAGAAAATGAAGAGAAAAAAATTTGAATGAAGTAGAAGACAAAGTAAAAGAATGCGAAGATAAAAAGGGGTTGGGGTTTACGAAGTACAGTTTATATTGATAAGTGTAAGGTTTTGTTTTTCATACATTTTTTTTTAATACACTAAATTACCGATTAAAAAGAAAAAAGAAAACTTCCTTAAAAAAAAAGAAAATAAAAAATCCAGAACCACTTTATAATGTGGGGTTCAGGTGTGCAGTTTATAGGGGGGTTATAATGTGGGGTTCAGGTGTGCGGTTTATGGGGGGGTTTGGATTTAGGGTGTAGGTTTGTTTAGGTAAGGGGGGATTATAATGTGGGGTTTGGGTTTAAGGTATAGGGTTTATATTGATGAGTGTAGGGTTTAGTTTTTGGTGCATTTTTAAAAATTTGAATTATTATTGAATTATATCAAATTTTAAAATTGTCGATTATAAATTTATATCTACCATTTTAAAATACATTAAGAAATAGAAAAAACCAAAATAATTAAAGCAAAAAATAAATCAAAAGATAACATAACAAATAAAATTTTAAAATATCTCGACTATATAAAAGATGAAAAATACTGCACGAATCCTTGAAAATATAACTATTGAATGAATTGATAAGTGAATTACAAGACGTAGACTAGAATGAAAAACAAGAGAGCAAAAAAAAAAGAAGTCGGAATATGGGAAACTTTGAAAATAAGAAGAAAACTTGAACACGAGGAAAAAGAAATCAAAGAAGAGAAAATGGAATCTGAAGAGAAAAAAAAAGAGAAAGTAGAGATAAATAAAAACTATAATAAGATTATGTCAGAGAAGACGAATATTATAAAGACAAAGAAAGAGATTGGGAATGAGGAAAGATTGAAGAATAAATATTGGGAGAAGAAGAAGAAAAAAATGATGATGACAACGATTAAAAAATGGAAGAAACAGAAAAAGATGGGAAACTTCGAGAAGAAGAAGAAAGTTCGAACATGAGGAATAAGAAATCAAAGAAGAAAACCTAGAATGTGAAGAGAAAAAAGACAAAGAAGATAAATAAAAACTAGAATAAGATGATGTCAGAGAAGACAAAGATGATAAAGATAGAGAGAGTGGGGGGGATTGAGGAAGAAAAAAAAAACGGAAAATAATGTAAAGAAAATTAGAAATTAAAGAAGAATAGTGAGTTGGAGGATATAAAAAACAAGAAAAGATTAAAGAACAAAAATTGGAAGTAAAAGAAGAAGAAGAAGAAGAAGAAAAGAAAAAATGATGACAACGAATAAAATATGGAAGAGAAAGAAGAAGAGTAGAGAAGAATAGGAGGCATAAGAAAATAACCATTACAAGAAAAAACTTATTTAAAAAAAAAGTAAATCCAAAAATAATGTGTGTGTATGGGACTTAGGGTGAAAGATTATAATGTGAGTTTGAGTTTAGGGTGTAGAAGGGGGAAGGAAGGGAGTTAATGTGAGTTTGAGTTTAGAGTGTAGGGGGGGTGAGGGGGGTTATAATGTGGGATTTGAGTTTAGGGTGTAAGGTTTAGATAAAATATGAGTAAAATAGTTTTTTCATATTATAAAAACTACGTTTAGTGACATACAAAGAAAAGAAGAAAAGAAAAGAAAAGAAAACATGAGTTAGAGAAAAGAAAACGATGGAAACGAAGATGCGAAATTTCGAGAGGAAGATGAAAACTTGAACACAAGTTAAAAGAAATCAAAGAAGCAAAAATGGAATGTGAAGCAAAAAAAAATAAAGAAGAGATTAATTAAAACTATAATAAGATAATATCAGAGAAGACGAAGATGAGGAAGAAGAAAAATCAGAAATATAATGTAAAAAAAAAATAGAAATAAAAAGAAGAATAGTGAGTTGAAGGATATGAAGACACAAGAAACGATCGAAGAACAAAAAATGGAAGATGAAGAAAAAGCAGAAAAAAAAGATGATGACAACGATAAAAAATGGAAGAAAAATGAAGAAGATAGTATCACTAGAGAAGAATAAAAGGGATAAGAAAACAACCATTAAAAAAAATTATAAATAAAATAAAAATAAAAGTAAATCAAGAACTAATTTGTAATGTGAGGTTTAGGTGTGTGGTTTAGGGGAGAATTATAATGTGGATTTTATTTAGGGTGTAGGTTCTTTAATTAGGAGGAGGGGGTTTTATTGTGGGGTTTGGGTTTAGGGTTTATATTGATGGGTGTAGGGTTTAGTTTCTGGTGCATTTTTAAAAATTTGAATTATTATAAAAGTATATCAAAATTAAAAATCACTGATTATAAATTTATATCTACCATTCTAAAATACACTCACAAATAGAAAAAAACTAAAACAATTAAAGCAAATCAAAATCAAAAGATAACACACAAATTAAATAGATTTTTAAAAGATCTCGACTATATAAAGATATAAAAATTTCACGAATCCTTGAAAATCTAAACTATCAAATGAATTGATAAGTGAAATATAAGACGTAGACAAGAAGGAATAAAAACACGAGTAGAATAAAAGAAGACGGTGGATAAGAAGATGAGAATCTTCGAAAGAAGAAGAAAACAAAGAAGAGGAAAAAGAAAACAAAGAAGAAAAAATAAAATGTGAAGAGAAAGAAGACAAATAAGAGATAAATAAAAATAGAATAAGATGATGTTAGAGAAGACGAAGATGATAAAGATAGAGAGAAGGGGAATGACGAAGAAGATAAACCGGAAAAAGAATGTAAAGAAAATTAGAAAGAAAAAGAAGAATAGTAAGTTGGAGGATATGAAGACACAAAAAAGGATTGAAGAACAAAAATTGGAAAAAGAAGAAGCAAAAAAAAAATGATGACAAAGAATAAAAAATGGAAGAAAAAAAAAAGATGGGATCACTGAAAAAGAATAAGAGGGAGAAGAAAACAATCATTACAAAATTTAACTAATTTTTTTGTGTTTTCACAGTTTATAAGTTTATATCAAATTAACAAAATGTTAAGCTAATATTAATGAATTTGTGAATTAACAAAATCTAGACTATCGAATGAATTGATAAGTGAAATACAAAACATAGACAAAAACGAAAAACATGAGTAAGAGAAAAGAGGATGATGGAAAAGAAGATGAAAACTTCGAGAGGAAGAAGAAAACTTGAACACGAGGAAAAAGAAATCAAAGAAGAAAAAATGGAATGTGAAGAAAAAAAAGACAAAGAAGAGATAAATAAAAACTATAATAAGATGATGTCAGAGAAGACGAAGATGATAAAGATAGAGAGAGGGGGATGAGGAAGAAGAAAAATCGGAAATAGAATGTAAAGAAAATTAGAAAGAAAAGTAGAATAGTGAGTTGGAGGATATGAAGACACAAAAAACGATTGAAGAACAAAAATTGGAAGATGAAGAAGAAGCAGAAAAAAAAAGATGATGACAACGAATAAAAAAATGAAAGAAAAAGAAGAAGATGGGATCACTAAAGAAGAATAAAAGGGATAAGAAAACAACAATTACAACAAAAAAAAAAAAAAAGCAAATCAAGAACTAATTTGTAATGTGAGATTCAGGTGTGCGGTTCAAGGGGAGTTATAATGTGGATTTGGGTTTATGGTGTAGATTCTTTAATTAGAGGGGGGGGTTATAATGTGGGGTTTGGGTTTAGGGTTTAGGGTTTATATTGATGGGTGTAGGGTTTAGTTTTTGGTGCATTTTAAAAACTTTGAATTATAATAGAAGTATATCAAAATTTAAAAATCATTGATTATATAAATTTATATCTATCATTCTAAAATACACTCATAAATAGAAAAAACGAAAACAGTAAAAGCAAATCCATAATCAAAAGATGGGATCATTGGAGAAGAATGAGAGGGAGAAGAAAACAATCATTATAAAATTTAACTATTTTTTTTTTTGCTTTTACAATTTATAAGTTCATTTCAAATTAACAAAATGTTAATCTATTACATCCTTGGAAAATAAACACATTACAAAAATATGAAAAGTAATTAAAAATAAAATGAATTAATCTAATATTGATTAAAAGGATTGGAGTTCTGAAACATCTCTTGCCCGCGCAGGCGCGGGCCAACCACCTTGTTAAAACTAACTTTTTAGATCAAAAGGAATTACAAAATGAGTGAATGGTGACTAAGTTTAATGAAAAGGAATTCTCTAAAAAAATTACTATTTAGTTGAAATATTTTTTTCTATATCATTCTTTCTTAAAATGAATTATAGAACAAAAAAATCCTTGTCAAATTTGGAAAAGAACAATAATTATATTTTTTTTATTCCTACTCATTATCATTGTTTCTCTAGTGATTATCATTCAAAGAGATATGAAAAAAATTAAATATAAGTTTAGGAAAAATGATCAATCAAACAATCACCCAAGAAAAAGAAAAAAAGAAATATTTTCCAGAGGTTTTATGATTGAGATCACTTTGAATATACCGGAGTGAAGAAGATGACCTTTGTCAACTAGGGAGCCAAAGCATTTATTGTTTTGTTGCCAATTGGGTCAACGTAAAGAAATAATCGAGTTTGGTCCATAAACACTCATCATCGTCGGTCCTTCTCTATACACAAATGCAACGTGGATATATTCATATACTTTATCAAACGGAGCACGTTCACAAAATCTAATCCAACGGCTGAGTAGAGTTTGTAATTGAACACATAGATTTTTCTTAATACAATCGGAAAAAACAAAACTAACTGATTTTCGATAGCAACATGGCCCGAAGCTTCTCTTCCGTGTAGATTATGGATCCCATCTTCACAGTTGCTTGTAGTATCACAATCTCGTTAATCACCGAAATGCACGCGTGATTCACTTCCACCTCCAAATCCATCAAAGCATTCATCAATCTTGCTCCAACATGATTCCTATTGCTCGCTTCCACTCTAATAATCGCATCACTACCCATAATCTTCACATCGATGATCTTCGTCGTCGTCGCGTTTTCTTTGTCCCTAGAATTCACGATCTCAGCCTCCTTCTTCATTTCGTTGAGCTGGATCCGAATCGCGTTTTTCTCCGCTTCGTCGTTTTCCGATTTCGATCTCAGCTCATTGATGTAAGTAACCGCGTCTTCGAGCAACGACGCCTTGTCCATCTTCGATACGTTTGGTACGACCGCTCTTAACGCGTAGAATCGCTGGTTTAGATTCTCCCGTCTCAGCCGCTCCGCCTCCACGTGACTCACCGGCTGGTGATGATCTCTACCGTGCGCCGGTTTTCTCCCGCGTTTCTTTTGCCGTTTGTTTTCCAGCACCACTTTGGCGCCGTCGGCGGAGAATGAGATATTATTGCTTTCCTCGATCTGGATCTGACCGGAGTAAGAATCACGGTTCGGATTCTCTGAGTTCCGTTTACCATCGCCGCCGAAACTAATTATACGAGCTGCGCTCGCCGATGTGGAAGACGGCGTCGAAATACTGAAACGTGGATAAGTTGGACTCGGATTCGGGTCCGGGGTCGGGTTATCGGTACTTGAACCAATTGTCTCTAACTGAACTGAGATCTGCTGGGAGGCGCTCGAATTCGGGGCTCCGGTAAAATCTCCGGATCCTTCGAAGTTAAATAAAAATCGGATCTTATCAAGCAGATCCGAGATTTGACGGATCTGATCCGTGGATCCAAGCTCCAACACTCCGTTATCGAAAGGAATACAAACTATAGTTTGCATCCCTAAATCCCGGCCTTGTTTAGCCCGATCACAACCCGACTCGATTATCTGATCCGACCCGAAAACCCAAACTGGATTATTAGTATCAAACGCCTTACCCGGTAACCCGGATCCGCTGCTAAAGCTACACGTCATTGAAACCAAATAAAACCACTCCGTATCCTTCATTTCCACGTCATCGTCGTCCACCACCGGCAAAGCTTCTCCGGGGATTATCTTACTCCGGTGCTCTTTTTCCGCCGTGGCCTTCCTATTCCGCCGAGCCTTAGCTTCTTCGCCGCCTTTGTAAACTCCTTCGCCCCATTTTAGAACCGATTCACCGGAAAAGTCGTAGTATGAAGGCTTCCAGAAAATGGCGTAAGTCCAAGCCTCGTTGGTCCCGTTTAACACAGCGTGTAACCGTTTCTGGATAGTGGTGTCTAGGCTGAGATTGACATTGGCCGGAGCTAATGGCCACAAATCGGAGGAAGAGGAGGTCAAGAGAGCTTCGATCATGGATAAGTCATCGTCAGAGTTGAAGAGGTTCATCGTTGCCGCAACCTAAACGGTGTATGAGACTGTGATATTCGAAAGCGTTATTGCATGGGAAAACACATGGGTTTGTTTATTTTATAATCGAAGTTGGCGACCGGGTGGGTAAGAAAACCAAACCAAACCAAACCAAAATTTTCATCAAATCCCAATCGAGATTCATTAAAATTCATGCAAATTTCAAGAAAAATTAATCAAAAGTATTTGAATTCTTGAATGTTTATTTGTTAGTAATTATCTAAAATGAGAAAGTGTTACATTAAGAGCTAACCATTTTTTTTTTCTTCTATGTGACAACCCCAAAACAGCAATCTACGAGGAATATATGGAGTATATAAGTAAACGATGCAATGATTAGGTGTTTTGTTAAATCATTTGACATCTATTAGCACATGCATATATTTTAACTTTTAGTCATTTGAACAAACATGCCGAATCTAACTTACATTGAAAAGTCGCAATCTACTGGCCCATATATTCAACAATAAAAATACTTAGATACTGACACTGTATTTACATGTATTCAACAATAAATACCGATAGAATACAAATTTATTTTCACTAGATTAGGCTCCGCGTACACGCGGTTTATTTATTTATTTATTTTTTAAAATCATTGAAGAATATTAAATAAAATTTGATCACTTTCAAAAATAAGTAAAATAATATTAAAAACCCATTAACAAATCTCTAAATAAAATGAGATATGTAATATTTTTCCATTTATATTTTAAATTAATGATATGAAACATAAAGATTTACATGTGTCTAAATCTAATCGACTCATTAATTTATGAAACTTTGATTATTCCATTGATGAAATCTTTATTTTTAATATTCTTTTAACTAACAAAAAATGGAAAATTAAACTATTTAATATTATAAGAATTTTTATTTTAAATTAATGATATGAAATAAAAAGACTTACGTGTGTCTAAATCTAAACAACTCATTAATTTATGAAACTTTGATTATTCTATTGATGAAATCTTTATTTTTAATATTGTTTTACCTAAAAAATGGAAAAGTAAAATATTTAATATTAGAAGATCGGTCTATTATAAAATTTCTTTTTACTATTATTTAGTTCCTTGATAATTATTTTGTTAGTTTTTTATTTATATTGTTTCTTTTTCAATTTTTTTTGCCTCTAATCATTATTAATTTTCATTTTCATTATCATTATTTGTTAGTTGTTTTACAATTATTTTGTTAATTTATTTATTTTTGTTACTCTATTTTTCCAATTTTCTTTTATTGCTATATGTCATCACCTGATCAATTTTTAGACACATGTAGCAATCTAAAATTAAGTATTCTTCATTGATATCTTGAACTTCTAAAGACATGATTTTTTATTTCTTAATGAAAAATAAACTTAAAAAATATAGCTTATATATATATATATATTTTTTTCCTTTCTGTAATGGGAATATGTTTTTTATTCATTTTATTATTGGATGTAACATTTTTTAATTATTTCTTAATATTTTTCTAATTTTTTCTTTACTTTTCCTAATTGATGTAATTTTTTTTAATTGTTTGTTTCCTTTTTTCTGATTTTTACTAATAGGATTTTATTTATTAAATTATTTTGAATTTTAATATGTGTTTGGATAATCTAAATTTGATAAATGGAAAACCTTTTTATTTTAGGATATGAAAAATAAGATTTTTTTTCTTTTTACTACAATAGATAAAAATTTCTTTTTTTTTAGTTTTCTTTTTTTCTAACAATTTTTAGTTATTTTTGTTCTCTTTTTCCCAAGAAACTTTATAAGTTTTTTTAATAGCATACTGCACACTAAAATCTCAAATTTCGACGATGTTTCCTTTGGCGATTTGATCTCCGAAATTTTGAAGTAGTGAATGATGCACAAAAACTTGAATTGTGTTTTCCTGTTTGAAACAAAAAATAAAACTTTAATGTTAATCAATGTTACTAACCTTTTCATCAAGTAGTAGAAGCTCAACTCCCATAAGAATATTATTTTCTTTAGGATTTCTAGCTTCCCACTTTCGAATAACACGTACTATAGTACGACGATAATTTCGATTTCGATCCAATTGACCTAGAGTCAAATAATCTTCATTGTTTTCTTGAACTTTCAAAGATATGATTTTTAAATTAAAGAATGAGAATCAGAGAAATTTGATGAATTTGCTTTGATGAGTTTGTGAATGAAAAAAAAGAGACTACTGTAACGTTGTATTTATAGATGTTATATAACATATTCTATGCAGATATAAGAAATTTAGTTTACGTTCGTATTCCATGTACTAATAGGATTTTATTTATTACATTATTTTCAATCTTATTTTATAAATTAATATGTGTTTGGATAATATAAATTTGATGAATGGGAAAACCTTTTTCTGTTAGGATATGAAAAATATTAAATTTTATTTTTAAAAATATAATAGATTAAATTTCGTTTTTTGTTAATTATCCTTTTTCTAGTATTTTAATTTTTTTTTCTTTTTTCCCCTAATACACGTGTCACGATCTTAACGGACATAATATTAAAAGTGACACATGTCGTGATCCTATATTTTATGAAAATCCTACGTGTCATAACCACGTCGCGCACATCCAGCTTTAATAAGATGTTTATTATTTTTCTACGATTTATTTGCAGCTACTGTTTGTGTTTGTTAATTTTCCTATAATTATATTGAAGTATAATTATATTTAAGGAAAATAGAAAATAACCTAAAATCAGTGTTTTTAAAACACGGACCGGACAGTGAACCAGAAAATCATTTGGGTCATAGACTCATAGGTTAATCCAATCGAACCGGTTCAACCCGGTTTCTATAATATACATTAATACAGTAAATAAATATATCATGTAGGGTAATGAATATACTTTACCTTTTTTAAGCTGCCTTAATAAATCTACCTAATTAACTAATTGACAAAACCCTAAAATAATATTTCCTCTCCGAAAAATGTCGCCACCCCGTCTTTACTTCTCGTTCAACCCCTTTTCTGCAACTTCAAAGCTCTTTAAAATTCATTCTACCATATTTGTTGGCCTTTTTATCAATTTTTATATTAAATCATCAAATTAAAGGATAGTTTAACTTCAAAAAAACTGAAATCAATGGTGAAAACCTTACAAAATTAAACACCGGGTTTGTGTAGTTTTCCGGTTTGAACCGGTTTCCACCGATTTTGACCGGGTTTTTAACAGATTTTATGGATTTTTTTCTATTCCGGTTTTATGTGATGAATCAAATCGGGTAACCCTCCGCTTTGCGGTTGAACCGGGTCGACCGGCCGGTCCATTCCGGTTTTAAAAACATTGCCTAAAATGGACTAAAAAAGTTGGTATGAACAAAATTGACTCAACCCTTTATCAAAAAAAAAAATTAATCATGAGTATTTTTGGACAAAAATGAACAAAATAATTTTGTGGAAACAAATTGTTACCCTAAATAAATGTCATATCTATATAATAAAAAGATGATATATCTTTCCAGAACTATGACACATCAGTAATTTCATTTGATGTGAACAAGACATATGGCATTTATTTTTTATTTTTAAATAAAAATAAAAATTGTTTCTTATACATTTAAGATATCTCTTCACATTTTCTAATAGTATAATCCATATGTTCCCATATTCTCAATTATAACATAAATTTGCTTCTTTATATGCATTTCAAGAAATCATTCTTGAATCTCCTTGCAACTCACACATGTGATTAGTTTACTCTCTTTCTCATTGCATGATGGGCTTTCTTTGTTTTTGGCTACATGCGAGTGTCTGTGAATCTTAGACAGAGAGAGGAGATAACGAAGAACATACAAAAATCAAAGAAAGTTGAAGGCATCTTTATCAACTGTTCCTCATAATAACATGGGCAAGTCTTTGATTTTAGACTTCACGAAAAATTGATTCATTTTGTGACTTTTCCATGATACTATTTTTTGCTTTTCATTTCAGATTTATATACAAGGTTTTAAATGAAATCAGAATTTTTTTTCACATGTCTTCTCTACAAAGAGCATTTCCAACCCAGCTTCATTTTTCACTTTTACTAGATTAATGTTCGCGCATACGCGCAGGTTTTTCTGTTGTCATATATTTTGTAAAATGTATTGGAAAAAATTATAGATTTGTGAATAATATTATATACTCTTATCCAAATAACAACGCCGACATTTTAATTCCACCTTGTATGATTATGATAAGATACATAGAGTGTATTATCGGAAGCGAGGAAAGAGGCCAAACGATACGTTGACTATCACGGAAGAGTTGACTGGTCAAACCTCCGGTTGAAACAGAAGGTTTGAAGTTACAACGGCCTCAACGGATTAACCAATCGAAGAGGAGAGTTTAAATATGGTTAATTCCTTTTAGATATTTCTTTTATGCATTTACAAGTAGAGAAAGCTTATGCTTTAGGAGTCAGCTGGGACTCAAGGATAAGATCGAGTGTGATCGAGATCTTCTTCATATGTACTTGCAGATTCATTCAATACAAACGTACTATTCAGTCATTCTCTCTCTCTACACTCTAGTTTACTCGAATACAGCGACGCCGATTGGTCAACGCGAGCAACAATGGCGATGCGCCAAATTTCACCGGGAACTTCAGAATGCGGAGAATTCGATGGAGCTTCACAAATGCAGCTCGACATGGACCGTGTCACTCGCAATCTCAAATCCTTCACCGAATTTCAGCGCGAGACGGAGAAGAAGATCGATTCGATAGATCAACGGTTCGATAAGCTGGAATCGAAGATGGATTCGATACTTTCCATGATCGCGCGACTAACACCATCACATCCGGGACAAACCTCAGCAACACCGCCGTTTTCATCAACTCCGATTCAGGTATCTCCTCAATTGGAACAAAACCTGAAGGATGACTCGCTAGGATATCGATCTGGGAATTTGAATTTAGCGAATCGAGATACCTTGTTGAAGAAAGTAGAAATGCATGTTTTCTCTGGGAAACAACCATATGTGTGGATTATTGAAGCAAAGAGATTCTTCCACATTGGCGGCTACACAGAGGAGGAAAAATTGGATATCGTTGGGTTGAGTTTGGAAGGGAGGGTCAGAAAGTGGTACTATTGGGAGCTACAAAGAAATGTATTCAAGAGTTGGTCAGCCTTCAAGGACAAACTGATTCTGCGTTTCTCAGAATCAATTGAGGAAGCTCCAGGGAAGAGATTGTTCAGATTGAAGCAACAAGGATCAGTCGATGATTACATAACGGAGTTTGAGGAATTGTCATCAGTGGTACCAGGATTAAGTGATGAAACGTTGTCACACGTATTTTACAATGGCCTCACAACGGAGATGCAGGAAGTGATAAAAATGAAGGAGCCTCGTAGTTTGGAACACCACATATCAGCGGTTCTCAGGATGGAGTCGAGTGCGTTTTGCAAAGTCGTAAGTGAGACTCCAGGAGTTGATACCAGCTCAAGACACAGAAAACCTGTCACTTCACAGAGAGCCTTAGTTCCGTTTGAGAGTCGACCTACAACTATACCACCACGTTCTCAAGGGAAGGAGAATGAACAGACAACAGGCCATCAGAGACCTCGACAACGTTTATCTGACACAGAAATTAAGAAGATGAAAGAAGACAATATTTGCTTCAAATGCAAAGGGCCATGGTCATGCGAACACAGAGCAGTGTGCCCAATGAAGGAATTCCGAGTCTTGACAGTCATCAATGGTTTAGAAATGGAGATATTCGAAGAAGCAGAGACATATGAAGAGTTGAATGAACAATTGGTGATGGCTCACGAGGTCAGGAGTCTTTCATTAAACTCGTTCTTGGGAAAGCACTCTCCAAAGACTCAGAAACTTTATGGAAAGTTTAACAAGTCCAACGTGATTGTGATGCTGGACAGTGGCGCTTCACACAACTTTATTTCACCAGAGTTAGTGAAGCGTTTGAAATTGAAATCTAGTGGAGATGACAACCTCGACATTCTTTTGGGCAATGGTCTTACGGTACAAGGTGATGGAGTGTGCCGTGACGTAACCTTTTCCCTAGTCGATGTCAGCTTCAAAGCAGATTTCATAACATTAGAACTGGGAGCAGTGGATGTCATCTTAGGTGTTCAATGGCTTGAGACGCTCGGGAAATGCGAAGTAGATTGGAAGAAGTAGGAGCTATCGTTTTTTCACAACAATAAAAAGTGACATTGATAGGCGACCCTTCTCTGCATTCTCCCCGGCTATCGTTGAAGACATTGAATGTCTTACCTATTGATACCAAGGGAAGAGAAGCGCCTATGGTACTCAGTAGTTTGACACCCATCAGTCTTCAAGCAGTTCCGGGACCAATCTCCAACCTTTTGGATCAGTACACGGAAGTTTTTGACGATCCTCGAGGATTACCACCGTTTAGGGGACAAGAACATGGCATTAATTTTGCCCCTGGGGTCACGAGCATCTCGGTGCGACCTTACAAAGGTTGTGATGGAGAAGATGGTATCAGAAATGTTAGAAGCGGGAATCATTCGAGAAAGTTCAAGCCCGTTTTCTAGTCCAGTGTTGTTAGTGCCAAAGAAAGACAACGCTTGGCGTTTCTGTATCGATTATCGTGCGTTGAACAGAGCAACTATCCCAGATAAATTTCCGATTCCGGTTATTGACCAACTACTGGATGAGCTCCATGGTGCCACGATCTTCTCCAAATTAGACCTGCGATCCGGTTATCATCAGATAAGGATGTTGGAGCGAGACATTCATAAGACCGCTTTTCGAACATTTGAGGGTCACTATGAGTTGCTCGTTGTGCCATTTGGGCTAACCAATGCGCCTGCAACATGTCAAGGACTCATGAACAAAATCTTCAAACCAATTCTTCGAAAGTTTTTTCTGGTGTTCTTTGATGACGTGCTGGTTTATAGTTCGAGTGTGGAGGAACATGTAGAGCACTTGAGGAAGGTGATGCAAGTGTTTCAAGAGCAATCGCTACTGGATAACAAGAAGAAGTGTATCTTTGGGATGCCACAAGTTGAATATCTCGGACACATAATTTCAGCGGAAGGCGTGGCAACAGATGCAACTAAGACTTCAGCTATGAAGAGTTGGCGAGTGCCACATTGTGTGAAGGAATTGAGAGGATTTCTTGGTCTAATAGGATATTACAGAAAGTTTGTTCGTGGATATGAAATCATCGCGAGACCTCTCACAGAGCTATTAAAAAAGGACAAATTTATGTGGTCATGGGAAGCACAAGAAGCGTTTGAGCAGTTAAAGGCAGCAATGGCTTCAGCTCCCGTTTTAGCTATGCCTGACTTTGATAAGGTGTTCGTTTTGGAAACTGATGCGTCTGGGTTTGGTGTTGGTGCTGTTTTGATGCAAGATAAACGGCCGATAGCCTTCTTCAGCCATGGGTTCACACCTCGAGAGCAACTTAAACCAGCTTATGAAAGAGAACTTATGGCAATTGTGATGACAGTATTGAAATGGAAACATTACTTAGTGGGACGGAAATTTGAAGTTCATACCGATCAACGGAGTTTGAAGTACTTGTTGGAGCAGAAAGATGTGAATTTGGAGTATCAGCGTTGGTTGACTAAGCTATTGGGATTTCATTTTGATATTATGTACAAGCCAGGTTGCGAAAACAAGGCTGCTGATGGATTATCTCGGATTCCGACTACATCGCCTCTCATCAGTACTACTTTGCTCGCTTTGACAGTTCCAGAGGCTTTACAGTTACAAGATTTTTACAAGGAGATTGATCAGGATTTGCATATTCAGACGCTGATATCTCAAGCTCAGAATGGTTCTTTGACATCAAGGTACGAAGTGATAAATGGAAGACTCTGGTTTCGCCAACGTCTTGTGATACCGGCGACTTCAACTTTCATTCCTCTCATCATCAGTCAGTGCCACGATAGTCAGAGTGGGGGTCACTCCGGTGTGCTGAAAACAGTGAAGCGTATTCAGTTGTCGTTTCAGTGGCAGGGCATGTTCAAGACGGTTCAACGTTATGTGGCAGAGTGTATGATTTGTCCGCAGTTCAAGTACTCTACACTTTCTCCAGTAGGGTTGCTTCAGCCGCTACCGATTCCGAACTTAGTGTGTGAAGATATATGTATGGACTTTGTCGAGGGCCTACCTGTTTCTGGAGGCTACAATGTAATCTTCGTGGTGATTGACCGGCTAAGCAAGTATGGGCATTTCATTGGCCTTCGTCACCCTTTTACAGCTGTGGATGTGGCACAGAAATTCATTGCAGAGGTGGTTCGCCTACACGGGTTTCCGCGTTCCATCGTTTCGGATCGTGACAAGATATTTTTGAGTAAGTTTTGGAAGGAGTTGTTTCGTTTGGAAGGGACTAAACTGAACTACAGTACAACTTTTCATCCCCAAACCGATGGCCAAACAGAGGTTTTAAACCGTTGCCTCGAGACTTATCTTCGCTGCTTTGCGTCGTGTCATCCGAAGACTTGGCATAAGTTTTTGGCTTGGGGAGAACTTTGGTACAATACCTCATATCACACTTCCCTCAAGATTTCTCCGTTTAAGGTCCTTTATGGTCGGGAGCCTCCATCTATTCTGAAATATGAACCAGGCTCCACCGTGAATTTTGAATTTGAGGAGATGTTAACAGAGCGTGATAAGATGTTGGAAGAGGTCAAATTCCATCTTCAGCGAGCTCAGAACACCATGAACGAGTCAGCGAATAAGCATAGACGTGATGTTCAATTTGCCGTCGGTGATAAAGTCTTTCTTAAACTAAAATCGTATCGGCAACAGACTGTGGTGAAGCGTTTGTGCCCGAAATTGGATGCTCGGTTCTTTGGCCCTTATTCAGTCTTGGAGAGAGTGGGTAAAGTAGCCTACAAACTGGATTTACCTCCGGGGTCAAAGATTCATCCGGTTTTTCACGTATCTCAGTTGAAAAAGGCTGTGGGAGATGATGCGCAACTCCAGCCTTTACCACTTACTATGACTGACTTACGCACGGAAGATTTGGAACCCGAAGAAGTTTTGGCAAAACGTTACAATGCCACCGGTTGTGTGGAGTTGTTGATTAAGTGGAAGGGTCAACCTGATCATGAAAGCACATGGGTGCAGTCTGCTGAGTTGTTCAAGCAGTTTCCTAATGACAAGCTTGAGGACAAGCTCGTTTTCGACGGAGGGTGTATTGATAAGATACATAGAACGTATTATCGGAAGCGAGGAAAGGGGCCAAACGATACGTTGACTATCACGAAAGAGTTGACTGGTCAAACCTCCGGTTGAAACAGAAGGTTTGAAGTTACAACGGCCTCAACGAATTAACCAATCGAAGAGGAGAGTTTAAATACGATTGAATCCTTTTAGATATTTCTTTTATGCATTTACAAGTAGAGAAAGCTTATGCTTTAGGAGTCAGCTGGGACTAAAGGATAAGATCAAGTGTAATCGAGATCCTCTTCATTTATACTTGCAGATTCATTCAATACAAACGTACTATTCAGTCATTCTCTCTCTCTACACTCTAGTTTACTCTATCAGATTAGTGATTGCATGCTTTCAAATGTATATTTTTGCATTATATCATATGTCTTCATACCATAATTATTTTTGTTTATTCACCATTACATGGAATAGACTGCTTTTCCACCATCACTCTTTGTTAGATGTTTAATAGTGATTCAAGATGGAAACTGAAGTATAACAGTTTTCAATTAATAAAATGGTTTTAATTACAATAAAGTAAAATATTTAGCAAATAAATAATATTAATTAAAATTATTAATTGAAAGGAAAATGAAAAGTCTTACCACGTATCAATTACAAAATTGTCCACATGTCACATATATGGAGAGAGTTTGCCTCTTTTCATATATATGATTGCTATTTTAAAGTTAATTTTACTCCAATCCAACCTCATTTTCCACTTCAAGATGGCAAAAGCCATATTTTTCCCCATATTTGGGATATTTCATTTTTTTCTATTTTTGAGTTTGAATTTTTAATTTATATAAGATTCTTTAATTTTTTTAATTTATTTCACTTTATGATATATAACTAATTATTTTGATGTTTATTTTTACTCTAAATTACAAATGACACATATTTAGTTGGAAATATAATTATTTAAGCTAATAATAAATTTAAGAATACAGGAAAAATACTTAAATTAAAAATAACATCAAACAAATTTATTAAAACAATGATTACTGATTTATTAATTTAATAGTCCCTTATCCGTTTCCAGATCAAGATCCACCAATATCACTAAAAATAAATCCAGTATGTGTTGTTATTTTTAGTCTTATAATGTACTTTTACTATTTTTATGATTATTTTTAAAATGTATATAATAAGTTGTGAAAGTTTTGAAGAAAAAAAAATTATGAGGCAATTACTAATATATATATATATAAAATGTAAATTTAGTAAGTAATAAAAAGTTTTTCAAAAAGAATATACTTTAAAATGTTATTTTTAAAGTAACAAATGAGACAATACATTAGAGTAAAAAAAAACTATATTTTAAGATTACTTTATTTTGGAATAAAATATAGAGCAATACATTAAAGATACCACTTATTGTTGTTGAATGGCTTCTTATTTCTACAAACTTACATACCCTTCACACACAACAAAACAATAGGAAATCGGTGCACGTCATTATTAATTTTAGTTTGTTCTAATCTCTTCTTCTTTGTTGATTACCTGGACCAATTAGTATTTGTTTCCATATTAAATAGTTAAGTAAGAAAGATCATAGTTGTAACATCCGTAAACCAAAAAGGTGCACTTTTGGTCGAGTGTTGACCAACACCACAGGGTGTGTCGGTCGACACCAGCTCTGGTTTGCAATTTTTGGTTCAATTTAAATTAATTGACTCCGGTTAAGCTGGTTTTGGGCAAGGGAAACCTTAGGTCACGAAATAAAAGAGATCAGCCGCTGGGTTTTGGTCTTTTGTCGTTTTGTGGAGGCTGAGTTCGTGAGTGAGGAGAAAGGAGGCGATTTGACAGATTCTGTGGTGTTCTTCGTCGATTTGTGGTGTTTTGTGGTTGTTCTTCCTTGCTTCTTCTCTTTTCCTTCGTTTCAATCCGAAATCAAGGTGAGTGCATGATTGTGGGTTCGCTGATTGCTAGATTCGGATTTGTTGATTGTTGTTCTTGTGTGTTCATGCTTGTTTGTGGCTTAATTTGTGTTATGTGGCTTAGTTTGTGGTGAATCTACTGCTTTTGTGATTTTTTGTGCAGTTTTATTGATGTTGGCATCGGGCTGTCGAGCTGGTGTCGACCGCTTGGTGTCGGTCGACACAAGCCGGTTCGGTCCGGTTTAAATTGATTTAATTGGTACAATTGAAATTAAATGGTTTTATTGAATTAAAAATGGTTTGGTCGAATTAATTGGTTTTGGTATTTAATTAATTACGGCGTATTTAAGTAAATGGTTTAAAATAATTATATTAATTATTTTAATTATGGAAAAATTATTATTTAATTATGAAAATTATTTAATAATTGAGAATTGAAGTTTTAATTATTAAAAATTATTTAATAATTGGAAAATGTAATTTAATAATTATTTAAATGTCTAGTAAATTGCGTAATTGGCCTCTAGGCAGAGTGATTGCCTCACTAAATATTTATTAAATACTTACGCAACTTCATTCCAATGTGTTGCAGGTAAAAGATTTGTATGATCACGGAATCAAGGCTGAAAGGGGGATGATATGATGTTTATTGCTTTTATTTATTTTGCATTGTTTTGCTAGACTTGTCTAATTATTATTTTCTTCCGCTGAACTGATTTATTATTTTTATTTAATATTTATTTATTTAATTTATTTTAAAGACCTTCGCTAGAATTGATTAGTATTTATTTATTTATTAAAAAAAGTGTTGGTTGTTTCAATAGTTTTAATTAAGTTTGCTTATGTATTATTTCGAACTTTAGTATTTTGATAAAGATCAGAATTATATATATACTCTAAAACAGTCTTTAACCAAGTAAAGCAAGAGAAACTTAAATTTAGTGTATTTTGGGTTGTATTTTAAACATTTTTCAAAAACAATAATAACGGAAAAATCTGAACATCGCGCACTCGGGTATTCATCTAGTAAAATTAAATTGTTATGTTTGGATTACTTTTTTCCAAATTAGAGTTTATATTTTTGAGTTAACATTTTAGTTTTTAGACCAAATAGACTCATATACCTTTACTGAAAAGAAAAATGAAAAAATTATAATTATTCAAAAAGAACAAATTGATATATGCTATGTAACTAATTATCTCTTATCTTAACTATTTGATCTGCATTAGCCAGTCTTGTAAACAAATTTGTAGCCACTGGCCACGGTTGAGCTAATGACTAATGAGACAACTACTGCGATTGGTGTCTTTTTGTAAGAACTTTTGAATTTAGTTATAAAATGGCCCAATGATTGATGTGAAGGTGTGGAAATCCGACAGAAGGTGTGGAAATCCTTCTACAAAAAAAAGGACAGAAGGTGTGGAGGAGCAATGAACCAACACCACCAATGATCAATCACATCATCTTTTCCAATATATATATATATATATATATGTTGTACAATCTTACAAAGTAATATTCGATAAAATAATAAATACTATAAGATAATAAATTTCTCGCTCCCAACTCACGCAAATGTAAAAAATAGCAAAATGCGATAAAATGATAAATAATAATATTTTTAAAACTTCTATATGAAAATATAGTCTCAAAAATAAGTTTAAGTAATAATTATGAAATTTAGGCATATATGTAAGGCAATTTAGTAAATATGACTCCAATGTAGTTTGTCTTTTCTGAAAGTTGGATTCTCGTTAAAGCTCATCTCGATTTTTTTTTATCGCATCAACAATTTATGGTGGTGTATTCTCAACCTGCCAAAAGTTGTGAAGAGTTCTAGAAACCACAATTACTTCCTTACGTGTAACTACTTGCTCATATCCTTCGCCATTATCTTCAACATCATCTTCATCAACTGAAAAATATATTTTTATAAAGTTTCTTGTTTTTGATAGAATATTTTTATAAAATAATTATTATTAGTAAAAACTCTATAAAATAATAGTGTTGGGACTTTGAAAATTTATTATCTTATAGAGTTATTATTTTATCGATAAAATAATAACTTTATAAAATAATAAATTTTTAAAATCCCAACATTATTATTCTATAGAGGTTTTACTGTACTAGCGATGATCCTTTTACATTATTATTATTCATATCGTTAGAATAAAATTTGATGATATTAAATATTGTAATTTAATTTTATGCTCCAAATCATAAACATATTAATCAAAATAAAACTAGGGGTAGGAATATTTCTCTTCTCGTCCCATTAAATAAAATTAGGATTGGGAATAATTTGGTCTCGTTCCGTCGTGTCCTGTTTCTTCCCATTTTGTTCCGCTCTGTCCCATTAAATCCCATCCTGTTTCGCCTCGTCCCGTTCATTTCCTTATCGTTCTATCTCGTCTTGTTCATTTCCTTTCCGTTATGTCGTCCCGTTCCTTCCCGTCTCGTTCATCTATGTCCTATTTTGCCTCGTCCCATTGTTTTTCTTGGTGTTCCGCCATCAATGTATGTCCTATAAAGTAATGACAAATTATGTTATACATATAAGAATAATTCTTGTGTCGTCCCAGTTAAATATAATTAGGGTTGGGCATAATTTGTCTCGTCCTGTCATGTCCCGTTTCTTCGTGTCTCTTTCCCCACATCCCATTCATTTTGATCATGTTTCGCCTCGTCCGTTCTATTCCTTGTCATTCTGCCTCGTCTCATTCATCTCATTTCCGTTTTGCCTTGTCTCGTTTCTTCTTATCTCATTAATTTCGTTCTGCTTCACCTTGTTCCGTTCTTTATCTTTCTATTCCGCCATCAGTGTTCGCTCTATTAAATAATGGCAAATTATGTAATACAGAAATTATTTTAAAATATATTATTTTTTATTATAAAAGAAATGTCTTTTCAAATTCTAAAAAAGCATTAGCAATGGATGGTAATTAACTACTATGAGAATTAGAGTATTAAAATAGTTAAAATTAACAAATAAAGTGATGATGACAGAATTTATAGAGCTCCTATTTGCTGATATGGCAGCACGAGGAAAAATGAGTATCAACTATAGTACATTAGTTCTTATTTCTTAAAGATATCACTTGATTTATTTTTATTTTTATTATTAATTTGGAAAACTATAATTCTTAGTCAACATACATTTATCCATCGTATCATAGCTTATATTAAATTTGTTGACTTGTGTTTGGATATTTTTATAAGATTTGAAAAAATGTACAGGTTTTCTTTTTAAACTCTTGTGTATTGACCAAGTTTCATTTTATATATCAAAATCCTATAATGCACCCAACTCTTCTCTTTTTTCACTAAAAACATTTTGAGTAATGAAAATTATAAAATGTTAATTCGTAAATATAGCATAAAAGCAAATTAAAGATTAAAATATTAAACAAAACTCTTCTTAATAAATATTAAACCCTTTTATATATTTGGGGCACATAGAAAAAAAATGACATTAAGCTTGGCCAATTTTGTATAGTTCTTTAAGTATAAAATAATGTACTCACATTGCTGTCTTGATTCAGATTTATATGTGTCGAAAAAATTAATAGAATGTTATAGATTATATGCAACTTTTATCATCATGCATGTGACGGTTAGAAAGATCACAGTCATGTCATCATATACTTAATTAATCATGTCATGCGACGGTTAAAAAGATCACAACTGATTATTGCAACTTTGGATTTATTTGTATGACATCATCAGGTATTTTTGATTTCGAGAAGTGACAACGCACGTGATGAAACTGTTTTCCTCCACAGAAGGAGGTTTGAGAGACAGAGAGAGATCACGATTTATCACATTTCCATTTTGAGATCGTTATAACTTTGGTACCCACTGTTAGATTGACTCTTATAAGACAGACAACGATTTATATAACATTATACAATTGTTGTTTGACGAAAAGCACAATATGCCATCCTAGTGACTGTTTCTCTTTTTTTGTAGAATCAATCGATGTTCACAAATCCTTGACACATAACTCAACAATTTAGATTTCGCTTACTAAATTTTAAGGGTTTTTTTTTTCAAAAGGAAAAAGAAAAATGTTTGGAGCTTTTTTTAGTTCTTTACATAAAACCTTTTATCTACGTCCAATTTTTTTCTGGTAAAAAAAAGGTATATCTTTTAACCATAATCTAAAATACATTGATGAATATTTTCTGTGCTTCACAAGTAACTTATTTTTTTTAAACCAATGGGTTCAGCTTTCGTTGTTCATTGTAGAGTGAGACATGCATTACACTCAAGTAATGATTGTTCACAAAACTCTTTAGGTCTACTTTCATAGTCTAAAACGATTTGCCCATCAAATACTATATCTAGAGATATAACAAGCTTTTGGAGAGTATATCAACCTAGGATCGAATCACTAGTTAGCTACTCTAGCAACAAACATTATGCGCAAATAAAGATGGAGACCCATTAGAGTTTCCCCTTTATTTAAGAATTTATTTCTCGAAGGTATTATGTCATGTCCTCATTGAAAGATCAATAAACCAATAACGAGTCATAAAATAGAATAGATCTCATAAATCCATAGGAAAGAGATAGGCGGAGAGATATGAGTCACACCGTTCTTATTCCTTGAGAGAAATAGCTACTTCTAGACTAAATAAATCGAAACATGCAAGCTATGTACAATGCAAAATAAAAGAAAAGAAAAGAGCAAGGAGACCACCTAAGTGGCTCTGAAACTTTGTCTTATTGAATTGGTGTCTCAAGGATGTCTAAACAAGAGGCTAAAAGCGAGTATATATATATATATAGGTAGAAAGAGGGTTTAGGTCAGCGAACTTGAGGCGCGCCAAGAAGAAGAAAGTTTCCATTTCTCTTCACTTTTGAGCTTGCTCTCCAAGTTCTTGAACGGGCCGTATTTGGGCCAAGTAAGCCTTCTTTATTGAGCTAGGCTAATGTCAAGATGAGCCAAGGCCTTGGGCGCGGTTTCTCGGGCCTTAGACACTCCAAATTCTCCATGGGCTCCTCTTGGTCGCTAACCGGACATGTCTCGATAGAAAATAGGTTCCGCTCTGATGGTTGATCCAAATGGCTCCATTCCACTTCTACGCGATGCATGACTCAAATATCTATCTTTCCATATCAAAATCATGATTTTTGGACATCGGAAAAGCATGAATGTACGATAAAACTTCGGATGCTCCGGTTCTGTCTTTAGCGAGAAATGTAGTTTTTGTGCTCTAAACTTTGGAGCTTGGTTGTTTGGCTTATTTTGCTCCATTTTGACCTCTTCTTTGACATTTTGACCTAATTGATACTCAAAACCAAAATATACAAGTAAACTACCTCTTGACCTCTTCCGTTTCTATCATCTCTAACCCCAAGAAATTTCTCTGTCTCTCTTCAGGGATGCTCTCCTCTTCATTCAATGCATCAGGTTGTCCATCTTGTGATGCGGCCATGTTTAGGCGATCTTCTTCTTCAGCACTTAGCCTTGCTACCAACTCCTGAGACTCCAAGTCAATTGATGGAAATTTGTAGTAACTCGAGTAATGTGACTAAGAAGTTAAGATCAAAATTAAAACCATGATGTAACAAAATTACTAAACAAGAATCAATGTTCAAATAACCTTTGTATTGTGATCGAATCACTAAAACAAATTTTACTAAACAACTATCAATGTTACATGATCTATGTCTTAGTAAGCATAACTAAATTATTTAGAGATCACGGTTAAACTCATATATCATCTATTGATCAAGATGAAAAATACTTACCATGTCCGAGTATGACATAATTGTCTCTTGCAGCAAGTTCTGTGAATGAGCCAAGGCATAGGTTTCGATTGAAACACTCGATCTATGAATCCAAAGTCCAAACCTATGAGTTGCCATTAGCTTGAGTACTCAAGTTAGAAATAGGGTTATTAATTGTAGGGATACTGTCTCATAGAGACTCTAGCTAGTTCAAAAGGTTTTGAAAATTGAATAATTATTCAAAATCTTTTTAACTTCACATTGAATCAACGGTCTAAATCATAAGCTACACAAAATCCTTAAAAAGAAGAGTGAACGTTGTAGAAAACGTAGAAAGATCATTCCCATAAAGAAACAATCCCGTTTTTCTTTTGATGGCAGCCTCTTCGTTAGAATTGTGTTAAACAGATATGTGTTGTAGAGCAGACACGTACGGACGTACCTTGTTATTGGAAGGCTTAATGAGTTGTGAACTTGCAGCAAGCTCATCTTTAGGAACCCACAGTCTCATATTTAGCAACCTGCAGCAAGCTCATCTTTAGAAGGCTTAATGAGTTGTGAACTTGCAGCAACTGCAAGCTCATCTTTAGGAACCTGCAGTCTCATCTTTAGGAACCTGCAGCAAGCTCATTTTTGATAGGCTTAATGACTTATGAAATCAGACTTGAAGGCAACACTGGAAAAAAGAAACGCAAGACTGGAAAATGCAAACAAAGATTCATCTCTGCTATATGGTTTGTCAAGCTATATGGTTTAATACTTTTTTAGTTGATCAAGTATAGAAGTCTGATATGAAAGAAAAAATTCCCCCAAGCTCAACGAAAGAGAGCTCATCATCACAACACTTGGTCAACAAAATAGAATCATGGCCATCTCTTTGGCCTTTAAATCAACAGCTCTTTAAATCACGATCTGTTAAAATCAACAGCTCCATTACCCTGTAGCCAATAATTAAACTAACTAACAAATCAGAAACAATCTATAAAGAAAAAACTTAGAAATGAGAAACTAAAGAACAATATTATTAAGCAAAACAGATTCACGCTTTTCCAGTTTTAGTTCAATCTATACTATTAAAGGAGAGGCACAAAATAAGGATTCAACCTTTCAAAAGAGTCTATCCCTATTTCCAAACAGAAAAAACCCGAGATTAATACTAAAATTAAAAAATTGACCCGACCAGAATCAATTTAGAAGCACACGGATCTTTGATTCACTTAAATCAAACCGGAACAATTAAAGCTACGGTTCAGGACCATAAATCAATTATTCTAAAGCATAAATTTATCCCGGGTTTTGAAAAGGAATCAACGACAATCCCATGAAAATCGGGTATTAACTTCTCCAGCTGAAAATCCGAGATTTTTTTCCATAAAATGCACCTAATAAATTCGCAATTCAAATACATAATCAAATCACATATTTACTAATATTCTAATCCACACAAAATCAAAGGAGTCTTACCAAAAAGTACGCTACTTAACAAATGCCGGTATGGAAGATACCTAATTTACAAATGTATTAAGTGCATAAACGAGACGACATTCATGAAGTGGGATATTCATAAAGAAATTCTGTTACCAAGTTCTTAATTTGAACTGAATATTTTAACAGCTTTTAAAAGAAGACTAGGAATAAGCCCGCGCAATGCGCGGGTTGTGACTATTACAAAATTTAGTCAATTATATCTGAATTTTTACATTAATTTCCAAACATTTTTACATATTTTTTTCTATTATTTTTTATTTTATCTAAAATCAAATATTCAAAAATTGTTGCGTTTGTTTTGAGAGCAAATAGTATAATATTTTAATTTAACAATTTGAACATTATATTTAAAATGTAATATCATATAGATGAAATCAAAATCAAGTATGTTGTTTTAAGAAAGTATGTAACTATATAACTTCTTGAAGGATAGTATAAGAAGACTCCATGCCACTTCTTTATACTCTAAAGATTCATCTATGTGAAAAGTTAAAGGAGTTTTCTGATGGACTGAGATCCATCACCTCCTTAAAGAATCTGAGTGTTTCCTTGCAAAATTATAGCCATTTTCCGTATAGAGAGAAGATTATCACAAAATCCAACAAAACTCTTATATTACTTACCATGGGCAGGGCTGACCATGAGATTCGTAATAATTGAGGCTCTCAGCAATTACAGCCTGCGTACTACCAGGTAAAAATAACATTTCCTTTTTTCAAAGTATGATTGACTCTTCTTTCATTCTTATGTTTTGTGTAGATGAATCTACTGTGAAGCATCTCTTATCAACTTTGGCAGCAACATATCAAACAAAAAATAAAACTCAGTGTTTTTAAAACCGGATCGGACCGGCCGGGACCCGGAAGGCTTCCCAGTTTGGTTTGTTACTGAAAACCATTATTAACTAAAACAATAAAATCGGATAAAAGACCGGCCAAAACTGGTGAACCACCAAAACCCAGTTCTTGAGATTTTGATTCATTCACCTTGTTTTTTGGAGTTTTTATCGAAGTAAGACTATTTGTTGTATATTGTGTCGATTTCCAACAAAATCCATAGATACAAAAAAAACATTTTGAAAAACTTAGATTTGAGTTAAAGAGAAGATGGAAAAATATGAAGAGTAATTGGGAAGCTGATGATTGTGGAGAAGAAAACAAGATATGTTGACTATTCTAGGGTTTTAACTTTATTAGGAGAAATTCTTTTTAATATGATACTCTCTCTGTTCCATATTATAAGCAGTTTGGGAAAATGTATCTGCAAAAAAGTGGATGTATCTGGATTCAATTGCATCGAGATACATCTACCTTTTTGTAGATACATTTTCCCAAACAGCTTATAATAAGGGACACAGGAAATAGAAAGTAAAATGGCAATGGGCATTAATTACAAAATATATAACATACAACCAAATTTGCTAATTTCCTAATATGATATATATGATTTATGTGTAATAATAAATATTAAATATTGTAAATTCGGTCAGACCGGTTGAACCGGGTTAACCCATGATTCAAGAGATTTTCCGGTTCATGATCAGACTTATGATTTTTTGTTGGAGGTAAAAATACTTATGTGGTTGGTATTAAAACTGATTTTATATATTGTTTGCTGGTTTAAGTGATAGTAATCCTTTCTCTTATTCAATGATAACTCATACTCTCTTCGTTTCAAATTAGTTGTCGTTTTAGCAAAATATAACTGTAAATATTTGGATGTATCTAGACATATTTTGTATTGTAGATACATTCAAATAATTGTAGATATATTTTTCTAAAACGATTTGAAACGGAGGGAGTAAAGTTTTTCTTTTATTTCTCATTAGACAATTGGCACATTTGATGGCTCGTTTAAGAAACACATAAAAATTCACCCCATAATATCCATCATATTACCGAATTGACCTATAAGAAATAAATTGTATCGATCAGTCCTCACCCGGAAAGAAATAATTTGAATCTCCTTCATTTTCGGTGTTCCTAAAATCCAGCGAAACTTTCCCTTTGTGTCAACTCAGACCCATTCCCATGGACTTCTCCGTCAACCTCCCGGCGGCTCACCTTCTCCGTCGTCTTCCACGTCTTCCTCTACTCCTCACCGTTTGAAATCCGCCCGTACACCTACCGCTACTGCTGCCGCTGTCTAAGGAATCTCCTCCGACTGAGATCCAATGCATTTTGGTGGGAATCAGTCTCGAAGCAGCGCTCTCGCATCCTCTCTCTGTCTTCTCTACTTTCCGGCGATTCTCATTCGGAAGACGTCGACGGAAGTCTGATCTCTTCTTTAGCAATTCTGATCCGGCTCCGGTTTCGGATCTGACCCGCTCTGTCAGTGACTATACGAAACCTACCTCTCCTCCGATCCACCCCTTCGACTCGTCGTCCTCTCGTTCCTCCCATTACTCGTCGAAAGGCAAACTGACGATCATAGCAAAACCTCCGGTACATTCCAAATCTTTCATCTTATGCTCAATCGACAATCAAACACATCCGTTTACTTCCCCTGACACATTACACAATCTTGTAACAGTTTCATATGAGACAGTGGCTGAAAGAAGAATCAAAAGTGACAAAATAGGTGTTTTTATTGCAATGATTTGGGCAACAAACAATAAAAGAAAGGTGTTTCCTGATAAGAGAGAGGAGCCGAATCAATATGGGATTTAGAGAGATCGGAGTTACAGAGATTGAGAGAGGGAGAGGAAGCGGTAGAACGGAGGGAGCTGTAGCTTTTCATTGGTTTTACGGATGACACGTGTCGTTTTCAAAATAAACGAAATTGATGACGTGTCGAGAGGATGGAGAGAGTTATCCTCTCTTTATAATATAGATTCACGCTCCCTCTCTATATAAGAAGTCATCCAATTGAACGAACATGTGTTATTTTTTTGTGATCCAAAACTTAGTTTAAATTCTTATTTAGATATATCTGTTACTAAATGTTATAGTTTTTATGTTTTTACAGATCTAACGAGGTTGGAAATGTCTATGCGGGTGGAGATATCTCTCTTTAACAGGTAAATTCTTTCTCTACCATCTAACAAGAAAGCCACACCATTGCAAACACCAAAAAGCACATTTACGCATACCGCACGTCACTTTCAATGATTCATATTCTTTCTGATGGAACAATGGAGGAGATTGTGTCAAACAAAACTGTAAGATACTTGCAAAAAATAACATGTTATTTCTGATTCAGTTTGTTATCAAAAACTAACAGAACTGGAATCATATTTGTAGGGTTATACAAGCTTCAATCAAAAAGAAGGATATCAAACCTTTCAAGAATGTATGCAGTCAACAATAAGAAGAAACAATGCCATGTAAATCTATGTGTTAGCCTGGAACAGGTTTTCTTTTACTATGTGCGTTTCTTTTCATATCATTTCTCAATAAAAGCTTCTTCCTCATATCTCATTTATTCATAGAGAAATCTAATTACCTTTTTCTATCTTATGTTTGTAGAGAAATTAGTTTTCTAAAACCATTTGACATTCAATAATAATAAAGGGAAACGAAACCCAGTCATGTTCTTTTTTTTCAATTCTGTTTTCAGAAAATTAAGTAACATCCCTATACAGAGACATAGGAGGTAGTACAGGTATGAAAAAGATTTACCTAAGACCATCAAGGAGCAAAACAACATGGGTTTTCTGTTTGTCGAAGAAGCTGCATAAGAAATCATAAAGTCTAAATTTATTATTTTACATCTTACAGATAATCAAAAGGGAAAAAAGGTAAATCCTCCTTAGCTCAAGGTGGATTAGCTTCAGGAATTGTACTCACTTATTTCATTGTTTTACATATATAGTGCATTGTTATTATGTTTAATGTCTTACTAAACATGCTTTGTTCTTTTTATTACAGGTTTGCGAAACCTCTATGATATTGCAAATATATCTTACAAACGTATATCTTCAAAGAAATCAAGGAAGTGATGGACAAGACTAGACAAGAACCATTGTTCTTATTTGCTTAGATTGGATTTAGTAGCAGTTAGGATCAATCGCAAAATCAGGAATGTGTGTATTTGATAGCAGCAGTTTTATCGGTATTAACTGATTTGCATGTCGATAATTTAATTCAAACTCATTAAAACAACAGTTTCTATCAGATTTGCAAATTTTGAGTGAAGATGAACAAGCAACGAATGGGATAGAGAAGCTTCTGGAACTGAACTGAAAGACAAAGTGAAGAAGGAGAAGACACAGAGAGACTGTCGTGAGAAAAAATGGAAGAAGAAATGAAAGTGGGAAAAAAAAACATGATTTTTTAGTTTCGTCAAAGGAAAGTCCAAAATTTATTGATCAAATAAATCTGATTCATATAATTGACGCTTAAAATATGATAGAAAAAAAAACATATGTTATCACAATAACATTTTAATCAAAATCTAAAATAATATCCAATTTTAAAAATTTAATGTTCACAAATTAAATTAACTTAAAGGTTAGTAACATCATGGGTCAGAACCAACAATTTTTAGATTCAGAATTTTCCCGAAAGACATAAAAACAAACAGATCTAATATGGTGAAAATTTGTAATTTTGACTTTAACGTGTCTCATGCAAATTTACAAAAAAAAAAGAGAAAAAATGATATGTGTTGAAAATAAATAAATATCATTCAAATAGTTGAGGCTTAAAATATAACTAAAAAAAAACACATTGTCACAACAAACATTTTTATCAAACTTTAAAACGATATCCAATTTTAGAAACTTAATGTTCACAAATTAAATTAATTCAAATATTAGCAACATCACAGGTCATAACCAACATTTCTTTACATCCGGGTTTTCTGCGAGACATAAAAAAGCGGATCTGATCAAAAGTGAAAATTTGCAATCTTGAATTTAAAATGTCTTATGGACAAATTTACAAAAGAAGAGAAGAAAAAAATGTACCAAACTGAAAATATATTATTCTAGGTTTCATCAGTACTGTCACAATTAATTTTAGATTAAAAGAATTTGATTCGCTCATGTCGTTCTGTCGACAACACGTCGAAATTTAACAATGATCGTGAAATTAGGTTTACAATATCGACAAAATCAATAATTATCAGTTTCATCAACGAAAAAATTATACATGTTGGGACACAACTTATCTCATGAAAACAATAATATTTTACTAGCAAATGTCCATCATTTTTAACATTATTGCCCGATAAACCCAAAAATTAATGATCACATATTTATTTTATTTAATACTTAGATAATTAAATATTAATTCATCAATATATATCACAAACATACTATAGGTTACATAACTACAATATAAATACTTAAATTTTTATTATAAAAAATTGCAACATCCCGTGCTTCTCAAGCACGGGTCAAGATCTAAAACTTTATGTGATCGAACTCTCGGATTCGACAATTGATGATGATGTGAGCGAAAATTGACATAAGAGTTAAAAGAATCACGATTGTGTCGTCACAGTAATCAGACAAACTAGGGTTTGTGAGTTGTTTCCCCCAATTCAATTTTGAAAAACGTTATTGAATTGGAAATTTTATTGAATTGGAAATTAATAAAACGATGTCACTTTGCTCACTCTGGCAACGATTCTATTAATTTAGTTAAGCCCATATAGATTATACAACCCATTTGAACATAATTACACATTTCCGAGCCCAAATAGAAAAACAAATATATTAAAAATCAGAATTAATTATGTTGGTGTTTTAACAAGTATTCAGTTCTGATTATCAATACAGATTGCAGGTTATTAGTTATACCTTTGCTGTTTTGATTGTGTTTGATGTTGTGCAGAAAATAAAGAAGACCAAGATATACGAGTTCCCAAGATCAACGTGATCTCGGTACGTCTCGGAGAGCTTACACCAGCTCACAAGGGTTATATCCAGTAAACAGAGTACAAAAGAGATCTCACACCAAGCTCACGTCACTCACCGAACAGAGATTCAAAACCCCAAAAGAAAAGATAAGTGAATCACTCTTATTACTTAGCTTTTCTCTCTTACTTGTTTTCTCTCTTTCTTTGTGTGATTACTTGCTTCGTGAACTTAATCTTCTTCTCTCTCTTGGTGATGACTTTATACTCTGTATACAACACCCTTCTTCTTACACCTCCTGCTTTTCTTTTGTCAATGATCAACACCTATCAATGACTCAACTTCTCTGTTTCCTGAACATGAAGTAAACTGCAGAGAACTAATGTCGTTACTTTGTTGCAGGAAATCTTCTTATGGGCTTGCTTCAACCACGTGGCCCATTAACTCCAAAGAAGAAACCCACCTGCCTGAGCCAATCTCAATCACGACAATCTCCACCTGATTGGTCTCAGACAGAACTTCCGAGAGATTTACCTCTCTCGTCATCTTCTCCGACTTCACCGTCGCCTTCTCCGACTTCACCGCCGGTCACCTAACTCATCACAGAGCTAGCTTCAGTGCCTAAGCACCTTCAGGTAATCCAATCCCTCTTCGAATTTCTTCACAGGCACTGATTTTGTTAATAAATCAGCTGGATTTACCTTTGTGTTTATCTTAGAAATTTGCAGGGATCCTTCAGCCACTGTATCACGAATGAAGTGATATCGAACATCGATATGCTTCGTTCTCTCATGATGAACGCTATTTTTGGCCAAACAAATAGCGCTTTGTGAATCACAAAAGATTTCAACTTTTTTCCTGTGGAAAACCCAATTCACCAACAATCCCTTTCAACCAGAGAGCTTCTTTAGCTGCTTCAACCAGAGCCATATACTCCGCTTCTGTCGTTGATAGAGCCACGATATGCTGAAGTCCAGAACGCCAACTGATAGTATTCCCACCAGTCTGAAAGACATAACCGGTAATTGACCTCCTTCTATCTAAATCTGCAGCATAGTCACTATCACAATAGCCTTTGACTTCAAACTTATCTGACTTGGTGAATGTTAGCTTGAAATCTGTTGTATTCCTTATGTATCGTAACACCCATTTAACTCTCATCCAATGATCTTTGCAAGGTGAGCTCATGAATCTGCTTACAAGTCCCACAGCGTGAGCAATATCAGGTCTTGTGCTAACCATAGCATACATGAGACTTCCAACAGCATTAGAATAAGTATGTCCTTCATCTCAACCTCAGTATCAGCCATATCCTCTGCCTTAGTACTAGATAGTTTAAAATGAGTACCAATAGGGGTCTGAACTGATCTAGATTCCAACATACCATAATCTTTAAGAACTCTTTCAAGATAATCTTGCTGAGATAATTGAAGAATACCTCTTTTTCTGTCTCTGAAAATATCAATCCCAAGTATTCTTCTTGCTGCTCCGAGATCCTTCATCTCGAATTCTCTGCTTAATATGTGCTTCAGTCTTGTGATCTCCTTTATGTCTTTTGCTACTACTAACATATCATCAACGTATAACAGCAAATAAACATAATCCTTATCACCAAAACACTTGAAATATACACAAGAGTCAAACTGGCTCCTTGTATATTTTTGTTTCTTCATAAACTCATCAAACCTCAAATTCTACTGTCGTGGTGATTGCTTCAACCCATACAACGACCGCTGTAGCAAACAGACCTGATTTCCCTTCTCAAACCCTTGTGGTTGTTCCATTAGAATCTTCTCATCTAAATTTCCATGTAGAAAAGCGGTTTTTACATCCAACTGTTCTAATTCCAAATCTTGATCGACCACCATTCGACAACACCAGCCGTATAGTTGTATGCTTCACTACTGGTGAAAAAACTTCATGATAATCAATCCCCTCAATCTGAGAAAACCCCTTAGCAACTAACCTAGCTTTGTATCTAGGTTCCTCCACTCCTTTTATTCCTGGCTTGAGCTTAAAAATCCATTTGCACCCAATGGTTCTTTCTTTTTCAGGTCTTTGTATCAGCTTCCATGTATGATTCTTTAGAAGAGACTCCATCTCCTCATTAGTAGCAGCAATCCACTTCAGTCTATCTTTGCACCTTATGGCTTCTTCATAAGTTTGAGGTTCTTCTGCATTCATGCGTTGAAACACATTTAGAGCATAAGCAGCTACATCCTGATCATCAAACCTACCCGGACGTTTAATCCCGACCCTTCTTTCTCTATCTCTCGCAAGCTGGTAATCTCTAAGTCCTCCTTCATCTGATTCTTCTTCTGAATCTGGGACAATTTCATCATTTCCTGAAGAAACTCCACCTTCATCTGATGTCTCAGCTTCTGATTCAGAAGATTCACCTTCCTCATTTGGCATAATGAAAGAGACCTTTTTAACTTGTCTCTTTTCTTTTTCCTTACCCTCTCGTGACACCTTTACTACATCCTTATATAGTATGCCTTCACAGAAAATATTATTTCTGCTCATGATGCATTTTCTTTCATCAATACTCCAGATTCTGTATCCTTTGACTCCATGTGGATACCCCATGAGAATTCCCTTCTTTGCTCTATACTTTAACTTCCCTTGATCAACATGGTAATAAACCAAACATCCAAATCTTCTCATATGTGAATATTCTGGCTTTTTACCTGACCAAATCTCTTCTGGAATTCGAAAATTCAGTGGTGTAGAAGGAGTTCTATTGATCATGTAAACCACCGTTGAAGAAGCTTCTGCCCAGAAAGACTCCTTCAGTCCCATTTCACTTAACAAACTCCTCACCTTCTCTAGAATGGTTCTATTCAGCCTCTCAGCCACTCCATTTTGTTGGGGAGTATAAGGACATGTCTTATGTCTCATAATCCCTTTAGCTCTGCAAAAGTCATCAAAGGTTTTGTTGCAATATTCCAAGCCATTATTTGTCCGTAATGCCTTCAGCTTCTTTCCACTTTGATTCTCAACAAACGCCAACCATTCAACAAACTTTGAGTATGCTTCATCTTTTGTTTTGAGAAAAAAGATCCATACCTTTCTAGAGAAATCATCCACAAACGAAATGTAGTATTGACACTTAGACAAGCTTGGTGTCACGTGTAGAGAACCCCACAAATCAGAGTGAACATACTCCAGAACATCCTTTGAAGTATGCTTAGCTGTTGTAAAAGACTGTTTATGAGCTTTCCCTAGTATGCAGAACTCACACTGCTTCATCTCTGAAATCTCATCCTCCTTTAACAGCTCTTGTTTAACCAGCAACTGCAGTCCTTTGTTACTTATATGGCCAAGTCTGCTATGCCATAAAGTAGTTTTGTCGACTGCTTCAACCGCTGCATTCATTTGATCTAGCTCTGCTTTTCCATCAAGGAAATACAAAGTGTCTTTGTAGTCACCAGCTAGAACCTCTGTATCTTCTTTAAAGACTTGTAACCTGTAGTTTCTTGACCGAAACCAACAGCCGTGAGTTTCAAGTTGTCCCAAAGAAATCAGATTTCTTCTTACTTCAGAAGAGTATCTCACTTTAGTTAACATAGTTGAGCTCATGTTGTAGTTAAATATCTTGATTTTCCCAATGGCTGTTATCTCACAATAGGTATCATTACCCATTAGAATTTTACCACCATCGATCTCTTCTATATCAAACATTAGATCCTTCATGCATGTCATATGATATGAACATCCATAATCTAATACCCATCCATCCTTTGACGGGTGTTCATAGAATAGGCTGATCTGATAATCTCATTGAGTGAGATTGTATCTTTTCCACCACTATACTTCAAAGTGTGAACCAAATGATCAAACCTTTTAGGAAAACTGTTAAGAAGAATTGCAGCTTGATCCTCTTCACTCATCTCTACGTTCAGGCTTGCAAGATCAGATATCAACTTATTGAATGTATCCAAGTTCTTATCCAGATTCTTGTCTTCATCCATCTTATAGCTGTAGAATCTTTGCTTGAGATAAAACCTGTGTGGCAGAGTCTTATATTGATATATGTCCTCCAGCGCTGTCCACATATCATATGTTGACATGATAATGTTTCTGAGATGTAACCTTTAATAACCTTTCTCAACACAATGTCTGCCAAACTCATACTCAAGAGATTTCTTACCCTCCAATCTTTCTCCAGCCTCTTAGGATCAAGCTTCACTACAGGTTCGACTCCTACTTCCAAGATCCCTTTTCCTTTAGGTTCTATAACAGCCTCTGGCTGAAGTACTGAGTCAAGCCCTAAGATCTCCAATTGTGCCAATACCTTATGCTTCCACAAAGTAAAATCACCTTCTCCATCAAATTTCTCCACCTCAAACCTGCCTTGAGTTGGCTCCATCTTATAAAACTTGTGATCCAACAAGCTTTAATATCCTTGAACTCAAACTCAGATTCCAAAAAAAAACAGCAGCACCTCTTGGTACAATAAACCTTGAACCGGTGAAGAAGTATAACTCCAACGAACAAGCTTTCTGATCTTGATTAATCCTTAGAACTGAATAGCTTTAACTTAGCTCTGATACCACTGTTGGTGTTTTAACAAGTATTCAGTTCTGATTATCAATACAGATTGCAGGTTATTAGTTATACCTTTGCTGTTTTGATTGTGTTTGATGTTGTGCAGAAAATAAAGAAGACCAAGATATATGAGTTCCCAAGATCAATGTGATCTCGGTACGTCTCGGAGAGCTTACACCAGCTCACAAGGGTTATATCCAGTAAACAGAGTACAAAAGAGATCTCACACCAAGCTCACGTCACTCACCGAACAGAGATTCAAAACCCCAAAAGAAAAGATAAGTGAATCACTCTTATTACTTAGCTTTTCTCTCTTACTTGTTTTCTCTCTTTCTTTGTGTAATTACTTGCTTCGTGAACTTAATCTTCTTCTCTCTCTTGGTGATGACTTTATACTCTGTATACAACACCCTTCTTCTTACACCTCCTGCTTTTCTCTTGTCAATGATCAACACCTATCAATGACTCAACTTCTCTGTTTCCTGAACATGAAGTAAACTGCAGAAGAACTAATGTCGTTACTTTGTTGCAGGGAAATCTTCTTATGGGCCTGCTTCAACCACGAGGCCCATTAATCCAAAAAAGAAACCTACCTGTCTGAGCCCAATCTCAATCATGACAAATTAGTTAACTACTTAAATCAACACAACATAAATTATAATTACCGTGCTTCCCAAGCACGGGTCAAGATCTAGTTCTCTTCTTAACACCAACGCAAAGACTTGAGCTTACTTATATGGTTTAACATTTAGGGAATTTCTTGGTTCTTTTAATTCTACAACAAAGAAAGCTTTCTTTTAAATTTTCACTCTAAGTTCTAACAAAATCTTTGAGCTTTCTTATACGAAATTAGCGATTAATTTTCCTCAGCAGTTGAAGTAGTCACGCAAACACCAGCCAATTTGTGAAAAAAACATGAGCTAATCAGTCGAAAAAACACCAGAAAGTGAAAAGAAACAAAGAGAAAAATGACAAGACCAGACCAGACCATGAATCCATGAGCTGATCAAGGCTGAAGCTGAAGGACCCATCCATTTGGGCAGCTCTCGCTGCGTGAGGTATGATCAATTTGCAGAATCATGCATGTTTAGTATCGATGTCGTAGGTCGGTAGGTGGTGTGAAGAAGCGGTGAACTGATTTAGCGAACCAGGTGTTAGAAAATGGAAACGACATAATTTTTCGGGTTGCCCGCCTGCTGCTAACCCGTAGCGGGTCTGCCTGTCCATAAATGAGATCCACATGGTCCAAGCGTGCAATTTCGCGGTCACTATTTCTTTGGCCTGAACCCGCCCCACAAATGTTCATATGGGCTTCGTGTAACACCCGCGGACCAGAATTCTAGAAAATGGCCGAGGGAATTGGTCCGGGAAAATAGTTTTGGCCGAGGAAAATGGAAGAATCCAGATGTACTGAGAAATTTGAGCTGAAACGACTAAGTGTCTAAGGAGTTGAGCTGGATCAGTCAGCTGGCCGAGGTAGTGAGCTGAGCTGACTGAGTGGCCGAGCTAACTAAGTCTGTCCTAACGGATTGGTCGAAATTTGGACAAATCTTGTCTTGTTCGGACAAGACGGTTATTCCTGTCGGAACGGGAATAAACTTGGCCGAGAGTTTATTAACTTTGGCCGAGAGTTTATTAGTCTGTTCGGGGATAATTAGACTAAGTGTCTGAGCGCGGGAACGGTTATCGGGTTTGGCCGATGCGCGCTGAAGGAAAATGCGCGGGAACGGTTATTCCCTTGTACGCGAGCGCGGATAATGAAATAGGCGGGAACGGTTACGGCCGAGAGCCAAAACGAGTGCGTTTCATTAATCCGACGGTTATGGTCCGGATCACAGGTTAAACACTCGGGGAGAAGGGATTTCTCATTCATTCAGACTCAGAAATATTTTTTAAGGGTCCAGAGAGAAAGCGGTTATCCGAGAGAGAAAACGGTTACCGAGAGATTTTCCTAGTTCCGATCGATAGCGACCGTATCGATCGTCTGATCCGACCGAGAGCGCCTGTTCTGATCGATTGTCCGACCTTAGACAAAGATCCAAGCGTTCGACGATCCGTCCGAGAGCGTCCGAGCGACCGTTCTGTGACCGTACGAGCATCCGTATGATCCGTTCTGTTTACCGAAGGGAATCCGATTCCCCGACCGATTGACTAAGGTGAGTGTGTGACCGTGTAGTCATAGTGTATGGTCGTTTTCACGGCATAGATAGATTCAGTGGTTGATGATTGCTTGTTAATGTGTTTGATTGCTTGTCGTACTGATTTTGATGGCTTGGTCGGAATGGTCGGTCTATTGGCGAGGGTTACTCGGCCGGGTTTGATAGCCGACCGTTCGCGATAAGCGACTGTGGTTAACGGTATGACTGATTATTGAACTGTGTGTTTTGACTGCTATTCTCTGTATTGTGACTTAGTAGGCGGGATGACCGCATTCACTAAGGAAACTTGTTTGCTTATGCCTCATTTTATTGTGGCAGGAACTGAGCCGACCTTAGGTGATGGTCGGACTGACTGATCTGGATGCAAGACATGGCCGGGAAGGAAGGGATGAATAGGATTGGGTAGAACGGTCTAGATAATGATGTAATAGCCTATAGCGAACTCGCATTATTGCTAGAACCGAATTTGTATTTCAAGTTTCTGCATTTTCCTAAGTTAAACTGATGTTTGTTTTAACAAGGATTTAATCTAAGCAGGGCCGGCCTTGTGATTTAGGGGCTAGAAACATTTACACTTTTGGGAGCTAAATTATCATACAAAATTTTTTTTTTGAGAAATTTGGAGGCCAAATCATTTATATCTATTAACCATTAAAATTTGGGGGCTAAAACAATTGTTTCATGATATTGTGCTCAAGGCCTGCCTTGAATCTAAGTAATTCAAGTTTTATGTATATTCGTTTGTGCATAAATGACTAAGTGTGGGAACCTCATGCAACTGAAAATGTTAAATGGAAACCGGACCTAAAATTTGACTAAATTTAAATTTATCAGAAAAACCGGACTAGGGTGTTTCACTTCGCCTGTAGGCATTGGGCCCGACTGACATCTCTAGTCATACATTACTAGGCCTATCGCCTACAATTTTTTATTCATGATTCCTTACCATTTTAAGTCTTTAATTTCTTTATTTTGTAAAAAAATAGAGTATAAATTTCAAGTTAAACATAAACTGAGAATTTGTTTCTAATATGACCCAACATTTATTGAGCCGGTCTTGATGATGTGATAAACAATCTTATAACTATAACATCGTAAAATGGTAGCATAGCAAAAACAGCATAAAATTTGAGTTTTGTTAAGATAAAGTCAAAAATAGTGATTCATTATCTTTTGAGAAAATATCTCATTGTCACCGACTCCACGTGTCCATCTCACATCTGTTTTTCTCCCCTAAATAAAGGGTGAATGATTCTATTGTAAGAGATACAACAATTCGATCAACAACAAAAATCACTCTCTTCCTATGTTCAAAACATCGGAAATCGTTCATCGGGCGGTCAGGTCGGGATTTGGGATTTTTTTAAAAACGGGGATTAAACGGAGATTAATCGGGATTTTTTTCCTGTAATTTTATTAAATATATGTATATATATTAAATACTCGACAAATACTATTGAATACATCGTGGTCTAGTGGCTCTCTGCGTCTTGACATATCCTCAGCGTGATGAGTTCGAACCTTGAGAGTGTTAAACATTTTTTTTTTAATGAATTGCAAAATTACAAAAATACTCCTCGTCTTCCTCGACCTGTTAACCCTAATTTGGCCGCCTCGTCTTCCTCGACCTGTTAACCCTAATTTGGCCGCCTCCAGATTTTCTTCCATAATTGTTGTGATTTCTGCTTCTGTTTCATGTCTTTCTACTTAGATTTGAATCTAAACGAAATCTGGGCCCATATTAAACGAAAATTGGCTCCAATTTTTGATAGAAATCGTTGACATCAGTGAAATTTTTTTTCAGCAGAAATTACCTCCGATTTCCATTAAATTGCTCGGTGAGCCACCGATCAACGATTTTTGGGCCGATGTTATGCTAAAAACGGCGCTTTTTAGAACACATCTCTCTTCTCTCTCATACTTTTGTGGTCTCCACATTCTCTCTTCTGTCCAGTTGTCCCACCCAAATTTCTTTTATATTATTTATATGTTTTCACGTTATCGCATGATGCTCTGTACTCGATCTATCTCGAGGTCAAACTAAATCTGTCCTAAAATTATAAGCCGGGAAGCTAGGCTCTGCCTACTCCGAGCTGATCGTCATGGATGGCTCTGCCTCCTCGATCAAATAAATCTCTTAAAGCCGGGAAGCTAGGCTCTGCCTACTCCGAGCAAATGATCACATGGTAGACTATGTCTCCTCAGATCATATATATGGAGTGGTAGGGAAATCCTCCTCCGGAGTTGATGGTGAAAACCTCCTCTATGTAGCGGAGTTGATGACTATGTCTCCTCCCAGATCTAAATTTCTGTCTTTCAATTTATGCCTTTCAATTTTGTTATTCTGTTTAAAGTTTTCAAAAGAATTCAGTGGCCCTGATGGTGCCACGATTTGAGATTAAGGATGGAGATACTTGTCTAGCAGACAGTGCTACGACACATACAATACTCAAAGATAAGAAGTATTTCTCCTATCTCAAAATGAAAGACTCCGCTGAAAGCGTGAGTACTATATGCGGTAGTGCAAAAATAATACTTGGCTCTGGGAGTGCAAGTTTTTCATTGCCAAGGGGAACGAAATTTGAAGTGCGAGATGCACTATATTCCCCGGAGTCTCACCGGAACTTATTAAGTTTCCGAGATATCCGCAAAAATGGATATCATATTGAGACTATAAACAAAAATGGCATTGAATATCTTTGCATTACAACGGAGAGGAAACAAACATTGGAAGAATTACCAATGATGTCCTCTGGTTTATATTGCACAAAAATCAACATGACTGAATCTTATGTTGCAGTAAACCAGATGTTTACTAGCACTTTTAGGGTGTGGCATGAAAGACTTGGCCACCCAGGTTCAGTCATGATGAGAAGAATTGTGCAAAATACGAGTGGCCACCCATTGAAAAATGAAAAGATTTTTCAATCGGGGGAGTTTTCATGTAAAGCATGTTCTCAAGGAAAACTCATAATTAGGCCCTCGCCAGCCAAAGTTGGGAATGAATCCCCTGTATTCTTAGAGAGAATACATGGTGATATATGTGGGCCTATTAACCCACCGTGCGGGCCATTTCGATACTTTATGGTATTGATTGACGCATCTAGTAGATGGTCAAATGTGTGTCTTTTGACCACAAGAAATATGGCTTTCGCAAGATTCATTGCCCAAATAATCAGGTTGAGAGCGCATTTCCCTGATTATGCCATAAAGAAAGTCAGGCTTGATAATGCTGGTGAATTCACTTCAGCAGCCTTTAATGACTTTTGTATGTCTGTGGGAATCGATGTTGAACATCCGGTTCCGCACGTTCATACGCAAAATGGCATGGCTGAGTCATTAATAAAGCGGTTGCAGTTAATTGCAAGACCGTTAATCTTGAGAACAAAACTCCCAATCACTGTATGGGGACATGCAATATTGCATGCGGGAGCCTTGGTTCAAGTGAGACCAAGTGCTTATAATAATTTTCGCCCATACAGTTGGCATTTGGAAATATGCCAAATATATCCCATCTCCGGGTATTCGGGTGTGCGGTCTATATCCCAATAGCGCCACCACAGAGATCAAAAATGGGACCACAGAGGAGATTGGGAATATATGTCGGGTATTCGTCCCCTAGTATAATAAGGTATCTTGAACCGGCAACTGGTGATATGTTTACGGCACGATTTGCCGATAGCCACTTTGATGAAAATGAATTCCCTGCGTTAGGGGGAGGGTCGAGAGAATCACCAAATGATATCACCAAATGGTGTACACACTCTTTGGCTTATCTTGATCCTCCTTCTAATCAACGCGAGGTGGAAGTTCAGAAAATTATACATATGCAAAGATTGGCTAACCAGTTGCCCATGAGTTCAGATACGAAAAGGGTGACGAAGTCCTATATCCCCGCTGCTAATGCTCCATCAAAAATAGAAGTTCCTCATGAACATTTTGATGTGAATAGAGCAAGTGAACCGGTTCAATTAAAGCGCGGGAGGCTATAGGATCAAAGGATAAATATCCCCGAAAGAAAAAGAATTGTGGAGTAAAGGTTCCTGATGAACCGAAATGTCTTGAAGACATTTCCGAACAGGTTCTTGTAGAACCTGATAAAGAGGTTCGTCAAGATGACGAACCAGAGACAGAAAAATTTGAGATTTCCATCTCCTTCGCCCAAAGTGGAAAAATATGGGCTAGAAGTGAAATAGATGATGATGAATGTTCTCTTTTTCTGTAGCTAAAGAGATCGATCATGAAAATGATGATCCAGATCCAACTTCCGTGTCAGAGTGCCAAAAGAGGCCGGACTGGGAGAAATGGCAAATGGCCATGAAGAATGAAATATTCTCTCTCAATAAACGGACTGTAGTCAATGGTCAATAGATCGCTTGATGTTAACAAGGATCCATTTCGACCTATTGAAGATTCTGAAGAAATGTTAGGTCCTGAAGTACCTTACATGAGCGCCATCGGGGCACTTATGTATCTTGCAAATTGCACTAGACCAGATATAGCTTTTGCTACTAATCTGCTTGCAAGATACAGCTCATCGCCTACCAGAAGACATTGGAACGGAATAAAACATATATTCCGTTATCTTCAAGGTACGATTGAGTTTGGATTATATTATTCAAGAAACCCCGAGGTTGGTTTAGTTGGTTTTGCAGATGCTGGCTACTTGTCTGATCCGCATAAAGCTCGATCGCAAACCGGTTATGTTTTCACATACGGTGGAACCGCGATCTCTGGCGTTCCCAAAAACAAACTTTGGTTGCAACGTCTTCAAATTATGCGGAAATCATTGCTCTCATGAAGCATGCAGAGAGTGTGTATGGTTGAGATCTTTGATCCAACATATACAAGAAGCCAGCGGAGTATCTACAAAGAAAGAGCCAACAACATCTACGAAGACAATTCTGCATGTGTCACTCAACTCAAAGAAGGCTATATCAAGAGCGACAGGACAAAACACATCCCTCCAAGATTTTTCTCCTACACTCAAGAACTTGAGAAGAATCAAGAAGTGGATATTCAGTATGTTCGCTCAAGTGACAATGCAGCTGATCTTCTTCACAAAGGCGCTTCCTACTACAGTGTTCAAGAAGCATGTTCAAGTATTGGAATGCGTCGTCTTCAAGATTTGTGAAGAGAAGACTATATCTATTTTTCAGGGGGAGTTTGCTTGCGGTACTCTTTTTCCTTTTCATGGTTTTTATCCCATTGGGTTTTTCCATGTTAAGGTTTTAACGAGGCGCATACAACTTCACAATAATAGATGATGATCAAGGGGGAGTGTTAAGATAAAGTGAAAGATGATGACTCATCGTCTTGAGAAAATATCTCATTGTCACCAATACGTGTCACATCTGTTTTTTCCCTATATAAATGAGTGATTATTGTAAGAGACACAACAATAGATCAGAAACAAAATCACTCTCTTCTCTCTCATACGTCCCCTTCTCACCTCTCTCATGTCCAGTGGTCCCACCACTAATCCTTTCTTTTATATTATTTAATAAGTGTTTTACAACAAGTTTTACTGATTTAGACACAAACAAATTAGTGGAATAAAATAAATAAAAACATTAAATGAGTTAACATAACAAAGAAAAATTGTATTGGTAAAGGAAAGAACTTTTGAAAGGAAACAGAAAAAATAGATAGACAAATTATATTTAGGGGTGGATCAGAAACAAATATTGTATGGAAAAAAAAATATATAAATATATATATTTTTTATTTAATTATTAAATACAAAAAAATATAATGTTCATATAAAATATATTGCGCCCGAAAAAAAAATAGTTAGTTAAATACTCCCTCTGTTTCAAAAAACTTGATGTTTTAGAAAAATACAGATATTAAGAAATACTTGTGTATACATTTATTATTTACTTTTTGTCTCTTAAAAGACACTTGATATTTTAAAAAACCCAATCATCTACTCTCTTCAATTTCTCTCACTTAAAAGTTAAACTATTTCCAACAAAAAATACATTAAATAAGGCTAAAACATCAAATTTAATGGAACAATTTTTTTTTCTAAAACATCAAGTTTTCTGAAACAGATGGAGTATAAATAAGATGATTAACATTTATATAAGAAGGATTAAAAATTTATAAAATATAAATAAACAATTGAAGGAACGAATATAAAATGATTAAATTTATTATACAAACAAAACAGCAACTATGTAAGATGAAACGTTGTTCGAACCATGAAAATATGGGGCAATAAATGATACTCCCTCCATATTTTTAAGATGAATTTTCTAATTTTTTTCACACATATTAAGAAAAAGTTACTTTTTAATCATAAGTGTATTGGTTTTTGCAATTACACTATTTCCTATAACTTTAAACCAGTAAAAATCAAAAAAATATAATAATTGTTTCTTGAAATCTGAAAAAGTGAATCAAAAAGCTAAAAAATTTATCTTTGTGAAACAACAGAAAATTGCTAGAAAATTCATCATAAAAAAATGGAGGAAATATAATCTAACTAATATGTTAGATTTGCTTTATAAAAATCATAATACAAATTAACAGTTATCAAGTTAGCATGGGGCACTTGCCACACCCCCTCTCCATATAGATCTGCCACTGATCATATCAGTTGCATAATCATTCGAAAGCCTCATTCTCAACTCAGAAAATCTCAGAATGATGATCGATGATCGATGACTTAGTCTGAGTATATAGCTAGACAGATATCTCTGTGCTATATAAGATGCAAAATCAACTACAAGATAATGGTAATGGTTTACAGAATCATTTTGCATCTGTTGTATTTGAAAATCAGGTGGGTTATTTTTTGTGTGTCACAGATCGAATTGATAATTAATGATGTTATTATTGATGGTTATGGTCTTATGGATCGACAAGATTGTCCAGAATTAAACCTTATAGTAAACCGAATTTAATACATATCCATCACACCACCTATAAATTAAACGTCCTATACAATAATACATATTTAAATTGGGCCGCTTTAATGACTGAAAAGATGGATCTTTTGTTTTTAGAGTTTGTAGTTCTGAAATTTCGATTGGTCATTATTTTTCACGAATCTTGTTTTGATCATATTTTTTTGTTAACCAACTGTGAACATCGATATATAATTAGGGTTTATCGGCTGTTGACAAAAAAAAAATTATAAATATAATTAGTTTATAAAGAAAAATTATTAAAAAAAATTATAAATAAAAACTATATTGTAGCTAGTTAACAAAAGAAAAATTATAGAAAAGAATGGTGCTAGAAGAATGACATAATGTAATATAAGGTCACTAGTAGAGTACTCGCACGTTTGTGCGGTGTGACGTTGTAGTTTTGTGTGGAGAATTTAAACTCTAAATCTGAACCCGATCAAAAACCCTAATCAAAAATTTAAAAAAACCCAAATTTTTTTTTAATATGTCTAAATCCGAAAATCATCAAAAAAATCCCAAAAAGCCTGAACTGAACAAAAAAAATCTGAAAACTTTTTCACCTGGAACCCGACCCAAATAGTCTAATCAAAATTTTAAAATACTCAAACTTTTTTAATATATCTAAACCCGAAAATGCGAATAAATGTAAAAAAATATAAATAGTTATATATTTAATAAATATTTTAAATACAATTTAATAATTTAATGTTTTTGTGCTGATGTGGACATTCTAGATGGATAGAGCAACTCTCTAATTATATATAAGATAAAGATTAGGATGGTTTAACCATCTTTCTACTCTAAATCCAGTTGTTATGTTTTAGTAGGTGTTAGATTATTAGTAACTAGATTAAGGCCCGCATATACGCGGGTATATTTTAAGATTTTATAATAAATAAAAGCATGAAAAATATTAAACAAAATAATATTTAAAACCCGATAAAAATATTTAATAAAATAAGATTGGTAATACTTTTACATTTTTATTGTAATTGATTTTTCTTTTACTATTATTTTTATCTAATACAGAAAGACTTACACATGTCTGAATCTGATCAACTGATTAATTAATCAAACTTTTATTATTCCATTCAAGAGATTTTAATTGATGAAATCTTTATTTCAATTTTTTTTACCTAAATCAAACTATTTAAAATTAGAATAACAATTCTAATTTATTATTTTGTTAGTTTTCTATTTATATTTTTCTTTCTCAATTTTTTTTTTGCCTCAGACCATTATAAATACTATATATTAGTATTTTTTCTTTTTGAAATAGATGTAACAAAAGAATTTAAATTATCTGTTTCCTGTTTTTTTATTACTTTTAATTTATATATTATTTTTTTCATTTTAATTATTGTTTATCTGTTTTTCTAATTTTTAGTTAGTCTTATACATATTAAATTTTTTATTATTTTTATTCCATGACACATGTTACGATTTTTATACTTCCAGATTTGTTTTTTCTAAAACACATGTTGCAATTTTGTGTATCCTAAAACTTTCAAAAACATGATTTTTAAATTGGAGAAATAGAATCAAATGGATTTGATGAATTTGCTTTGATGAATTTATGATTGAGAAACCCTGACTATCTTTTATATGTGTTCAAATAACCTATTACATGCTGTTATAGGAAATTTAGTTTACATAACATATTTCATGTACAAATAGAATTTTATTTATTACATTATTTTGATTTTTTTATTTGTTTGGATAATATTAATTTGATGAATGGGAAACCTTTCTCTATTAGGATATGACAAATATGTTTTTATTTCTTTTAACTATAATGGATTAATTTCTTTAAAAAAAAATTCCTTTATCTAATTTTTTATATTATTATTATTATTTTTTCTTTTATTTTTTCTATAAGACTTGTGTCACGATCTTAACGGACATAACATTAGAAGTGACACATAACATCCTTTTTCTATTTGGATTTGGCATATATTATTTTTTCCTTTTTGTATAATAGATTAAATTAAATTTCGTTTTTTTTTAATTATCATTTTTCTGGAATTTTTTTTTTTAATTCTCTTTTTTTCCTCAGACAAGTGTCATTATCTTAACGGACATAAATTTAAAAGTAACACATGTCGCGATCCTAAATTTTATAAAAATCCTACATGTCGCAACCTACAACTTTATATAATATAACGTTTAATGGGTGCCAATCTAATTAATTTTCTCATAAAAATAAGCACACTTGATTATTGCAAGACCCTGTCACATAGTTAGGGTTTATCGGCTGTTGCATAAGGCTTATTAGTTGCAAATTGACCCCATAAAATATCTCAAAAACACAAAACTAATTAATTTCCGAAGTCAACATGGCCCGAAGCTGCTCTTCCGTGTAGATTCTTAAACCCATCTTCACCGTCGCTTGCTGAATCATAAGTTCGTTCATCACAGAAATGCTCGCGTGATTCACTTCTACTTCCAAATTCTTCAAAGCATTCATCAATCTCGCTCCAGGATGATTTCTCTTGCTCGACTCCACTCTAACCACCGCATCGCAACCCATGATCTTCACATCAATCTCCGCCGTCGATCCCATCTTCGGCGCGTTTTCTCCGCCGTTTCGTCCCGCTATCTCCTCCCTGAGTTCGTTGAGCTGGATCTGAATCGCGTTTTTCTCCGATTCGGAACTCTCCGCTTTCAATTTCAGCTCGTTGATGTAACTAATCGCGTCTCCGAGTAATGACGCCTTGTCCATCTTGGATACTTTCGGCACAACCGCTCGTAACGCGTAGAAACGCTGGTTTAGATTTTCGCGTCTTAACCGCTCCGCTTCCACATGATTCAACGGCTCGTCTCTTCCGTTCGCCGGTTTCCTCCCTCGTTTCTTTTTCCGTTTATCTTCCGGCGCCGTTTTGGAACAGATTGTGGAATCATCGATTTTTCCTGAGCTCCGTCTAACATCGTCGCCGAAACTGGGCATTTCACCGGTTAAAGCTCTCGCCGCCGTGTAACGATAAAAATTCAAATCCTGAGAAAAATTATTCTGCATCTTCGGGTAAACCGGACTCGGACTCGGACTCAGGGACGGGTTCGGGTTATCGGTTTCGGTACTAGTATTACCATCGTGTAACTGAACAGACATTATACTGGGGCCCCGGGTAAAGTCATTGGATCCTTTGAAACAAAATAGATAACGGATCTTATTAAAAAGATCCAAGTTATGTCGGATCTCCTCCGAGGATCCGAGCTCCAATACTCCATTATCCGAAGGAATATAGACGATGGTTTGTAACCCTAACTCACCTCCTTGCTTAGCCCGATTACAACCTGACCCGAGTATCTGATCTGACCCGGTAACCCAAACCGGGTTATATGTTGCAAACGCCTTACCCGCTAACCCGGATCCGCTACGGTAACTCCACGTCATCGAAACCAAATAAAACCACTCCGTATCCGTCACTTCCACGTCGTCGTCATCATCATCAACATCGTCGTCGTCCATCATAGGCAAATCTTGGCCGGTGATCATCGAGGTAAGGTCCCGTAAAACTCTATTCCGGTGCTCTTTCTCTGCCGCCGTCTTCTTTCTCCGGCGGATCTTACCCTCTTCCCCTTTGATAATTCCGTCCGCCCATGTTAGCACTGGTTCGCCGGAGCAGTCGTCCAACGACGATCGCCAAAAAATAGCGTAAGTCCAGGCACCGTGGGTGCCATTTAACACAGCGTGTAACCGTTTCTGGAGAGTATTGTCTGTGTTGAGATTCGCCGGAGGTAATGCGGATTCGCCAGAGGAGGTCAAGAGAGATTCGATCAAGGATAAGTTGTCGCCCGTATTTAAGAGATTCATTGTCGCTTCTTATTGGTGTTTGGTTTATCTAAAAGAATTTTGCATGGGAAAATTTGAAGGTCTTATATGTTTTGAGACTTTATGTATTTATAAACTCCGGGACAAAACTAGTGTGTTATCTTCTTCAGCTAGACTCTCGTGATGTTTAACATTTTCGCAGACAGATTAAAAAGTTATTTCGTTTTCTAGTTTTTTCAAAATAATACGCTTAGTTCCAACGAAAATCCATCCAATGAAAAACAATATGCAGAATTTAAATAGTCAAAACAAGAAAATTACAATAACTTTTGTACTGATTTGGAGAACATCACTTATTTGTGAAAAAAAAATATCTCATAAAAGTTCACTTATTAGAAAAATGGAGGAAATAAAAAAATGTTTAGAAGTTTCACACAAATTAAGAAACTAATTATACTAACCCATAAAGAAATTGTGGTAAGGAGACAAAATATTTGTAAAAGACAGTTTTTTTTTTAATTAGTTATTCTACCAAGATCCATCTTTATGTGAACTTATTATAAACAGCTATGTTGCACTCGTTCTGAAAATTTTCTTTATCTGCTCTTGGCTTTCTTATGCGAAGTTTTCTCCAATAACCTGCATAAATTGCATCTTCTGGAGATTGAAACCATATATTTTAATGTATAAGTCATTAGTGAGTCTGTCAACCACTGGACTAAGGGGACTTCCACTTATAAAGATTTTCATAAATTAACTTTACTTTGTGTAAATTTGAAAATGGCTATTTAACTTTACAAAGAAAATTGAAAACATTTGTTTTCGGTATAAAATCATGAACATCTGTTTAAAGAGTTATTTTTCTTAATGGTAACAACTTCATTGGAAGATAGCTAGTTAAATGATGATAATGAAGTGGCATGTTGCTCTCAAATACTGTAATAAAGTTAGATTTTAAATAAATACAAAATTATAGGAACAAAAATCGTGAAATTTGTGAATGTTGTGATATGCATGTTTTAAAATACAATATAAATTTACGAAATTAAACTGCAATATAATAATTAATGATTATCATGCTCAAATGGTATCAAAAAAAAAAAACGATATGTGAAGAATATTTTGTACCATATTTCGAGTGGAAGTGCTATGTTACACCATGTTTAAAAATTCTAAATTCGATTCAACTGCTTATACTATATTAGGGGGTGATAATTGTGTTAATTTTATTATTTTTCCGCAAATTTAATTTATTTTATGGTTTATTATTGTTTCAAAAATATTATACACAGATTAATTAAATATTATTAGAGTTAGGCAAAATTAACGTATTGTCATGTCCCATCTCGTCCCATTTCGTTCATTTTCATCATATCCTTTCTTTCCCGACCCATCCGTCCTGTCTGTCCCATCCCGTTCAGTCTCATCATATCCCATTATGTTCCTTTCCATCTTGTTATGTCCCATCCCGTTCTTTCCGTTTCTTCTCGTCACATTCCCTAAATATAACTAAGGGTAGGTGAAATTCTCGTCTTGTCATATCTCTTCCCTTTTTGTTCCTTTACATTCCGTCTTGTCACTTAATATAATAAGAAGTAGGCAAAATTCCCTTTTCTCTCGTTCTATTTTTTTGTCTCATCGTGTCCGGTCTCGTCTCATTTCATCCCAAAATACTTAAAAAAATCAGTGTTCTTAATATATGATTAAACTATATAATCTGACAAAAATAAAATTACTAAATAATATTTTTTTTGTAAATCTATACATAATCTTTCTTTTTTTTTAGTAATTTAATTTTGTATTTCAAATATATCATACTCATAGTAATTTAATAAAAATTATTGGTATAAGTTCTGTTCTGCCCTTTCCCATATGTTATATACCGTCATGTCCTATTCCTTCTCGTCGTGTTTCATTTCTTTATATCCTGTTCTTTCCTGTCATGTCCCGTTTCATCCCATTTCGTCTCGTCCCACACCATTATTTGATTCTTTCCCCTTACATCTTGTTCTTTCCAGTTATGTTCCTTTTCATCCCGTCTCATTATTTTTTGTTCCACGCATTTTCGTTTTATTCCTTCCCGTCTGTCTCATCTCATCATGTTCTTTCATGTCCTATCTCATCTCGTTTCAATAATAGTTTTTGTAGATCTATACATAATCTTTCTCCGTAATTTAATTTTGTATTTAAAAATATCATATGCATAGTAATTTAATAAAAATTATGGGTATAAGTTCCGTTATGTCCTTTCCCATCTGTTATATACCGTCCTGTCTTGTCTCATTTCTTTCCATCCCGTTCTTTCCCGTCATGTCCCGTTTCATCCCATTTTGTCTCGTCCCACACCGTTCTTTGATCTCATTTTTTTTTATCCTGCTCTCTCTTGTTTTATTCCTTCCAGTCCATCTCGTCTCATCATGTTTTTTCATGTCCTATCTCATCTCGTTTCATAAATATTATAAAACTGTATAATTAAAGTCGTTCAATTATAGTTTTTTATATCAACACATCAGATTTTTGGTTTATACAAACATTTCAAATTCTTGTTAAAACTAATATGTTAATACTTGATAATTCTTATGACAATTAAAGTATAATAAAAAAAAGAATAAAATAAGTCAAATAAATATGGAATATTCATATTTTAGGGGTGATTCATTTGATGTAAATAAATACTTTGATAAACTTGTATAAATATAAGTGTAAAAGTAAAATTATGAAATTATAGATTTCTTAAGATGAGTAAATATATAAGTTATCTTTTACAAAAAAAAATGTAATTTTAAAGTCTAGTTTAACCTACTAAATTAATGTATGATGGAGTAATTATTATGAAAATTAAAGGTTAATAATAATAACAGCATAAATTAATTAAACAAATTAAAAGTTAACGAATAACATGATGATGTGTCAATTTTAAGAACCTCTATTTGCTGAGGTGGCAGCCGCCCCCAACTCAACTTTATATATATAGATAGATTCTATGGAGCGGAACATCTGAAATATATAGCACACTAAAGTTATGAATACAATAAATTGAAATTGAATATAGTTTTAGTTCCGCACAACATGCCGTTCATTTCTCTAGTATAAATATTTAAAGAGTTTTCTATTTTAAGGTGTTCACATCAGCAAAAAAATAAATAAAAACATGAAACTAAAATCAAAGATTTACAAAAAATAAATAAATAAAACGAAGAGTCAATTAACTCACACCATTATATTATGAATCTTTCCCTTAAAATATAGTATTTACCAAAACGCATGAAATATCAAACATAGTAGATAACATGATATCTTGAGAATAATATGCAATACTGTCTGATGTATTTGAACGAAGATAAGTTGAAAACATAGTAGATGACAGGTATCTTGGACGATGGAAGAAAGGAATGACTATGAAAAAGTATTAGATGAAGATATATAGGTGAATTAGCTTAATATTCATAATTAGAACCATATTTAAGAACATAGCTATAGCAAATACAACCTAACCAAAAAAAACTTTTTATGGACGAAATTTCCCTTATAATTACTCATTACGAGAATTGCGTTCTGTATCGTACACACAAAATATTCATACTATTCTACATGCAAAACAAAAATAGTACAGTTTTGCGAAATTATTAACCACTTGTTATCAAAGTATATCGAGAAAGATAATTCACCTTATTCTAAATCCTAATTACATGAACCCTACACCCTAATACATAAACCATAAACCCTAAAATCGAGATTCAAACCCCAAAATCTAAACTGTAACCCAAACTCTAAACCCTAAACCCAAAATCTAAACCCTAAACCCAAATTCTAAACCCTAAATAAATATTAAACACTAAATCCAAATACTAAACCTTAAACCTAAAAGACCTAGTAAAAAATAAATAGTTGATTCTATTCAAAACTATAAATCCTAAATTCAAAACTCAAAAATATAAAACTTAAATTCTATATCTAAACACAAAACATATAATCTAATCCATAAACCCTAAACCTATAATCATCAAATCTAATTGAGAAAATAAAACAATTTGTTTTGTTCTATATAGACAAAGAAAATGTATAGACTTTGATTTTCACAAAAAAATGAGAAGGGCAAAAATTGCTATTAATACACAACATACAAAGTATATTCTAGCGAAAAAATTGTTATGGTTAGTTTCTAAACTATGGTTAAAAATATGACTATTCAGTCTAGTTTCCCAAGATATATATTATAAAGCTTATAAAATTTATATCCAAGACTAAACTAAATTTTTAATTCGTACCTTTTTTACTTGATGGATGAAATGAAGAGGTAAAAAAATACATGACCAGTCGACTATCATTACTCGATGGATGAAATCTCATCCCACCTAGTCACCTACCACACTAATGTGGCCAATCAGTTTAGTCTTAAATCAAAAGATAAAGTCGTTCATCTTTTTGTTTTTTTCTCACATCATTAATATTTACGTTTTTGATCTCGTAATTGTTTTTTGTTATCTTTTAATCGTTCAGTTAAGTTGTTTTGAATTGACCCCAAAAAAAGAAGAACAATCTTACATAGAAAATGTTACAGACTTACAGTCCAGAGTCAAGACTCAAGAGTAACCTACAAAGTGTCTACGCGAGATACGTTAACATCACTCCTCATGTGAGTATGTCCCCCAAGATACTGTCTTCTTATGTCAATAACAAGACCAATTTTTTTTTTTTTTTTGTTAAAACAAGACCAACATTATTGGTGGGTGGTAGGTTACAGGGTTTCAAAAGATGTGGTAAACATATATGTATATACCAACCAACTTTTTCTATTTGGAAATGTTTACGACTTTTTGTACATATTTGGCCTTTTTTTCTGAACGATCTAATCACATTTTTCCATTTTTTTTCTTCCTCTTGTTAATCAATTCTTGTCTTGATTTAGTTGATTTTAAAAATGATGTAAGATTTACAGATCCTTGTAAAATATTATTAATTTTCATTAGTATTTATAGTTGTAAAATATTGGACTTCTCTTCCCGTGTGATTAGAAATGTTTAGTGACAACCTCAATTGTCATTGCCTAGCCTATCTTGGTACCGCGGTAGCACCTAGTGTGGTCAGCACCAATCGTGTTCGGCCAACAAAGCTTACACTCATTCACATTGGTTCATCCTGCTATACCCCAGAAATTGTTTTAATCCTTCCAAATCGATTTTCAAATCAAATCCATCATTTGAAAACCATAGAACCAATACTAATGATATGACAATTCATAAAAATATGGTTCCGAATTTTGTAGCAAGTTGCTAAATTATTGTTTGTTTTTTTTTGTTAAAAATGTGGCTAAAATTTGTTTCTCAATAACTACTCTCTTTACACCCACATAATTTGTAGGCACAATAGTAACAATGTATACGTGCATGCATATGCAGCATATGTATGATATGCTTTTTCAAGTGACAATTCATATATTTTTCATGTAATTGATTCTATTGCAATTTGTATGTCGTCATCGCTATTAGATTTCATTAAGTTGATTAGATTTCGAAAGGGAAATTAATGACGCACGTGATGAAATTGTCCTCCGCAGATGGAGAGGTGTCAGATTTGGGATCTTTATAACTGTACGTCGTCATCTCTTCGAGTGCGTTACCTCCACCTGTCTTTGTAAGGTGATTGCAATTAATATAACTTTAATTTCGACAGCGATGTAAATGACTTTATGCAATTTTTGGTTGACGGCAAACATAATTGGGAAATATAAGTAGATAACCATAAAAAAAAATCAAATATTAACAAAATAACTATAGTGAAATTATGGCTAGAATATTGTTTGTATTTTCTGTAATAATACCCAAACTGACCTTCATGGATTAGAAAGAGGAAAAAAAAGACAATGACTGTTTTTTTTTCTGTGTTCTAAATCTTGATGGGCGTTACCAGGGCGCTCGGTCCGGGAGTAGCGATTTTTACAAAATCGGAAAGGGAGTACTCGGCGTGTAATGTTAGGGTTTATATATTAAATATGCGTAATGTGTCAGCATATACATAGTAGTCTAGTGGTATGTAGCGTTTCTACTCACACCCTAACCTCGGGTTCGAATCTGCTGTTGTGCATTTCTAATTTTTAGTCCATTTTTGTTTTAATTAAACGGGAAATTACAAATTTATTCTTGTCCTCTTCCTTATACCTGTAAAACTCAAACCCTAATTCCGCCGCCTGAGACTTTTTACCACCATTACTGTCGATTTTACTATTCTTTTTAATGATTTTGACTAAACTGTGATAGATCTAATTTGTTTGACCGTGTGACCCTCGTTTGACCGTGTGATTCTCCGATTGTCTAAACTCGAGGCGCTGACCCTCCTTCCAGCGTTTTTCGATCCGAATACTCGCCTGGAAGGCCGAGTTTTTGAACACAGGTTTTTTTTAGATCGTGTTCTTCATAAGAAATTTTTAGATTCTTTTGCCACCTTCTAAGATTTACGAATTACTTAGACATAGATTCTTTTGAGTCGAGTTCAGCTAAGAAAAAGATGAGCAATCTTTTACAAATTTAGCCGTGAATAAACCAGAAATATCTCTGGCTGCCGAGAAGAAATCAAGTTCCCAATCCCAAATTTGGGTTAGAAAACTAGTTTGATTTTGATCTGAAATAGTATAGCATAAAAGACAAAAGAGATCTATAAGAGGAACACGACTTATAATTTCTTTACTATTTTGATTCGAGAAGCATCATGTTCACAAAACATGGATTAAATTAAGGAGAGTAGTGTAATCGGTGCCACCATAGAAACTCTTTGTATTGCTTGGATGAATCTCATCATTTAACATTGCGATTCAAAAAATTTAAATTCTCATATTTTTCACCTATAAATTCCACCATTGGTATCTTTAGCCTCTGGTTTCTCATCTCCGTCAAAGCAATACTCCTCCGTTTTCGACTTTCGATTAAGCAATGAGCATTCACGTAGTGTCTTCCGTATTCTCCAGAATCTATTCCCAACCTCCATGACACACAATCTCTTCTTTGTTCTATTTTCTTCATTCACGATCCGCGTCAGCGGCCGATTTGACACTTATCCTATAGCGACCAAAGCAGAGCCAGTTTCAACAGTGCCGCCGATGTTTTGTCGTCTCTTCTCGATAAGGGTGGAGAGAAATTAACATATTTGTGAAAGGAGAAAACTGTCTAAAAATGTTTATCTTTGTTAGTTTCTTAATTTCTTAACTATCATGGCTATATTCTTAATATTATTTCCCAATATTGTCATTGAGCAAATTAACCCAACATAATTTTATTCACTTTTTCTTTTAGTGACAGTTTCTATTTTTATCGAGACAACGTATGTTAAAAAACATTTCGTGGGACACAAATCGGTCTTCTAGATGCTGATTCGTTTTAATGTTAATCTGATATATTGTTCTATAAACAGTTTTGAAACATATTTACAGATATACGTTTATTGATAAAGTCAAAAGATTTGCGATCAAGTGTCTTCTTCATAGATAGTGTTGAGATGATTGTCATCAAGAAAGAAATGTGTTAAGCCAGTTCTCAAAAAAAGAAAGAAATGTGTTCCCTGGATTGGAATATATTATTAACAACTTTGGCTAAATCTTGAACATCCTAGCGAATATTTTGTAGGGAAAAATACAATTAAAGACCACTTTTTGGTTACCTCAGAATCTCCGATATAGAAGACTCTCCTACCATAAGTTTTTCTAGCTTTCTTTAATAAATAATAGTATCATGTATGTAGTGAAAAGAAAACATAGAATATATTCTGTATACATAATAAACCATTATCTATTACGGATAGGTTGGTAAATTTTGGGTTCTAATTCAGTTATCCCTAACCTTTAAAGAAACCTTGATTTTCAATAGTGTATTCTTCTTTTTTTCTCTAGTTAGATTTGTATTCAGTTATTTGGATATAAAAGTACATTTAATATATGGTCCAATATTATAATATATGGTCCAATTTATGATCAATTATTTCAATTCGATTCAGATCGTATCCTAATCCTTGAAACAAAAAGAAAACTACAATTGAATTTTTGATAGTCTTACTATTTTCGTAAAGCTAATTTATGTTTTCATAAATTTATAAAGTTTACTATTTTCAACGCCTCCTAATCTGACCAATTATTTGTTTCTTCGTCCATGTGCCACAACTGATTCATAGATGAACTTTCTTGAGAACTCTATGACATTGGCCCTGTCCGAGATTGAGTCAGTTACAACAGCAAGTAAGAGGGCTGATTATTGGCCCTGTCCAATTTTTGCTGCTGTTTTCAGTGATACCGGTATAGTAAGTTGCAGCGACAAAGATAATTAACAAGATTTGAAGGCTTTTTTTTTATGGCCGATTTTGATTGTTGCGAGTTGCGACTTCGGAAAAAACATGGTGCTCTCCAATTCTCTTAGTCTTCTATCTTTTGTCCAATTTATCTATCTCCTTCTTTCAGGCTATTTCCCAACAACTCATCAATACTTCGTGATTCACACCCACGCACCCTTTCGTTTCGCTCCATCTCCAATTCGAAAATGTACAATATTCAAAATGTATTTTTAGAGAAAAATGGCAATAGAAGTAAAAGTTATATTTTATAAAATCGTATCAACTCATGGTTTTGTGTATTCGTAGTTGACATTTGTTTTTCATTTCCTTATAGTTGATCGAAAGTAGCCAACAACTTCAGTCACTTAATATATACATAGCCATGAGTAAGGATATATTGTATGTTATTTTGGTAAATGATTATGATATATTGTATGTTAATTTACCTTTTGTATTGTTTGCTGACTCGATTATGAGTGTATAAAAGTGTTTTTGATATTGATATCATTTTCAAAACGATATTCATATTTTCTATATTGTTTGGTTATAAACTGTTGAAACTTGTGATGCATTCATATTTTATATATAAGTTGGTCATGAATTGATGAATAATGTAAGGTGTTTTAAAAAACTAAAAGTTTTCTGCGGCATAGTGAAGAATATCTCTTTTTTTTTTGTTAATTTTTTAAAAAAAAATTTAAAGAAGCCTTGCTCTCGTTGAGAGTCGATTGTTGGATGTTTACTTCAAGATAACGGATGTATGATTTTTTTTCTTCTATTCGAGTTTGAGTATCCGCCTCTCATTCTGTTAAAAATTAGCCTTCTGTATTTCCTGTAGAAAAACAAAAAAAAAGTTATTCACTTATATTTGTTCTGATTTAATCACCAAAATATTTTATCCAAAAATTTATTATCAATAGAAGAATTGAGATGTTTGACTATTTTGAACTGATGCCAATAAGGTAAAGAGTTCTCTTTCTTCATTTTACATAATTCAATTTAAGTTTTAACGATATATTTAAGAAATTAATCGTGTAAGAAATTTTGTAATCAAACATTAATTTATTTTTGTTAGTAAATCATTTTTTCCGAAAGGCAAAAGTTCTGTAGTAATATATTCATGTCTAATCTGAATAAATGCCTTTCACGGTTTGTACATCTTTGTTTTAAACCTCCTCCCTTGTAACCAGTGGCAAATCTAGAACAAAAACTTAGCAGAGGCAAAAGTATAACATAATAACTAAAGTTTAACTCAAAATAATAATATTCAACAAAATTTTGCAAAAACCAAAAAAAAAAAAATCTACTAAATGTGATGACAAAAAAAACAAGAAAAAACTCCTACAAAAGTACCCTTCTCTCACTCATCATCTGAAATCTTTTGATCACTTTTTCATTTGTAACACATTCAAGCAATTCTTTTTCAATGAAACAAACCATACAATCACTTAGAAACTGGTCTCCAATTCGGTTACATGCAGCTGTCTTCAGTAGTTTCATTGCCGAAAATTCGGTTACATGCAGCTGTCTTCAGTAGTTTCATTGCCGAAAAACACCTTTCCACACTTGCAGTAGCAACTGGTAAAGTTAAAACTAACTTTAGAAGCCTATAAACCAATCGATGTGCAACATGCTTTCAAGTTTCCACCATCAGATAAGAAAGATCTCCAAGACTATTCAGACTCTTAAACCGTTCATCTCTACGTATATTGTCGATGTAGATATCAAGATGTTGTTCAAGAGATAAAAGCTCACCATAGCTAAAATCATCTGGATAGAACTTAGCCAATCTTACCAACTTCTCCTTATCAAAATCATGGAATGAATCAACAGGGCTTAAAGAAGCCATACAAATAAGTAGATCGGTGTTTACCTCGGTGAAACGATCATTGAACTCCTGAAGTTGCAAATCCAGAACAGCATAGAAACAATTGATCTTATATTGACGCATATTGGTTATGTTGGTTCTCTTTCTTGGCTTCCTTGGATCTACAAAATCTTCTTCCATTATGAGCATTTCAGCATCGTGTTTCATACAAAAGGAAGAAACTTTAGTCATCAGTGAGTCCCATCCATCATCTTTCAGCTTTTGTAGTTCTCTCTTTGTAGATTCTACCAGTGACATAGCATTCAAAATATATTGGTTTTTCTTTTGCAAAGCCATTGACAAATTCTCAGTTAGCCCCAAAATATGTAACATTAGATGTAAGTAGAACACACAGTCAAATGTGTGCAAGTACTTGAGAAGACCACCAGCTTGTCGTCTTTTTGAATCCTCATTGCCTTCCACTTGGATATACTCAAGAACTGTAATGATAGTAGAAAACAGTTCTACTAATCGCAACAATGTTTTATGATGAGAACCCCAACGAGTATTTGCTGGCCTTGGCAAAGAACGTTCTTGCTTTTGTCCTGTCCCAGTTTCACCACTATCCAGTCTTTCATCTAATTTTTTACGCTGAATTTCTCTAAACTTATCCTGTCTTTTGCAAGAAGCTCCAACCACATTCAGCAAAGTAGAAAGCATATAAAAAAAATCAGCAATATCAAAGTTTTGTTTTTGCAATTGCAACCACAACCAGCTGAAGTTGGTGAGCAAAACAATGAACATAATATGCTGAACTGTTTTCTCTAGCAACCAATGCTTTTTAGCCCATTGGACTCTCTGATATACCTCTAATTTACCTACTTTTTATACTATTTTAGCATTGTTTTCTAATGGTTTTTGGCAGGTTTTCTATCTAAAAAGGTAGTTTTACTGTGTTTATAGTGTCTAGAGTCTAAACAGGTGAAATGATGCATTTTGGAGCAAAACCATAGGATTTGCACTTCAAGCCGCTCCATGCACAAGCACCAACTTTAAGAGGGCCCAGAAAAAGATCTACTCAATGGATTTCATCAAGACCAGTTCCCTGCGTGCTCTGATTGAGTTAACTTTCCAACGCAACTGGAACGGCCTAATTTGGATGAGTAGAAAAGGAGTTACAACCAAAAGAGTGAAGACTCCAGACGGCTCTATCGAGAATCAGCGCCCAACCGCGCAGTCCGGCTGGCCGAGGAACGAACATTCCACGCTCGGCCAGAATCTCGTCCGTCCGTCTGAAGTCTCGGCCAAAGTCCAAAAGTTCGGCCGATCACGCAACACGACCCGGGAAACTATTGCCCGCGGTCGGCCAAGCACAACCACCCACGCCACGCCGCGCACGATCCGCCGCGCGAGCCGGGAAGTAACACCTCGCGGCCGCGCAACTCGTCCCACGTACCACGCACGAACGCGCCGTCCGAGCCGGGAAACTACGTCCCGCGTCCGACCGAGATTTTATCGGCCAAGTCTTCATCCGTCCGACCACAGCGGCCGACCACGCATCCGTCGCCACGACCGTTCCGATCGTACTAGGAGCGGCCACGACCCGATTCCGGCCGATCGTCCCGACCGACCGTCCCAACGCCGCGGTCGACCCGAAGCCCGTTTTGAAGCCCGATTTCATATTTTCAAGGCCCGGCTTAACCCTAAGCCGCCTCAAAAGACCTAGCACTATATATATAGCTTTTTAGCCTCTTGTGAAAAGAGAGCCGCCCTTGTATTTCGATTTCATACTTTGAGTTTTATTGCAATCATGTTTTCTTCATCTCTTGTGTTGTTGCTTTGATTATGTCTGAGTAATTCACTAGTTAGGTTGTGAGATCTATCAAAGAGTTCATGGTTTGATAGGTTGTTAGAGATCGCCTAGGGTTTATTTATATCGCATCTTCGCCTCTGCTTGAATTCATTGCTGCTTGCTTTTCTGATCAACTAGCATCAGATCTTAGGTTTCATATACTCTCCAAAAGCTTGCTATATAACCTGAACTAAGTATTTGGTGAGCAAAACTTCATAGACTGCGAAAGTTGATCTATGCGGGGTTGTGAACAATTGGGTCTTGAACGAATTATTGCTTGATTTAATCACCTAGGGACATACCAAAAGTTTAGCGACTAGGTAGATTAACAAAGGGGTCGGAGCCTCGACAGTGGAAAGATCATACAATCGTGACCTGAGTTCTAGATAGCGCAAACCCTAGCGAAACCCTTCTATATCTTGTTAACCTTGAATCTCTGCGAGTTTCTCACGCCTAGCGTTTCCCTTTTATTGATTTTCATAAACCGTTTAATCTGCTGTTTGATTTACTTTGTTACACAATCGAAAACCCTAAATCATACTTGTTTTCTAGCTATATTAGACTTGCAATACTCGAAGTGTACTTATCTGCTCCTTGTGTTCGATACCCGTTTACTACTTTTGATCTGTGCACTTGCAGAATCAGGGATAGGAAAAGGGAAAACCTGATCCCGCGATCAAGTTTTTGGCGCCGTTGCCGGGGAGCAATACAGCTACCTTCGAGTTCCCAACTATAGTCTAGCCTAGAATTTCGTTTTTCCTTTTTGTTTTTGCAAACTTTCAATTTTTGTTTTTCCTTTTTACTGTTTTCTATTTAAAGAATCTTGCCTCTATCCCTTTCAGGTACTAAGCTTGAAGGAAGAACTCTAACATGAGTGATTCAGACGAGCAAGAGGATAGAGATAACCTGGCCGCGAGAGAGATCGCGCTGGCCGAGCAGCACGAAGATCCGCCGGATCCGAATGCCGCGCACAATCGCGCCAATGATGGAGCGCGACACAATGAAGAAGTCATGGGAGACTTCGATTCTAATCCAACACTACTAATCGACCGGAATCCCATCCAGCCGCCACTTCTTGAAGGAAGAAGCTATGAGATTTCACCAGAGATTATTGGTTTGGTGAAACAAAATCAGTTCCAAGGTGTTGGATTAGATCCGAATGCCGCGCACAATCGCGCCAATGATGGAGCGCGACACAATGAAGAAGTCATGGGAGACTTCGATTCTAATCCAACACTACTAATCGACCGGAATCCCATCCAGCCGCCACTTCCTGAAGGAAGAAGCTATGAGATTTCACCAGAGATTATTGGTTTGGTGAAACAAAATCAGTTCCAAGGGAAACCGCATGAGAATCCTTTGGAACATATTGATGCTTTAGAAGAAACTTGTGGCACCATCAGTGCAGGAGGTGCGCCCAAAGAGTACTTGAAGTGCAAACTATTCTCTTTCACTTTGACAGGGAAGACTTTGCGCTGGGTTAAGTCTCTTCCAGCTCAATCCATAACCACATGGAAAGAGTACAAGGTGGCATTCCTAGGTCACTTTTTCACAAAGCAAAGAGCAAACTTGTTGAGAGAAAAGATCTCTAGCTTCCAACAAGGGCCGGTGGAGCCTTTTCATGAAGCATTGGAGTGTTTTAAAGACTATACAAGAGAGTGTCCTAACTATGGGCTATCTGAAGGCAGTCTATGGAACATTTTCTACAGAGGAATAAGTGGGAAGTGTAGATTTTCTCTTGATACAGCCAGCAATGGAAATTTCATGACCAAGACAGTTACTGAAGCAAAGATTTTGATTGAAAATCTAGCCTCAAGCGACAGTGACAACTTCATTGGTCATGAGAGGGCAGTGAAGGCCATAAATTCTGATCCATACAGAGATGGATACAGCGAAATCAAAGCCATGATGGCTGAGATACTGAGAAACCAAGGAAGAGAAGTGGAGAGACAAAGAGAAGCTTATAGAGTTGAATCCACAATAATTCAAGACTACTTTGGAGATTTGATCCCAAACTTTCAAGAAGAAGTAAACTTTGTTGGAATAGATGGATCAGCACATAGAGAAGAAGCTTGGAAAGGGAGCATGATGTTTTTACTCAAGAATCACCCAATGAGAAGAGGGATGTTCATGGAGGAAGAAATTATCAGCAACCACCTCACAAGAGAAGAATGGAGCCAAGGAGCAATTTTGAAGATTTGATAACTTTCATCAAGAGTTCTCATAGAGAGCACACAGCCTTGATTGATGAGAGATTAGAATCAGCCTTCACTAGATTGAATGAGAAGTTGGATTCTATTTCCTCTTTCACAAGAGACTTGGATCTTAGAGTTGCCAACATAGCCAGCTCTATTAAGAGAGAAGAAGGTATGCTACCAGGAAAAGTGGAAATCAATCCAAGGAGAGCAGCTGTAGCAGCTATCACTCTTAGGAATGGAAAAGGGTATGAGCCGCCAGCATACCCAGATCAAGAGGAAGCAAAACCAGTCAAGAAGAAACCAATGGAGTATGTCATCATTGGAGATGGGACTGAACCACCTAAGGAAGTCCATGTCAGAATAGAACCAGGAACTCAGGAGGAAGTGGAGAAGCCACCTGAAGAACCAAGAGTGTATGAGCCAAAGATCCCATACAGAAATGTTCTTTCTCAAGCCCAAGAAGGAGAAGGAGCAAGCAAAGCTCAAGGATCTTGTTAGCCAACTTTCAGTAAGGTTGCCTTTCATTGATGCCTGCCAGATAATTCCATCTCTCAGGAAGTATATGAAAGCCATACTCACAAGCAATGTGAGTCTTGAAGAAGGAGCAATGATGATTACAAAGGAGTGTAGTGCCATACTTCAGAATCGCATGCCAGAGAAGCTGAACGACCCAGGGAGTTTTGTTTTGTCTTGCAAGATCGGTTCTACACACTTCCATAGAGCACTTTGTGATTTGGGTTCTAGTGTGAACCTAATGCCTTACTCAGTGGCCAAGCTATTGGGCATCACTGACTTCAAACCTACAAAGATCTCTCTAGTCTTTGCAGACAGATCTGTTCGCCGCCCTGTTGGTGTTATTATGGATGTTCCAATCATGGTTGGAGATTGCTACATCCTGCTGATTTTGTAGTTCTTGAGCTGGAACACCAACCTAAAGACCCTCTTATCTTGGGAAGGCCATTCCTAGCTACTGCAGGAGCTATAATAGATGTCAAGAATGGAAAGATTGACTTGCATCTTGGAGATATAGTGATGAATTTCGAGGTAAACAAGTCTATGGAGAAGCCAACTGTAGATGGTCAAGCTTTTTGGATTGGGAGCTCGCAGAGACAAGAGAAGAAGTGCTGGATGAACTCCTTCTTATTGATCCCTTGGAGCTAGCTTTGACAAAGGCTGAGAATGAGTATGGATACATGGAAAGAGAAGCTCAAGTGCTTAGTCAAGTTCATGGATTCCAAGGAAGCTTATAAAGAGCTGATAGCTTATATGGACTTAGAGAGAGAAGAGGAAGAGCCAGACATTGACAAGGTCAGGAAATATCACAAACCAAGTTAAGTTCGACCCATGGTGCCCACTTAGAGCTCCAAAAGCCGAGCTAAAACAACTCCAGTTGGTCTAAGGTATGAATATCTTGGTCCTAATGAAACATATCCTGTTATTGTTAATGCTGCACTAACAAAAGAAGAGACCGCTTTACTTGTTCGCGAACTGAGAAAGCATAGAAAGGCTCTTGGTTACTCTTTGGATGATTTAACAGGAATCTCACCTGAACTATGCACACATCGCATCATCCTGGAGGATGAGTCTAGTTCTTCAATTGAACACCAAAGGAGGCTAAACCCAAACCTAAAGGAAGTTGTCAAGAAGGAGATAATGAAGCTATTGAAAGCTGGAGTGATTTATCCAATATCAGATAGTGCATGGGTCAGCCCTGTACATGTCGTGCCAAAGAAAGGAGGGATCACAGTCATCAAGAATGAACATGATGAGCTCATTCCAACAAGAACAATCACAGGACACAGAATGTGTGTCGACTACAGGAAACTGAACTCCTCTACGCGCAAGGACCACTACCCCTTGCCATTCATAGACCAGATGCTTGAGCGCCTTGCCAATCATCAATACTACTGTTTCTTGGATGGATACTCAGGATTTTTCCAAATTCCAATCCACCCAGATGATCAGGAGAAGACTACATTCACTTGTCCCTATGGCACATATGCTTATAGGAGAATGCCTTTTGGATTGTGCAATGCTCCAGCTACATTCCAAAGGTGTATGATGTCCATATTCACAGATCTAATAGAAGAGATTATGGAGGTTTTCATGGATGATTTCTCAGTATATGGTTCTTCCTTTGAATCATGTTTGGGGAATCTTGGAAGAGTGCTACAGAGATGTGAAGACAAGCACCTAGTTCTAAATTGGGAGAAGTGCCACTTTATGGTTAGAGATGGAATAGTGCTTGGACATAGAATCTCAGAGAGAGGCATAGAAGTTGACAAAGGCCAAGATTGAAGTCATGACAAACCTTCAGCCGCCCAAGACAGTTAAAGATATCAGAAGCTTCCTAGGACATGCTGGGTTCTACAGGAGGTTCATTAAAGATTTCTCACAGATAGCAAGGCCGCTAACACGCCTATTATGCAAGGATATTAACTTTGAGTTCACAGAGGAGTGTCACAAGGCTTTCACTAAGATCAAAGATGCATTGGTCAGTGCGCCAGTGGTTCAACCTCCAAACTGGGAACTACCTTTTGAGATAATGTGTGATGCAAGTGATTATGCAGTAGGAGCAGTGCTTGGACAAAGAAAAGACAAGAAGCTACATGTGATCTATTATGCCAGCAGAACACTTGATGAGGCACAATGCAAGTATGCCACAACAGAAAAGGAGCTTCTAGCTATTGTCTTTGCATTTGAAAATTTCGATCATACTTGGTGGGATCGAAAGTTATAGTTCATTCTGATCATGCAGCATTAAGGTATCTCTTATCTAAGAAAGATGCCAAGCCAAGATTGTTGAGATGGATACTACTATTGCAAGAATTTGATCTTGAGATCAAGGATAGAAGAGGAGCAGATAATGGAGTAGCTGATCACCTTTCAAGGATGAGAGTTGAAGAAAATCTACCTCTTGATGATAGGCTACCTGAAGAAACAGTTTATGCAGCTGAAGCTAGCAATAAGCATGGACAACTAGGCCATCACAGGCCAGGAACAAAGATCTCATCATCAAACACACCATGGTTTCGCCACATAGCAAACTTCCTTGCAGCTGAATACCCACCACCAAACTTCTTTGGCTACAGAAAGAAGAAATTTCTGCGTGATGTAAGAAGGTACTACTGGGATGAACCTTACTTATACAAGAAATGTTCAGATGGAATGTTTAGAAGATGCATACCTGAGGAAGAGGTAGAAGGAATATTGTTTGCTTGTCATAGTTCTAGCTATGCAGGCACTTTGCCACTTACAAGACAGTATCCAAGGTCCTACAAGCTGGATTTTGGTGGCCAACTATGTTTAAGGATGCTCATGCATTCATATCAAGATGTGATGCTTGCCAAAGAATGGGAAATATAAGCAAGAGGAATGAGATGCCACAGAACTTTATACTAGAAGTTGAAGTTTTTGATGTTTGGGGCATTGACTTTATGGGACCTTCCCAACCTCTTTTGGTGACCAATACATTCTAGTGGCAGTTGATTATGTCTCCAAATGGGTGGAAGCCATCGCCAGCCCTACTAATGACGCACAAGTGGTCATCAAGATGTTTAAATCCATCATTTTTCCAAGGTTTGGAGTGCCTAGGATAGTCATAAGTGATGGAGGTTCACATTTCATAAACAGAATCTTTGCCAACCTTTTGAAGAAGCATGGAGTCACTCACAAAGTTGCCTCTCCTTACCACCCTCAAACTAGTGGACAAGTTGAGATCTCAAACAGAGAACTCAAGAGCATACTTCAGAAGACAACAGGCAAGACAAGAAAGGATTGGAGTGCCAAACTAGATGATGCTCTATGGGCATACCGCACTGCCTTCAAAACACCACTTGGTACCACCCCCTTTCATCTTGTTTATGGTAAAGCATGTCATTTACCTGTGGAGCTGGAGTACAAAGCAGCTTGGGCTATTAAGGAGTTGAACTTCAACCTAAAGACAGCAGGAGAAAGAAGATTGATTCAGCTAAATGAGCTTGATGAGATTAGGCATCTGGCTTATGAGAATTCAAAGATCTATAAGGAGAGAACCAAAGCTTTCCATGACCGCAAGATCATCCCAAAGAACTTTGCGCCAAACGACCAAGTTCTACTATTCAACTCAAGGTTGAAACTCTTTCCAGGAAAGCTTCGCTCAAGATGGTCAGGACCATTCAGGATTAAAGAAGTTCGCCCCTATGGAGCAGTGGTACTATGGGACCCAATGGGAGGAGACTTTACAGTCAATGGACAAAGGTTAAAACCTTACCTAGCCTCCACCACCATACCACAGGAGACCACACTGGCTCTTGGCGATCCACCAGATCCTTAAGGAAGTGCCATACAGTCAAGCTAATGACTTTAAACAAAGCGCTGAATGGGAGGCAACCCATTGAAGGTCATTTCTTTTCATTTTCTTTCTTTAATTTTCTTTTTTTGAATATTACCTCTCACCTTAATGTGATTTGCTTTCACCGGGACGGTGCAAGTTAAGTCTGGGGGGAGTTTTATTGTGTTACTAATGCATTTTTCTTTCTTTTCTTATGTTTTATTCACTTTGTTTCATGTTTTTCAAAAAGTTTTATTGAGTCAAAAACCAGTCCGGAAGTTATGAACTTGCTTTGAGAATTGAGAGTGTTATGCTAACAATCCATGACCCTAGAGCAGAAACCAGCTAAAGGCACAAGCCTAACAGAAGCTCTTACAGTGGATCGACATGCTAGCTCAGCAAAATTTCTAAGGTAACCAAGCAATCTAGAGTTAACCTCACCCTTAATCAATCTTAATTACTCTTGTCAAGGGGGTTGGCATACATGTCGACAGTTCCTTGCTTGATTTTCAATAAGATTTGTCTAATCTTTAAAGAGTTCTCCTCTCTCTCCCATCCCAAATGGTAAGTAATGTTTATGAGAAAAAGCTCAAAGAGCACAAGGAAAACAAGTAAGCATGAGGAATGCATATGTCTGTACCTTCATGTCTTATGGAATACCTTAGTCAAACAAGGAACAAGCTAAAGACTTATCCTGTGGTTGAAAGAAGGGTCAATAGAAAAAATAAAATGATACCCTAGAAAAGTAGGGATAAATTGACCTTTCAAAGTTCTGATGTGAGAAAGAGAGAGGAAAAGAACTCATTGCACTTAAAGACAATCTTGGAGAGGATCAAGTGGGTAAGAACAAGTTCAATTGATCGATGTCCCCTTGATAAAGAATTCACGCTTTAAATTTATGCAAGAGGTTAGCAATAGAGAGTTTGGATTGCTGGATGAGACTAGTTGGGTTGGTATTGTTCGCTAAACTTGCAGGGTGTATGTGAAGCTAACCTTATGTTGTCTATGTTCATAGTGGAATACAGGAAAGGAACCTTTCACAGGATATTCAAAAGAGCAAGGGAGCTTCCACGTTTTCAAACCTCTTTCACGGATTTAGATTCTTTTTGCTTGAGGACAAGCAAAGATCTAAGTCTGGGGGAGTTGATATACCTCTAATTTACCCACTTTTTATACTGTTTTAGCATTGTTTTCTAATGGTTTTTGGCAGGTTTTCTATCTAAAAAGGTAGTTTTACTGTGTTTATAGTGTCTAGAGTCTAAACAGGTGAAATGATGCATTTTGGAGCAAAACCATAGGATTTGCACTTCAAGCCGCTCCATGCACAAGCACCAACTTTAAGAGGGCCCAGAAAAAGATCTACTCAATGGATTTCATCAAGACCAGTTCCCTGCGTGCTCTGATTGAGTTAACTTTCCAACGCAACTGGAACGGCCTAATTTGGATGAGTAGAAAAGGAGTTACAACCAAAAGAGTGAAGACTGTCCAGACGGCTCTATCGAGAATCAGCGCCCAACCGCGCAGTCCGGCTGGCCGAGGAACGAATGTTCCGCGCTCGGCCAAATCTCGTCCGTCCGTCTGAAGTCTCGGCCAAAGTCCAAAACCGTCGGCCGATCACGCAATCACGACCCGGGAAACATTGCCCGCGGTCGGCCAAGCACAACCCCACGCCACGCCGCGCACGACCGCCGCGCGAGCCGGGAAACAAGCCTCGCGGCCGCGCAACTCGTCCGCGTACCACGCATGCGCCGTCCGAGCCGGGAAACTACGTCCCGCGTCCGGCCGAGATTTCATCGGCCAAATCTTCATCCGTCCGACCACAGCGGCCGACCACGAATCCGTCCGGCCACGACCGTTCCGACTCGGCCACGACCCGATGTCCGGCCGATCGTCCCGACCGACCGTCCCAACGCCGCGGTCGACCCGAAGCCCGTTTTGAAGCCCGATTTCATATTTTCAAGCCCGGCTTAACCCTAAGCCGCCTCAAAAGACCTAGCACTATATATATAGCTTTTTAGCCTCTTGTGAAAAGAGAGCCGCCCTTGTATTTCGATTTCTACTTGAGTTTTATTGCAATCATGTTTTCTTCATCTCTTGTGTGTTTGCTTTGATCATGTCTGAGTAATTCACTAGTTAGGTTGTGAGATCTATCAAAGAGTTCATGGTTTGATAGGTTTTAGATGATTAGCTAGGGTTTATATATCGCATCTTCGCCTCTGCTTGAATTCATTGCTGCTTGCTTTTCTGATCAACTAGCATCAGATCTTAGGTTTCATATACTCTCCAAAAGCTTGCTATATAACCTGAACTAAGTATTTGGTGAGCAAAACTTCATAGACTGCGAAAGTTGATCTATGCGGGGTTGTGAACAATTGGGTCTTGAACGAACTATTGCTTGATTTAATCACCTAGGGACATACCAAAAGTTTAGCGACTAGGTAGATTAACAAAGGGGTCGGAGCCTCGACAGTGGAAAGATCATACAATCGTGACCTGAGTTCTAGATAGCGCAAACCCTAGCGAACCTTCTAATATCTTGTTAACCTTGAATCTCTGCGAGTTTCTCATTGCCTAGCGTTTCCCTTATTGATTTTCATAAACCGTTTAATCTGCTGTTTGATTTACTTTGTTACACAATCAAAACCCTAAATCATACTTGTTTTCTAGCTATATTAGACTTGCAATACTCGAAGTGTACTTATCTGCTCCTTGTGTTCGATACCCGTTTACTACTTTTGATCTGTGCACTTGCAGAATCAGGGATAGGAAAAGGGAAGACCTGATCCCGCGATCACTCTCCTTTCATATTACTTGCTCCATCATAACTTTGTCCTCTCACCTTTGTTATGCTCAGCTCGTATTTAGCAAACAAATTATCTACTGGAGACTTCAGAGTTTCTGAAGAGGTTTCATTCACATGAACAACTCCAATAAACCTTTCTTTGACTACACCACCCTTATCAACAAACTGAAGAACAACAGCCATTTGTTCTTTGCGAGAAATATCAGCAGACTCATCAACGAGCAATCCAATACACCATGATCAATTTCTTCTATAACAGATTTCACTACTTCTTCTCCAAAAGAGTTGACAATATCTTTTTGAATCAATGAAGAAACCATTTGGTTATTCTTTGGAGCATTCTTCAAAATAACCTTGCCTATAGCATCATTCTGGTCTCCTGTGTATTTGACGAGTTGCTTAAAATTTCCTTGATTGATAGAATCTTCACTCTCATCATGACCACGAAAAGCTAACCCTTGATGCAACAAGAATCTGGAAGAATCAATCGAAGCAGTTAAGCGGATGCGATACTCCTTCTTCACTATATCATCTTGTTTAAACATGGCATGACAATGGACTGACTTTGATTCAACAAATCCTCACATTTCTGAGCAGCAACAAGATGAAAACTAGTGGGTGGTTTACCCACATGAGTACGTAATCTCTCCGGCTTATTCCAACTATTAAATCCTTCTTTCACAAATGCATCACTCCCACCTTGCTTTCGTACCTCATCTTTAAATAAGTAACAATATAAACAGAATGCTGTGTGAACCGAAATCCGGACAATAGATTCAAGAGATGATTTGAGAGAGGAACTAGAAATTCTAAGTATAACACGAATCGAGATCCAAAGATGGTGATTTTATTAATGTAAAGTGTAAAGTGTTTTGCAATGGAAAAGTGATGATCGAACTCCTTTGGTTCGATCTCTATTCATACAAGGCATAGAACCGACTCTTTCCGAGATTCTCTAAAGATATTCTAAAGATTTCTTGTTATCTGTTGCGGCGCCATTCCTTTGGCTCTCATCATCGTCTAGGGCGAACTGTTAATCTCTTTTTTGGGCTTGAGCTCAAATCGTTAAGGATGGATGTCGGTTCGGCCCAAGGATAGTTACAGCTCGGCCCATACTCGATCGATCTCTGCTCCTGCTGCAGTGATGGGACCGATCGACCTGCAGCAGAAATGCATGATCGATCGACCTGCAACTGCAGTGGTGGGCTCGATCGACCTGCAGCTGCAGTGGTGGGTTCGATCGACCTGCAGCTGCAGTGGTGGGCTCGATTGACCTGCAGCTGCAGTGATGGGTTCGATCGACCTGCAGCTGCAGTGATGGGTTCGATCGACCTGCAGCTGCAGTGATAGGATCGATCTGCCTGCAGCTGCTCTCCCTTCCTTGCCACGCGTCATGCTTTGTCGTTGAACTCGACGGGAAGTATTCTGACCCCAACAAATTCTCTCTCTTCTGTTTGGCTATACTTGAGCCAGCTATGATAGGGAACAAACCAAGCAGGGTTGAATCTCCTCATTACTTTCCCTATCTGTATTTGTTTAAATTTATGATCATGAGGTTGAGATGGATGGACCTCTAGATAGATACTTGAGATGGGTTAGCTTTTCGTGGTCATGATGAGAGTGAAGATTCTATCAATCAAGGAAATTTTAAGCAACTCGTCAAATACACATGAGACCAGAATGATGCTATAGGCATGGTTATTTTGAAGAATGCTCCAAAGAATAACCAAATGGTTTCTTCATTGATTCAAAAAGATATTGTCAACTCTTTTGGAGAAGAAGTAGTGAAATCTGTTATAGAAGAAATTGATCATGGTGTATTTGGATTGCTCGTTGATGAGTCTGCTGATATTTCTCGCAAAGAACAAATGGCTGTTGTTCTTCGGTTTGTTGATAAGGGTGGTGTAGTCAAAGAAAGGTTTATTGGAGTTGTTCATGTGAATGAAACCTCTTCAGAAACTCTGAAGTCTCCAGTAGATAATTTGTTTGCTAAATACGAGCTGAGCATAACAAAGGTGAGAAGACAAAGTTATGATGGAGCAAGTAATATGAAAGGAGAGTTCAATGGGCTAAAAGCATTGGTTGCTAGAGAAAACAGTTCAGCATATTATGTTCATTGTTTTGCTCACCAACTTCAGCTGGTTGTGGTTGCAATTGCAAAAAAAAAACTTTGATATTGCTGATTTTTTTTATATGCTTTCTACTTTACTGAATGTGGTTGGAGCTTCTTGCAAAAGACAGGATAAGTTTAGAGAAATTCAGCGTAAAAAATTAGATGAAAGAGTGGATAGTGGTGAAGCTGAAACTGAAACTGGGACAGGACAAAATCAAGAACGTTCTTTGCCAAGGCCAGCAAATACTCGTTGGGGTTCTCATCATAAAACATTATTGCGATTAGTAGAACTGTTTTCTACTATCATTGCAGTTCTTGAGTATATCCAAGTGGAAGGCATTGAGGATTCAAAAAGACGACAAGCTGGTGGTCTTCTCAAGTACTTGCACACATTTGACTGTGTGTTCTACTTACATCTAATGTTACATATTTTGGGGCTAACTGAGAATTTGTCAATGGCTTTGCAAAAGAAAAACCAAGATATTTTGAATGCCATGTCACTGGTAGAATCTACAAAGAGAGAACTACAAAATCTGAGAGATGATGGATGGGACTCAGTGATGACTAAAGTTTCTTCCTTTTGTATGAAACACGATGCTGAAATGCTCATAATGGAATAAGATTTTGTAGATCCAAGGAAGCCAAGAAAGAGAACCAACATAACCAATATGCGTCAATATAAGATCAATTGTTTCTATGCTGTTCTGGATTTGCAACATCAGGAGTTCAATGATCGTTTCACCGAGGTAAACACCGATCTACTTATTTGTATGGCTTCTTTAAGCCCTGTTGATTCATTCCAAGATTTTGATAAGGAGAAGTTGGTAAGATTGGCTAAGTTCTATCCAGATGATTTTAGCTATGGTGAGCTTTTATCTCTTGAACAACATCTTGATATCTACATCGACAATATACGTAGAGATGAACGGTTTAAGAGTCTGAATAGTCTTGGAGATCTGTCTTATCTGATGGTGGAAACTCGAAAGCATGTTGCACATCCATTGGTTTATAGGCTTCTAAAGTTAGTTTTAACTTTACCAGTTGCTACTGCAAGTGTGGAAAGGTGTTTTTCGGCAATGAAACTACTGAAGACAGCTGCACGTAGCCGAATTGGAGACCAATTTCTAAGTGATTGTATGGTTTTTTTCATTGAAAAATAATTGCTTGAATGTGTTACAAATGAAAAAGTGATCAAAAGATTTCAGATGATGAGTGAGCGAAGGGTAATTTTGTAGGAGGTTTTTTTTGTTTTTTTTTTGTCATCACATCTGGTAGATCTTTTTTTGTTTTTGCAAAATTTTGTTGAATATTATTATTTTGAGTTAAACTTTAGTTATTATGTTATACTTTTGCCCCCCGCTAAGTTTTTGTTCTAGATTCGCCACTGCTTACGTATATGTTTCTCTTTCGGTAACGCATCTTTTCGTTTGAAACCATTAACTTTACTAAGAGTTGCTTTTTTAAACAATGGTATCATTTCAACTTTATTATACTAGAGACTATACCCCCGCGCAAGCGCTGGGTTGTTTTTTCAGTTAATTATTATTTATAGATTTTTAAAATATGTTTCTATTATTTTCCCTAAATTGTTCTTTATAATATTGAAGATTTGTAGTAGATGCTTCAGTTGTGTTTATTTCAAATATTCGTTCTAATTTTTTCAAAGATTCGACAATTATTTCTATGATTTGTTCGTCTTTACATGAATAGTTATTATTTTTCTAGTACAAAAAAGGTTTTTAGTGAATTTAGAACTTCCTCTAATCATGACCTTCTGATTTTCTAACAATTCGTTAAAGTTCTTATTAACATTATCCCGAGCCATATCCGCCTCTTAACTACACCCAACCACCACCTGAATCACCTTTTGAGAAGTTTTCTTTGTTGTTTTCCGTTTGACATTTTCATAAGAACTTTTTGAACTACATTTTCATTTGCAGTCTGAGCCGTTTTCCGTACTCTTAACTTGATCTCGCATTTCAAAAATGAAAACCTTTTTAGTTTTTTTTATATACAGTTACAAATAAACTTTTCTTTTTTTATATCTTTTTTGATTTGTAACTCTTACAAAAACTATATTGTTTCATATATTATTATCTTAAAAATGTTAAATTATTTCTTTTTTATAGTTAACTTTATATATTTTGAATTTTCAAGTTATCTAAAAAAATATTTCTTAAATTTATAAAATATCTAATAATTATTAATTTTCTTAGTTGATATTTTCATTATTTCCTAGTATATTTTAGGCTTTTGATAAATAATATATTTTATTAGCGAAATATAGTATTAGAAAATGTGTAAATTAAGTGATTTATTAATTTTAGTTTTAATGTTTTTCATTTATCTTTTTTTTCGTTTTATAATTGTAATTAAATGTGGGATCCATTTTTTCCTCAAATTTAGGCTGATGTGGATAGCCTAAGAGGATAGATCAACTCTCCTATTATATACTCCCTCCGTTTCAATTTAGTTGTCGTTTTGACAAAATGTATCTGCAATTATTTGGACGTATCTCCTATGCAAAACACGTCTAAATACGTCCAAATATTTGCAGATACATTTTGCCAAAACGACAACTAATTTGAAACGGAGGGAGTATAAGATTGTTTAATACATTCACATTCTTCAAATTAAGTTTTAGATTTTTCCCAACTCGTACTTTTGATAAAACTCTTTTTGAATCCCACCATATTTTTGACATCTTCTCTGAAAACCATATTCACAAACTCGTAAATTTGTAATTCTCCTTGCTCTTGATTCGATCTACAGAATTTAAAGACAATCGCTATTTTCGTTTTTAGTTTGTGAACTGTAGAAACAGTAGCAGTACTAACCATACGGGTTGCTGGTGTTTTGAAAACATGAATTCTCGTAGTCCTTTTCCACTGTCGTATTTATTGAGCCCGCAAACATTATTGGATACGCAATAGGTTTGTTAAAGAAATATACCTTTTGAGGTGTTAATTTTCAAAATTACATCTCTATGGTGTTAATTTTCAAAGTTACACTTTTTCTTAAATTTAACATCTAAATTTGGATTCACTAATCCCTAATTATCCCTAATTATAGATAATTAGGGAATGTTCTCTCCTCTTAGAGTGTCCACATCAGCAAAAAAAAATCAAAATTAATGATTCAATTAATACATAAACTTTCATAATATCATTGAAAGATTTATTATTCACACAAAAATATAAAAATAAATTAAAAAAAATGAAATGTTTAATAAAAATATAAAAGACAAAAAGAAATAAAGATTTGTTGAACTTAATATTTAAAATATTAAAAGTTAATTTTTGACAGTAGATGCAAGAGAATTGCTCTTTAAATAATAAAATGTACTGAAAATTTAAAATGTTTAAGCTTCATAATAATATATATTATGTAAAAAGATGAGAAATTTTATGAAATACACCTCTTGAGGTGCAAATTTTCAAAATTACACCTATAGTGTGAAAATTTTCAAAAATACACTTTTTCCTAATTTTAATATATATGTTTGCGTTCACTAATCCTACATTAGGGTTTAGATTTTGGGTTTTAGGGTTTAGATTTAAGGGTTCAATGTTAGATTTTAGGGTTTTGAATTTCTATTTTAGGGTTTAGAGCTCTTTTACTAATTGAAAAAAGTGTAGTTTTGAAAATGGACACCATAGAGGTGTATTTTCGAAAATTGGCACCTCAAGAGGTGTAGTTTTGAAATTTCTCCTAAAAAGATAATGTATGTAACAAAATTTCATGCAAAATGTTTACCTGTTGAAAGCTAACAGTTAAAATTTAAGTAATAAAATAAGTTATAAAACTAAATTATTGACTTGGATGTTAAAAAAAATTATTGACTATTTCTAACATTTTTTTTTCACTCAATTTTTTTGTTTGTATAAATATTTAATAAATTAACATCAATATAATATATACAGAACAACACATAAAGGAAAAACATTAAGATCACAATTTGTAAAATATATAAATGATGATGAATATCAAAAATATATGCAAACAACCCCGCGCTTGCGCGGGTACAAATTCTAGTAGTTTAAATTTTGGGGTTTAAGATTTAGATTTAAGAGTTTAAGGTTAGATTTTAGGGTTTAAAGTTTAGATTTTGGGTCTAGAGTTCTTTTACACAATGAAAAAGTGTAGTTTTGAAAATTGACACAAATGTGTAGTTTTGAAATTTCCCTGTTTCTTGCACAATACTATTTTTTTTTTACATATTGGATAATTTCATAAAGACCATCATTGGATACACATGTTAAAATTAATTAATAAAGTCCGAATCACTTTTAAAGAAATCTTTGATTCTGTGCATGTATGTTGGTACAATGAAATGAGTTGTTCTCATATTATATATACACTATAGGAAAAATGGGTATCAATAACAAAGCGGGATAGTGGTTTTTAAGTTTCTGCTATCTTTGATTATTATAAAGCGTTTGATAATATTTGGATTATTTAAAATGCTATGTTATGTTGAGCGGCAAAAAACGTAAAAGTGGCGCTTCTCATTTTACTCCTATTATAGCAACATTGATTGTAAAACATCATTGTAAGTTACCCGCGGATCAGATTTTTTTGACCGCCGAGTTAACAAATAATTTATGTCGAAATTTAACATAGGGGAAATCGAAATAGGGATTACAGAAGAAAAAAGTTTCGTTCTTTGTTCTCTCATCCTCTCTTATCCTCACTAGACCTCGATCTCCTCCATCAATTTGTAACTCTAGCACTACAAAAAAAGATAGTTTTACATCATTTATTTTGAATATTTTCATTAGTTATAATTTATGCAAAAAATATTTACATCACTTAGAAAAATGACTTTAAATGTGGTGATGCAAATATTTTGCATCAGTTTTTATTGTAAATGATGGTAATATGCATCACTTGTAGAAAGTGATAGAATTTTTGCATCAATTGATTTGAATGATGTGAAAATATTTATATCACTTGAAGTAAATGATTTTAAATTTAATTTTATAAAAACGTGATTTTCAATATATATTGTTTACTAATAGATCAAATTATAATTGTTTTTAATCTTTATAGAATTTATTTTTTCACAACTAATTATTATTTTTATTTATCAAAAACAAAATACTGGATATATTCACTCCAAATCAATCATTTACAACAATAAAATCTTACAATATTTTACACACAAAAAAACAAGAATAAACAACAATACTGGATAACGAAAAGAAAAAAATAGTGGTATTAATTCAGAAATATTCTCCATCACCAGCTTTCATGCAGTTCCTCACGCAGGAATAGTAGAACATCGTAGAACAGTTTGAGTTCGTGAAAAAAATCCATTTTTATCTTGAATGAAATGTCCCTTGAACATATCAGAACTGCGATCTAACCAAACCAGAACAAAAACGATAAATACAAATTAATAGAACTTCCATACAATATCAAAAGAACACAAAGAGTGAAACAAAAACAAAACAGAAAAGATAGTGGAGAAATAAAAAGATATTGAAGAAGAAAGGTACTAATTTGTTTCACGATTAGGGGGAATCCTTGAATCATAATTTGATCTTGCAAGTTGCAATCCACTATCCACTGACGGCTGACCACTGTAGCAATATTGAAACCAAATAACAAAGGAGACAAAGAGAAAAATGAAGATTTTGAAGGTTTATTAGCAGAGATATGTTATGGAAACTATTTCTTGAAGATTATTCTGCAAACTTTTTTTTGAAGATAATATAACATCTTTGAAGATTGTGGGCGAGTAATAAGGGTTGTGGGTAAAAAAGCCATATCTAAATTCTAATTTGTTAGTATTTCGAAAATATTACATTTGAAAAAAAATTTAAAAAAAAAATTCGTGGAAGTTAATATCCACTTATACCACTTTTATTTATAAATCTGAATTAAAAATCCGTAAATAATGAACGTGTTATTATACATTTTAATTACTTTTTATTGATAAAAATTATAGATCAATTTTCTATGTGATGTTTTTTCAAATTTATAATACATCAGTTAATAACTGATAGTAATCCATATTTTTATCTCAATTATTTTGAAGTGATGTAAATTAATGTAAATTTGTATCAATTATATAGAAATGATATAAAAAGATCCAGAACTGAATCAATTATTATGAGTGATGTTAAACCATATACTTTGTATCATTTATTAATAAGTAATATAACTTGCTATCGTTTAACTTTGTGATGCTATTTAAGTGATGCAACACACCTCTTTTTTTGTAGTGTAGATTGACGATATCCAAATCTCAGACTCATCACTTTCTGAGTGTCATCTCCAATGGATTCGACTCTCAATATTATTCCCGCTGTCTCTCTGTCTCTCTATCTCTCTATCTTTGTCAGCTGCAAATCACGTGCATTGAAGCTTCACTTCAATGTAAATCGAATTGGGAAATTTGTAGCGTGAATCTGGGATCTCGAATAAATGTTTTTGGTTTCTGCAAACGATTTCTGGATTTACCCAGCTCTTGCATGTATCAAATTAACATGAAACTAAGATGTGTTGGAATGATTCTCTGAATTATCCGATCCTAGCTATTGTTCAAGCCTTTTCTATACCACATTGTGTAAGCTGTTTTTCCTTATACTTGTTTAATATTAGTATTCAACTGTGGTCGAAGTGTGTGAATGTGATAGTCATTTGTGAGTCTGATCGTACAAATTATCATCTCAAATTTATGTATCACTGTTGAGAAAACTGGATTTTGGGAATTAAAACGCAAATGTGGGAATCGACAGCAGAAAAAATAATATATGGAATTGGACAGAGGTGGAAAGTCTGTGTGGATACTGACAAAGCGAGTTGATTAGGGTGGGAATAGGCGGCCAACCCGCTTTGTAGTGCATTTTACTTTACAGGCATGTGCTTGCAATCATCGGACATCTCGTCCAAAAACTAGAAGAGCCTCATCTTCGAGTAATGTCTGTAAAATAGTATAGCCCGATTTAACCGTGTAGGGACCCATTTTCTAAAGTTTTATTTAAAAAATAGAAATAAATATTATAAATATTTAAATTTAAATTAAAACAAACAATACAATAATTATATTTTAGTATATTTTCAGAGGTTATATATGTCTATAGGATTTGTTTATGGAAATTATTTTAATTTTTTTATCGAGTTTATTAATTTATTAATTTATTAGTTTATTAATTTATAGAGTATTAATTTATAGAGTTTCTACAGGTAGTACTTTTATTCTTAGGTGTTTCCGGTACAATTCCTTTTAAACTATTTTGTTTCGGAGAAAACGATTCAATTTGAATTCACACAAGCTTGGTCAAAGAAATATTGTTTCGATGACTTTCGAGATATTTTGATTGACTTATACTTGTTTGATGTGAAAGTTTTTTTTTTAGCAAAATAATTTAGTTTGAGGTTTTTTTACACAAAGTGCTTTTTTAAAGACATTTGATAATGCCATGTTATCAATATAGGTAGGGGATATATTATATGTAGGTTTTGAGGTGAGTAGTTTGATTTGCATTTTTTTTTAGGATGAGGTTGTTTTTGCAAAAATAATATAGTTTGGTGTTTTTTTGCACAAAACCTTTTAAAAATCTTTAAAAAGTTGCATCAACCTCTATTTTTTTTTTTTGTCGTCTAGAATTATATTAGGATGAAAATATTACATGGTGTTACATACCTAACCATACAAACCGAGCTGGGGGATATCATGAGATCCCCACAAGCCCATACAAGGGAAACAACAAAAAAAACTGAAGCTACAACTAATCTAGATCCAAGACAAGAATCAAAAAGAAGCAGTTTAATCCTAAGACATCATTGACCCTCCTTGCAAAACCGCATAGAAAAACACCAAAAAAACCTAAAACCTTACCGAAGATGCCCACGGCCAAACCTTCGGCATCAACCTCTATTTTTAGGATATGATATTTAAGCGAGCCACTATGTTAATCAAGCAATCATAAAAATCGGTTATGGACCGGACTGGGACAAGTAGTGACTAAACCGGTCTTTTGACTTTTAATAAGCGGAAAATGGAACTGAGACAGTGGAAGAGTCATTTTCTCAAAAACTCATAAAAAATGGCGGAAAATGCTGGAGACAACGAGAGCGAATTCGGCAGTGTCACTTCATCTCAGAAATCATTCCTAAACAAGTGCCCCTGAGTCTCTTTGTCAATCTCTTCCGTTAAAATCTTCCTACGGAATGGTAGATACGGCGTCGGACAGAACTGAGATTCTCGAGAATCCGATTACCCGTACTCCGATTCTCTCGTTTTCTTCTCCGACGAGCCTCGATTCCATCAACGACGATGACGTCTTCCGTACTCCTCCCGAGAACGCATATCTCTCCTCTGCAACCGCCGATTCGGAATCCAGACTTAGGTTTCCGGAAATGAAACCTGATTCGAAATTGCAATCTCCGTCTTCTAAAACCGAGACGACGATGCCTTTTTCTTCTTCTCCGTCTTCTCTTCTGACGGAAAATGCTAGGGTTCTGGAGACGAATCGTCTTTCTGGTTCTCCGTCTTCTGTCCCGGCTGGTAATGTTAGGGTTCGGGGAAAGAATTCGGATATCGATTCTCCTTCTCTGTCTTCGAAGCTCTTCTTCGTTGAGAATCTCAAACAGTGTGGCCTCAAATTCCCTAAATGATCTTCAAAACCAGTCAATGGAGTAGTGATCATTTACTAAGTATTATTAGGGCTTTTGTTTTGTTGTTGTTTTTAATTACGCATTCAGATTTTGTTCCGTTATGAATGCGTCGGAGAAAGTTGGAAGGTTTCCGGTTGGATTTGCTTCCAACTAAAAGTAATGTTTTGTTTTTGACATAAAAAATGAAATCTTGTCTCTCCATTGTCTTGTTTGTGATTGCTTTCATTGCCAAAATGACTCCTTTTGTTGTGTGTTGCAAACTTGCAAGCAATGAATCATCTAAATTGTGTCTTCTGATCATCGAATCAGCTCATCTTATGCTCCCTGCATTTTTCATTAACCAAGTTTTATGGTCTGATCTTAGTTTTATACACTCTCTGTCTGCATTGTGATAAAACGTTCATGTAACCTTACATGTATGAATGACAAGAACAGGGCATGTCACATGGCGTATCCTATCAATGTTCTGCAAAAACCCACCAAGAAAGAGTTTATGAACCAAAAGTAAACCAGAGAAAAGAGAGATCGAGATCTTACTTTGTATATATCAAACCAGAATGTAATTTTGACAAGAAGAGAATTGCGCTGTGAAGAAGAGTCCCTCTTAGTCTCTTCAATCGAGATGCTAAGTACAATGTCGGTCCATACAAAATCAAATCCTCTTGCTTGAGATCGTACTCGGTCCTCAAGCAATTGTACACAGCCTCGACATCATGGTAAGTATTGGTTTCAGATGGCTGTTTTTATAAAAGAACAATCAAAAGTTGATAACTGACGCATATCAAGGACATAAAGTTCAATGGATCTGTTTCTTACCTTGCCTGTTGAAGCTCCATAGCCTAAATAATCATACCTGTTTTCAAATGAAATATTATGAGCTTCAGGTTCCTTAATCAACAACAAAAATGAAAAAGGTCTTGGTTTTTTTTTTTTTTTTTTTTTGTGTATGTATAAATATAATATAAACCTCGTAATGTTGACAAGCTCAAAATATAATTTGTTTATGAGTTTTGAAACCCTTGGGCCCTCGTCGAAGAGAAAAGAGGCAAAATCTCAATAAGTTTATAGAGACTGAGAAGAAGAGTGGAGCAAATCTGGCAATCGTGAGATGGATCTAATTCAGTCCTACGACGAAGAAGCCGTTTCTTCCTCGCCGGAATCTTCGCCGCCTCGTATGCTGAAGGCGAAATCATCGGCGCCGGAGGTAGACGATACGGCACTAGCTCTGACGGTGGCTAACGTGAACCAATCGAAATCGCAGCCGATCAATCCCACCCAACACGCCGTAGTGTTTAACCCTACTTACGACAGCTCTGGGCTCCGATCTACGGCCCTGCGCACCCGTACGCCAAAGACGGGATCGCGCAGGGGATGCGGAACCACAAGCTAGGGTTTGTGGAGGACGCGTCGATTGGCTCCTTCGTGTTCGACGAGCAGTACAACACTTTTCACAAGTACGGTTACGCGGCAGATCCGTCCGGGTTGAATTACGTCGGCGATATGGAGGCGTTGAAGCAGAACGACGGTGGTTCTGTCTACAATATCCCGCAGAGCGAGCAGAAGCGGAGGAAGCTTGAGATGAAGAAGGAGGAAGAAGGAAAAGAAAGAGCTTGAGCCGGAGGCTGAGAATCCGGCGACAGAAGCTTGGCTTTGAAGAATCAGGAAAAGCCCATGGTCGAAGGAAGAAGGAGGTGGTTCAGGGAGAGTTGACGGAGGAGCAGAAGAAGTACGCAGAGGACCACGCGAAGAAGAAGGAAGAAAGGATCAACAAGGCGAAGCCAAAGGAGAGCATTTCGCGGATAAGAGCACTTTCCATGGCAAGGAGGAGAAAGATTACCAAGGGAGGTCATGGATCGAGGCTCCTAAAGACGCAAAGGCAACAACGATCACTGCTACATCCCCAAACGTCTGGTTCACACATGGAGTGGTCACACGAAAGGCGTTTCCGCTATTCGCTTCTTCCCAAAGCAGGGCATTTGCTTCTCTCTGCAGGTATGGATTGCAAGGTCAAGATTTGGGATGTGTACAACTCTGGTAAATGTATGAGGACTTACATGGGTCACGCCAAAGCTGTGAGGGATATTTGCTTCTCTAACGATGGGACTAAGTTCTTACTGCTGGGTATGATAAGAACATTAAGTACTGGGACACAGAGACTGGCCAAGTTATATCGACTTTCTCCACCGGGAAGATTCCGTATGTGGTGAAGCTGAATCCGGATGATGACAAGCAGAACATTTTGCTGGCTGGTATGAGCGATAAGAAGATAGTGCAGTGGGATATCAATACGGGGGAGATTACGCAGGAGTATGATCAGCATTTGGGTGCGGTTAATACGATCACGTTTGTGGACAATAACAGAAGGTTTGTGACGTCGAGCGATGATAAGTCTCTCCGTGTGTGGGAGTTTGGGATCCCGGTGGTGATCAAGTATATCAGTGAGCCTCATATGCACTCTATGCCAGCGGTTTCTGTTCACCCGAATGGGAAACTGGGTTGCTGCTCAGAGTTTGGATAACCAGATTCTGATCTACAGTGCCAGAGAGAGGTTTCAGCTGAACAAGAAGAAGAGGTTTGCAGGGCACGTTGTTGCTGGTTACGCATGCCAGGTTAATTTCTCGCCGGATGGACGGTTTGTTATGTCAGGGGATGGTGAGGGTAAGTGCTGGTTTTGGGACTGGAAGAGCTGCAAAGTGTTTAGGACTCTTAGATGTCACAATGGAGTCTGCATTGGAGCTGAGTGGCATCCTCTGGAACAGAGTAAAGTCGCAACTTGTGGTTGGGACGGCCTGATTAAGTACTGGGACTAAGACAAGATAGAGAGAGAGAAGTACAAGGCGCGGAAATGAGGGCCGAGCCTGGGCTATAAGTCTGGATAAGTTTTGTTTTCCTCTTGTTTTGTTAGGTTCTTCAATGTTGTAACAATCTCGGTTTTAATGGATTATGTAGAAGGGACGACCAAAACAATTTCAAATGCTTGAAAGAAACTTTTTGACTGTATCGTTATAAATCTTTAGCTTGTGAGAAAGAAAGAAAAAGTGTGCCTAGGATACGTACCAAGTATTTTGTTTCAATTTTGTAGCTAGCACTAGGGTTTTGTTAGCAAAATCATCCACAAATTTTGGAGAGAACATTTTTTTTTTACTATGTGAGCTACATAATTAATACAAAGTCTATGATCCCTGCAAGGAGAAATGCAAAGTCTCATACGGTTTTAAGAGCTTCAAAGAGACTGGAGACTGAAGATTTCAAGGACTATCACGGTGGTTAACACGAAAGACACGAACGGAAGAAAGGAGAGGCTCTTCAGGAAAGGAAGATCCATGTGAACAAAATCAATGTTAAATCGAGTCATGCCAAATAGGACTTACTTCACAGTTTCAAGGAGAGTGAAGAGACCATGTTGTCAGTAGATGAAAACTATGCATATTACTTAGACTATGTGAGAAAAAAAATTAACGTTTTGCGGCTACCTACGTTCGAACTAGTGATGCTTTGGAAGACAGACACTCACGTAAACAACAAGACTGAAGGCAACTTTTAGAAAATCATGGCCGAAATATGGCTATATTAAAATAGGGCCGCAAACTCCTGCTTACTTTGCTTGGCCTCAGGGCCGGCTCTGCATAGTCCATCGCCTAATGTTTATAAAAACATAGTATGAAGAAACAAAATCACACACTAGAGGCATACCAAGATAGCCAATTGGTAACAACCCTTTCAGAAACCAAAAATGTTTAGAGTTTCAGCTTCCTCAGGGTTCAAACCGGCTATGAACAGATCTGTTTTGTCCCGGTTCATACTCAGACCTGAAATCTCATGGAAAGACTCTAAAGTAGATGCAGTTCCTTGCAGAGAACTGTTTTTTCTATCAAACAGAATTGTGATCTCATCAGCAAATGCTAAATGTGTTACCTTTGGATTTCTGCCAAGTGTGTGAAGCCAATAGAGCCTGCTTCAAAGCTTTGAGTTGAAGAGTGAAGACAAAGAGTGAGGGAGATATGGGGTCCATAAACCCCTAGAGCCTATGAAGAAACCGCATAACTCACAATTTATATTTATGGAAAAAGAGGTTGTTGTAAGGTAATGAGCAATCCAGTTTGTGAAAACTGGTAGAAAAGCCGTAGCTTCAAGAATCCGAATAACAATATCCCATTTTACGGAGTCGAAAGCTTTGCTCAAATCCACTTTTAGAAGCCCTCTTTAGGAAATGTTCTTCTGGTTAAAGCCTTGCACCATTTCAGTAGCTACCATAACATTTTCCACAAGGAGTCTTCCTTTGACATAGGAGTCTTCATTTCAGTACCTACCATTTCTTTGTAGTCTCATCGTAATATATCAACGCATACATGCATTGTCTTGCACTAAAAGTCGTTTTATTGTATTGATTACTCTACTTTATACTTTGTTGCCTTCAAAAAGTTTGTATTGATCAAAGAGTTTTTTTTTAACTTTTTTCTACCCTTATATTTCCAAAACTTAAAATGAATAAAAAATGTATGGTTTGACGTTGCACATACACAAAAAGCTTAGACATATTTTTCAAAAACAGTAAAAACTAAAAAGGGTAATAATGAAAATGTAAAGCAAAAAAAAAAATACAGACAAGTCAGGCACTGAAATAGATAACATTAGTTTCATGCTTTCAACCACATGATGGAATATTCGTATCCGTGTGGCTCTGACTCGACTGCCTGATGCCCTGATCCAACTTCTGACAGGCCAATTTGACATGTTTATTGAGATTCGAGACTAAACCAAAAAATAAATGTGTTCTAAAAGTCGGCCGAGTTGCCGAGTACTCGGTCCTAAAACCGTCAGAAGGAGGTTGCCGTTCCGACTTTTTAAAAACCGAGTAAAGATATGGTCAACCGTTGACCGTACTTTGACATTCACATTATTATAAAAATCAGTAAGTAAATGTTAAAATCTGGTGGGTAAAGTTTGATTTTTGTTCACAATTAGCCCCAATTCGCCCAAAGTGTGTAAAGACACTTTTCATTCAACATAAAACCTTAAAAATGTAGTATATGACTTTTATATTGATGTATTATATATAAAAAAAAATGTTATTTGGTAATAATGTAGTATATGATTTTCATGTTGATGTATTATATATAAAAAATTAAAAATGTTGGAAATATATAAAAATGTACTTAAAATTAATTTCCGAGTACTCTCCGATTTATTTCCGACTTTTAAGAAAATCGCTAGAAGGAGACGGAGCGCCCTAGTACCGCCTAACGAGTTTTAGAACAGAAAAATACCCATCTTCCTCCTTCTTCACCAACCACAAACAAAAAAAAAACAAAAAAAAAACGCTTTTTAAAAAAAGAAAACTTTAAAAAGAACTTTGGTCACTTACTCTCTGCAAAGCTCAATCCTTTGGTTTGGTTTAAGTGATTGAAACTTTTACGTCCACTTGAAAGTTTTATCTGATCACTTGTTTGTGTCTCTGAATCTCTCCCGTGAACTCGCATCTGGATTTGTTTTTATTTATTTTATTTTTATTGTACAAGCTTTCTGAGATCCACTCGAATATCATCGATTGGCTTCTCTCCAATCAATCCCTGGTAAGCAAAAAAATATCTAATCACTTTCAGTTCAACTTGATCTGATTTCATTCCTTTGTCTTCTGAATGTTCCAAATTGATATTTGGATTGCATTTGAGCTCTGAAGATTTCAAAGATTCAAACTTTTCTCATAGAGACTCCAATATTCTGAGGAAAAAAAATTTAGATCTTTGTAGAATCTGAGTTCCCATAGATTTTCGGGTATTTTAAAATCTTCTCTCATTTGTTCCTGAATCCTCAGATTTGGGAATTTTCAGGTTGCAATAGAGTTCTGACAATCATAATAATCCAACTTTCTGGGGAAACACAAAAAGTCCAATTTTCTGAGTAAAACTGTTAGAATCTTCTAACAAGGTTCTGTTTACACCGAACTGATTCAAGTGGTTCAGGTCAAAAGACAAAAAGTTTTGATATTGATGGTTGGTTTTGAGAAATTTGGTTGATATAAGTGGTTAGCTCAAAAGAAAATGCAATCTTGAAGGATTCTTCATTGAAGAAAGCTTTCATTTTGGTTGATTGGAGTACTTAGCTCAAAAAAACTGTAATCTTGAAGAAGAAAAGTTTTCATTTTTGGTTTGATTTGTGTTTCTTAGAAATGGCGGATGCGGCAAAGGATTTAGCGTCAGGGACAGTTGGAGGAGCTGCGCAGCTAATCGTAGGCCATCCATTTGACACAATCAAAGTCAAACTTCAGAGCCAACCGACTCCAACACCTGGCCAGCCACCAAGATACACTGGTGCAATCGATGCGGTTAAACAGACCATTGCTGCTGAAGGACCCAAAGGTTTGTACAAAGGTATGGGAGCTCCTCTCGCAACCGTTGCTGCCTTCAACGCGCTCCTCTTCACCGTTAGAGGTCAGATGGAAGGCCTTCTCAGGTCTGAACCTGGCGTTCCTTTGACCATTACTCAGCAGTTCGTGTGCGGCGCTGGCGCTGGTTTCGCTGTCTCGTTCCTTGCTTGTCCCACCGAGTTGATCAAATGCAGGTCAGGTTCTTATGGTATCTTCTTGCAAAGGATTCAAGATTCTCTCTTTGTGTGTGTTACATTCTTGATATTGCAAGTTGATTAGAGAAGTGGATGCAGAGCTAAAAGATTGTGTCTTTGTGTGTGTTACATTCTTGTTTTACTATCAGGTTGCAAGCACAAGGTGGTGCATTAGCAGGGAGCTCGACGACATCCTCAGTGGTTGCAGCGGTGAAATACGGTGGACCGATGGATGTAGCACGTCATGTCCTGCGATCTGAAGGAGGAGCAAGAGGTCTGTTCAAAGGTCTAATGCCGACATTTGCCCGGGAAGTACCGGGAAACGCAATGATGTTTGCAGCCTACGAAGGTTTCAAGAGGTTCTTAGCTGGTGGTTCGGATACTTCAAGCTTAGGACAAGGATCGTTGATCATGGCTGGTGGAGTCGCTGGAGCTTCTTTTTGGGGGATTGTGTATCCGACCGATGTGGTGAAGAGTGTTCTTCAAGTTGATGATTATAAGAACCCTAAGTATTCGGGCTCGATGGATGCTTTTAGGAAGATTCTGAAGGCTGAAGGAGTTAAAGGTTTGTATAAAGGGTTTGGTCCAGCCATGGCTAGGAGTGTTCCTGCTAATGCTGCTTGCTTCTTGGCTTATGAGATGACTAGGTCAAGCTTGGGTTAAACCGGTTTTGGTTTGCTCTTAGTTGTTGGTCTGATTTGTGGATGTTCCATTGATTATTAAATCTTTCCGTTTTTACATGATTCTTCTTAAATTTTCACCGAAACTACACAGTTTATTTCTGAGGCTCACAAACTCATAAGTCATAAGTGGTACGATTTAACATATTGTGCCAACCGAATTTAACCGAACTAAAATAGAATCGGTTAGGATTCCGATTCAAATCAAACTTAGCCAAAACATAGTAAAATTTGATTTGATTAGAGTCAGTGTTTTTAAAACCGGACCGACCCGGTGGTCGGACCGGGTTCAACCATGAACCGGACATGTGACCGGGTTGGGTTTCCGATCTGGTTTAAAAACAATTAATACAATCAATTAATTAATTATTTTCTTTTGTTTGTTTTTAATTTTAATTTTTTTTAAAGTTATATATGTTTATACTATAAATAATTAATTAGAACAATGAAAATATAATTTTCTAATATTGTTATATTTATATTTATATCTATATATCAATTTTTAGCTATTTATATTTTATTTTAAACTATATATATTTAAAAATAAATTATTTATGAACCGGGTTCAACCCGGTCAAACCAAATTGACCCATGACCCGGATGCTAATCCGGTTCGCCTTCTGGTCCGGTTTTAAAAACACTGATTAGAGTACAATGTCAGATATTTCAAGGAGATAATTAGGAGGAAACAAAATCTTAAAGAAATAGACTAAAAACTTGTAAAATCAAAGAAATGGTCATTTATAAATAGTTTTTAAGTTTTGGGATAACAAACTAGCGTATGACTAGTGCTGCTCTCGGAAGAGTCTTTAACTCTTAACAGAAAAAAAGGAGGGAACTCATAACCACTTTATCTTTTTTCTTCTTAATTTTACATATTATTATTGTATAACTTTTTCACTATAAAAACCAAAAGAGGATAGGCTTGATCACAGTTAGTGAAAAAAAAATAACAACAAGTCTTATGGAGACGATAGAGCAACAAAGACACTCACTCTCTTCTTTGCCTATGCTCTCTAGGCTTGATCACTTAGATTTCGTTGTAAATTGTTTCTCACCTATGATTTTTTTCTTTAGTTAAAAATGATGAATTTACTTTTTATTTTATTGATTTTTGTTTCTTATACGTAGATCAAGAACCTAGAAAGACAACAAAACCTTCCAAAATGGAAAGACGACAATGCGTCTACTACCACACGTGGATTGATCGATAGAGGCACTGCGATTAGAGAAGCTTATTTCAAAGGATCGTTACTAGATCGGATCGCGGCTCTAGAGACCAGACTTTTTCAGGTATGGTTTCATTACATTTCAGACCAAAAAAAAATATATTTACAAACTACAAGTGAGTGTAATATTTTCTAGTTTTAATATGCTTTTCTTTTGTATAATATTTAAAAGATATGTTTGGAGTTGGAATCGAGCAGTGCATCTTCTACCTCAACTGGAGGGTCCGGTGAAACATCAAGCCAAGGGATTAAGAGAGATTTGACAAAGACATTACCAAATTTCACTAGCAACATTAATCCTTTTCACATTCCCTTACAACATCCACAAGACCCTCGGGTATATAAATTATTTGCTGTATTTTTTTATTTTTAGTTAAATACTTAATTACTTTGCTGATTGTGGAAAACTATGTTATTATATAATATATAGGAAATGGAAGAGAAGATTGAAGAAGAGAAAGAAGAAGAGATAAATATAGAGAAACCATTATTGGAGAAGAAAAAGAAGAAGAAGGATGTTACTGAAACTTGCAAACCAAAAAAGAAGAAGACAAAATCTCCCAAGAAATGGTCTCGCTTTAGCCTATTGGGCTGTTAATTTTTATTTTCTATCGTTTAGGCTATGCATTATTTAATATTTGTTTAAAACCAAGTTTTTCCTTCCCACTAAATCTGCAATATTTTATCCGTGAAACTTAGGATTAATCAATTTCTCATAACATGTTTTTTTTTTCTTATATGATCGTAGCAATCAAAGGGATAAATCAGTTTCGATTTATAGGCATGGTTATCTAAAAGGGATCTAGTGTGTTTTCCTATCATGCAGTCCTAAAAAAAATAAAAATTAACGACTAATTTAGCAGTAGGGAATTACAAATTTATTATATTAACTCCAATGCAAGCCAAAATTGTACTATATAATCAAAAATGTTGTTTTATCATATTACCTTACCTTTTAGGGTGTACTTTAAAGCAGCTACCCACCAAAAAAACATACAAATGTGTGGATGTAGATAACTGTATATTCCACTGCTCTTATTTTAATTTTATTTTACATGTATATTCCATTATAACTATGGTTAGTGGGCTTTGATTCTTTATTAAAAAGAATATGTATTTGGAAATTCGTTGAAGCCAAATTTTAGAATAAAAAAATTCGCAATGATCAGAATCAATATTATTCCACAAAATGGACTTTTTGACACTTGTATTAACTCATTTTTTCTGCCTCTATAATGCTAAAAGAATGTACATATATATATATATATATATATATATATATATATATATATATATATCAATCTACTCAGCAATCTACTCATACAATTATGAATTAGTTTATAACTTTAACTTTAGGAAAAGGTAAAATGTTATCAAATAAATTAATCATGACAGATTGAGTGACTGTGAGCTCCGTTTCATTGCCTACCAGAATATGTATTATTGTCCTTGTTATAAAATTAATAAATATATACATTTAGCGCAATACAATTTACGGAGATTTCGACTTTGAAATATATAGAGGAATCTTTTTTTTGAATAGTGATTGGCCAAAAGATTAATGTAGTTCTGCATTCTGGATTTCTATGTTTAATAAGTTTGGAGTTGAAGTTCTTAAAAAGGTTCTACAGTATAATACTATTGTTTGAATGATATAGGAAAACTCGGGAAAACAAACAAAAAATTCCTCAATTATATGAAATTTCATGTTTTATTCTCCAACTCTTAATTGCACAAATAATTATTCAAAGTATTGTTGACTTTACCAAATAGAGTTTCGGTTAGTCAACTGTTAACGTGGAAATGGATTCATTTAAATTTGTAACATTATCCGTCGGGATTTTTAGTTCTAAATTCAGAATTTCCAAATCTAAAAACTTTAAGGGAATTTCCGGCTTTCTCCGGAAATTTTTAGCAATTTTCAACCAATTTCGGAGCTCGAATTATGAATTGATACAATCACTAAAATATGTTGGAATTTGCTAAAAAACGTAAAAGTTTGCCGGAAAAATTTCTTAATGTTTTTAAGTTTGCAAATTTTGAGTTTGGAACTGAAAATCCCGACGGATAATGCTACAAATTTAAAGGAATTAATTTCCATGATAACGGTTGACTAATTGAAACCCAATTTGGTAAAGTCAACAATACTTTGAGGAATTATTTGTGCAATCAAGAGTTGAAGAATAAAACGTGAAATTTCGTATAGTTGAGGACTTTTTTGTGCGTTTTCCCAGAAAAAACTCCAAAATTATTTAATGGCGTGTTATCTTAACGAAATAAGTCAACTAGCAATAAATTAAGAGAAAATAGTTCCCTAATTTTTTAACAAAAAAAAACAATGCCTTAATTTTCTAAGTTACTTCGAATATCCGTAGCAGTTTAAAATGATGATTTGTTCACTGTTTTCTAGAGGAGGCAAAAAACAGACCTACAATAAGAAAATACATATACAACAAATGTAAACGATATAATAGAATCGATCAAAGTTATTTTAAGAAATTAACAAATTATTAGTGATAATAATAATCATCAAATGTATACAACTGTATTTGTACGTATACATATATATAGAGACATTCAAAGTAAATGTACGAAAGATGCCAAGAAACAGCTGGCGATGATGGCTCTTGTGGTTATAACTTGTACGTACCTACCGTATCTGTCTCGATTCTTCATATTACGTACCAATTATTTAACTTTATTTTATCAAAAACACAGACCATTTTCTTATAAAGCACTGTATCGTAATAAGAGAGAAATATTTTATATCAGCTACGTAACTATATAGCACCAAATTTGGTGTTATCCGTTTTGGTTTCGTTTGATCGAGAGCTTTTGCCATCATTGGCGCTTCTGCTAGTTAGGACTATTTAGCGTGTTGGAAGAATGGCGGTTTGAGTTGCTATATAGTTTGTGTGTTTTTAGGGAAGGGAGGCTTCATGCCTCTGTGACCATAGTCTGGCAGAGTGCATTTACGGTGAGGGTGAAGTTTAGGTTCTCTTGAAGTTTGAAGTATATCTTGACGTTTGCATTACTGTAAGTTGATGTTGTTCTTCATTTCGGTTAAACCTTTTGGATCCTTTCTTTCTTCTCCTTTAGTTCCATAGGTTTTAGTTTGATTATTGTTGTTTTGTTTGGTTTAGTTTTCCCTTTGTGGACTTAGTCTCTGGTGATATTCGTTTTTCACCGGTTTTTTTTCTGTAAAATATTTGTCTCGTCGAGCTATGTTGTGGTCTTGTTTGTAAAGTTGGCCGGTCTAACACCTTCTATTCTCTCTAAAATCAATATAATTCTAGACAACAAAAAAAAAAATAAGGCACCAAACCAAATTCAATAGTAATGGTAGTGGTCTACTGATTTCCATATGAAGTAAAACATTGTTAATTTTATAAAATTCGTATCTTTAGGTACAGTTTCACCTAAATAATTTTATTATATTTTTAAGTTTATACAAACAGTAGAAAAAAGTAGATAAGATAATACATAAACAAGGTGTGGTATATTGCCACTTCAATCAAAAATCGAGGTGTTAGTATGGATTATGCAATGTATGTTATGACAAAACATGTTAACAATAGTATTCGAAACGGATTGTTCCGATGTGGTGAAGATGATGTCTAAACCTGAGGAGTGGCTAGCTTTCGCAACAATACTAGATGAGTTTCGCAAATGTAAAATGAGGTTCACCTCTTTTTCCATTTTGCATATTCTAAGGACGAATAACATGAAGACAGACAAGTTAGCACAAAGTGCTAGAACTCTACATATTAATATGTATAATGTAAACTCTGTTTCTCTGAATTGATTTAGAATTAGAGGCCGATAACAAAAAAAAAATATATATATATATATATAAAACATGATCCTATCATTTTTTTTGCTTTCCAATGGCAAAATCGCCAAGAAACTATTCTAATTACTATTGACTTAATTTTCCGTTTATGATGTATATAAGCTTAATATTAGTATTTAATATTGTTATTCACCTTTTCTCCCTTAAAAAAGTGTTTGCAGAATGAATAATATGCTCCAAGCCAAACCCAAAACTAGTTGAAATATAAAGAATGCTTCTTCTAGCAAACGCACATTTAACTACCATTTACCACTTAATGAACGTTCTTTTCTGGCCATAAAAAAAAAATACTAAGTGAAAGCTCTCTATAACAAAAAAAAAAAAAGAAGAAGACAAAAAAAAGAAGAGAAAATAAAGTTTTCTGAACTAAGTAAATGTCATTTGGAAATGGGAGCAGATCGAAGGAGAACAAAATATACTAATTATAGTATAGCTTCATAAACCATTATGTGTAAAATAATAATTAGATTTTTATGATTATTAGATTCATCCTCTTTCTAAAATCATTCGTTCTCATTTTGTCTCATTAGATCTGGACATTTTACCCGGACCCAACCCAAAAAAGATAGAATCGAACTGAACCGAATTGGAATCAAGACAAATATCCGATGGGTCCAAAAATTTTATACCCGAAAAACCCGAACCGAACTGAGAACCGAATGAATATCCGAAATATCCAATATATAATTATATATCCAAAATATTAGTTATTTTTTAGGCTTATAATAAAAAAAATAACTAAAATTACAACTAAAAATCTAATATACAGTAGAACCTCTATAAAGTAATACTCGATAAAGTAATACCTCGATAAATGAATAGAATTTTCAAGTCCCAAATTCAGTTTTTGGTCTAACTATCTCTCGATGAATTAATAATCTCGCTAAAGTAATAAAATATTGTGGTCCCAACGTTATTACTTTATAGAGGTTTTACTGTAATAGTTATATTTAGAACAAAATAACCAAAATATTGGAAAAGTCCAAAAACATTTAATAGAAGATATAGTAAAGACAAGTTTTTCGGTTATTTTATAGGATTTTGGATATTCGGTTAAAAAAACCGATAAAAACCAACCCGAATCGGAACCGAATGAGACCCCCAAATAAGAACCAAAATTTGTATAAACCCGAATGGGTCCATAAAATTTAGCCCCGAACCGACTCGAACCCGATAGGAATCGAACCGAAACCGAACCAAAGTTTCCCTAAACCCGAACAGGTCTAAAATTTAGCAACCCGAAAAGACCCGAACCTGAATAGAACCGAACCGAACCCGAACCGAAACCCGAACGCCTAGGCCTACCAAATTTTAACGAGACAAGTGCTTGGTTTCCAAATTTTCTTCTCGTTTTGATTTAAAATAATGTTCTCAAGTGTATTCATAATTTCAATCTCTTTTTTTTGGTAAAAAGAAACTATTCTAATTACTATTGACTTAATTTTCCATTTATGATGATTATAAGCTTAATACTCCCTCTGTTTTATTCTATAAGGGGTTTTAGTTTTTGCACAAAGATTAAGAGTCCATTTAATTTGTGTACTTTTTACAATAAAATATATTTGCTCATCAATTTCAAAACATTCCAACCAATGAAAAAGTATTATGTACAATATAAATAATCAAAAGTAACAAAAGCACATTTAATTTTGCACAAAAATTTGAAAACCCCTTATATTATGAAACAAAAGAAAAACTCCAAAACCCCTTATATCGTGAAACAGAAGGATTAATAGTATTTAATATTGTTATTTTTCCCTTAAAAAAAAGTTTGCAGCTTAATAAATTGTGTGTACATATACTAAATAGCCTAAATTATTGGTTGCTTAATTTTCATGTTATTTAAAAAAAAACATATACTCCATTATATAAGGAAATAAAAGTACAATATTCAGTGGCTAATGACATGTTTCTGTGGTAACCATTAATCTTTTAATAAAACCCAACTGTATTAAACTCCATATATACCCTTTTCTTTCTCACAGAATTATAGTTTTACCCTTCTTCCTCTCTCAAATTCAACTTCTCTTTGATTCGACCTCCAAATTTAGAAGCAGCATTTAAATTCCCCATCAATGGTGGATTCAAGGCCAATCAGAGAAGAAGGAGAAGAAGAAGAAGAAACACAAAGAATCTCTACACTCCATCACCAAATGATTCCTTCCGAGTTAACTCACGACGAGTTCTCCGAGCTATCCGGCTCAATCGCCGAGTTCCACACCTACCAACTCGGTCCCGGCCGCTGCTCTTCCCTCCTCGCTCAACGCATCCAGTCGCCGCCGGAAACCGTCTGGTCCGTCGTGAGACGCTTCGATCGGCCTCAGACTTATAAACACTTCATCAAAAGCTGCTTCGTCGAAGAAGGATTCGAGATGCGTGTGGGGTGCACGCGCGACGTGAACGTGATCAGTGGACTTCCGGCGAACACGTCTCGGGAGAGACTCGATCTCCTCGACGACGATCGGAGAGTGACTGGGTTTAGCATCACCGGAGGTGAACACAGGCTGAGGAATTACAAATCGGTGACGACGGTTCATAGATTCGACAGAGATGGACGGATCTGGACCGTTGTGCTTGAATCGTACGCCGTTGATGTGCCGGAAGGTAACACGGAGGAGGATACGCGTTTGTTCGCCGATACTGTGATTAAACTGAATCTGCAGAAACTCGCGTCGATCACTGAAGCTATGAATCGTAATTCCGGCGACGGAAGAAACTCTCAGGTGAAGTGAAATTGGGGAAAACCAACAAAATCTATTGAACACGACAAAAATTGGGGAATTTTTCTTCTTTTTCTCTTCTTTTTTCTTTCCTGAATTGTAATTTGCTCGTTTAATTATATGGTTATGAATTATGATCCGTTTTTAACATTTGTTGTGTGTCTCCTGGATAATTGGAAATTGGAGTGTTCGATAAGTTATTAGACATCATGCTAATCACGGAATTTAGGGATGATTGTAAATTCACTAACAAAGATAAAATCAAATTATTTTCTTTGTTTATGAATTATTTATATTTTATATCCTAAATAAATTACAGAATCGCTTGATACTAGAGTCTTATGAAAATGTATGTTGATAGTGAGTGTGTGTGATAATTCTTCATCAACAAATGGAAACTGCAACATAATTGAATTATTTTATTTGTTTATAAATTGTTATAATAATTAGATAAATGTACCCTAAAATGGCCAAACAAAATTTGGATGACCTAAATGACAATATAATTTTTTATGACTGAAATAGTATAAATAATTTTGGGGAAAAATAATTGTTTACCCTAAATAAACATCATGTAAAATTAAACATTATGTTTCAGTTCTTTTTTTCCAAATTAGGATTTAGATTTTTGGTTTTGAGTTTATATTTTGGGTTTCGGGTTTAAATATTTGGGTTTAGAAGCAAAATTTGAATTATTTTTATGTTGAATTTTAGTCAATTTTGTTCATACCAAGTTTTTTTTGTCCATTTTACTCAATTATTCATATTTTATATTCTATATAAATTACAGAATCGTTTATAATTAGAGTCATATGAAAAAGTGTGGTGTGGTCTAAGTTACAGTTTTTCATAGTGTGTTTTTTAATGTGTTTTGTGCAAAACAACCCTCAAACTAAATTCATTTTGCAAATCAAACCCTCAATTTAAAGTTGTGCAAATCAAACCTCTGAAGTCAAAATAACCCCGCAATATAAGACATCTCTATATTTGTGACAAAATTTAAAATGATTTTATGCAAAACAACTCGCGAACTATTTTTTGTGTGCAAATCTAACCTTCAACTTAAAAAATATGCAAGTCAAACCTGCAAAGTCGAAAGTCACTGCTAAAATGAACTTATATGTATTTGTCCATAACTACAAACGTTGACTCAAAACGTCATGACATTTATAATATTTTAACAATTTTTATTAAAAATACTTAAAACAATAATTCAATATTTCTTCTCTTTTTTCTCCATCAATAAGGAGAGGGTTAGGATTTTTAACCAAATCCAAAAAAACTAAACCGTAGCCAATCCAGAAAATCAAAACCGAACCAACTTACTCACAATATAGTTACTTGGAAGATCTGAAGTCCTATGTCTTTATGAGCCTCTCTCGAATAATTCTATTGCAAGTAAATTAGTTCTTATCTTTGTCTCTTCGTCGTCATTAGTTAATGAGATCATGAAGAAAAGAATCAACTTATTCGCGATAAGATTACTCGAGATAAATTTATTAATAAGAGGAGAAAGAGAAAGGAAATTAAAGATTAAAGTTTTTTGTTTTTTTTTTTAATTTACTTTTAATAAAAATGGTTAAAATATTATTAATGTCATGACGTTTTGAGTCAACGTTTGTAGTTAAGGACAAATACATATAAGTCCATTTTAGCAGTGACTTTCGATTTTGCAGGTTTGACTTGCATATTTTTAAGTTGAGGGTTAGATTTGCACATAAAAAATAGTTTGCGGGTTGTTTTGCATAAAATCATTTTAAATTTGTCACAAATATAGAGATGTCTTATATTGCGGGGTTATTTTGACTTCAGAGGTTTGATTTGCACAACTTTAAATTGAGGGTTTGATTTGCAAAATGAATTTAGTTTGAGGTTGTTTTGCACAAAACCCTTTTTTAATAGTGAGTGTGTGATAATTCTTCATCAACAAATAGAAACTGCAACATAATTGAGATTAGTAGAAACTGCAATACCATTTATGGCATCACGATGTGCAAATGGTTTGTACTAAGTTACCGGAAATTAAAAAAATCATCCGCAGCTACATTTTTTCTGTCGGCTAACTAATTTCAAGGATAAAAACTACTTCAACTTTTGAATTCAATAAACTTTTTTCCATGTTTTGCAATTGCATAGTCGAAGAAAGTGTATTTGTGCGAACTTTTAAAGAGGAGTTGGGCATTGAAAGACGAATAAGCCCACTTTGGAATCAGATTATGAGACCTTCTTTTCTTTTTGTTTCTTTTTTTTTTGATATAAGTTCACACCCTCCTCTCTTATTATTATTCTTTTGTTTTTCATTTTGAAATTTAAGGAATTAACAATCTTTATTAAACTATATGTGGTAATCGTAGCAAAAGTGAGAATCTAAGGATGCTTCTCGTATTATTCCATTAGGGAAAGGGACAAATCTAGTGGGTACTACAAGTTGCCAACTTGGTTAATAACAAAAGTTAGAAAGTAAAATTTGTATTTTATTTGATTGGAAAGAAACAAAAGTGAAAATTGTAGGGTCCAGACTTTAATGATGGTCAACCAATTATAAGATAGGATCGTTTAGCACCACGATTTTAATGATTAACATCCAAACCTCTTTCGTTTAATTCTTATGAGAGTGGGGCAATGGGATACCAAAAGATTGACATCGATCACTCGTTTATTGCCTTTACTTTTAGTTTTAGTCTCAGTTACGTTGTTTGCTAGATAGAGCATGGTAGTACTTAGTTTTCTTAGGACATCGCCAATGTATTGTTCCATGTTTGACTCCAGAATTAAGAAATCTCAAAATGAAGTTGGGTTTTGCTCGAATGTATTGCCTCATTTTTTACATCAAATTTTTTTTATTAATTATTAAATTTACATTGTAGATTTATATATATTATAAATTACCCCATAATCTTGTTTTTTCTTCAAAACTTTCACAATTTATTATAATTATTTAAATTAATTATCAAAATATTAATAATACATTATTATAAGACTAAAAATAAAAACACATTTTATTTTTAATTAGAACCATTTGAATATTTTCCCATAAAAAGTTTCCTTCTTTTCAAATTTATTATTAACTTAAATAATTAAATTTCCTATTATATATGTGTTATTTGTATTTTAGGGTAAAAATAAATATCAGAATTATTAATTATATATAAAATGAAATAATTTAAAACTTCAAGGACTGTATATAATTTAAAAACTTCAACTCCAAAATGTAAATAAAAATGGGATCAACCTAAATTTGGGAAAAAAAAATATGGCATTTTGCCATTTTGAGGTTGAAAATAGGGTTGGGTTGGAGCAAAATTGACTCCAAAATAACAATAAAAGTGATATATGGGGTTGGGTTGGAGATGCTCTTAAGACTCCAAATTATAACACGAAAATTAATCAGTATTATATGATGCCAATGATATAGGACATGTTGTAATATAGTGGTCTGTGTTATTGTGATTTATTGTATTATATATCATCCAAATTTCCATTTTTTACCATGCATATTATTGGCAGAAAAAGTTATACGCAAATTTTAATAATGTATTCTAGCTGAAAATCTTAGGATAAATTAGACTATTGTGCAAGTTACAAAAATGTTAAATGACGGTCAACAATATTTTAGGATTTATATGAATTTATGATTTTGAATGATAGTGTTCTTCTTTGTTATCTCGTTTTCTAGTATCACTTTTATTTGTTTTTGTTTTGTTTGATACGTTTGTCGTTTGAGAAAAAATAATATATTTAATTCATAGTAGTTACCATTCTTTTAAATAAATCGTGATTGAAATGTGAGTATGTGACATCACATATAATCGTGATTTGACACCAATTTTTACGGAAATCTGAAAATGTTATCATGAATGATACAAGATTCAAGAAAGAGCGCATTAAGGAGTAACACGTCGGGTATGCTAGAACTTAAACGGCAGAAAAATGGAAACTGCATAAGTTGTCCGTCGCTCTCTCTTGTGTAATTGGTTTGGTAGGAGTGAGGGATAATTGATGGGATTGAACAAGATAGCTTTAAGGCTTTCTCTTCTTGGATCAATTGATGGAGATGTTGGTGGGTAGAAGAAAGCCACTCAAGAGTATGAAAGCTCTTGTGATGAATTCACAAATCTAATCTCAACTCTTAAGGAATGACACACAAAAAATATAGATTCAATTGCTCACTAAGTAAAGAAACTAATATTGACTTAGAGAAAGAAAACAAAGCCTAATTTGAAACCAAAGCAAAAGCGCCTAATTTAAAATCAAAAATTACAAAACAAAGCCTAAGCTTTACCAAAAATTATCTCTTTCATTTCCAAATATTTCCACATATTTTTACAATAAAAAAATATTAAAAAGGTCCAGGACCGGACGAGATGACGACTCTGTTTTTCCAAAAATCATGGCCGTTAATAAAAAGGATATTTTGGGGCTTATTAATGATTTCTTGATAACGGGAGCATTTGATGAAGATTAAATTGACGAATATCTGCTTAATCCCAAAGACAGAGCGACCAACCCGGATGACAGAACTGCGCCCGATTAGTCTATGTAATGTGGGCTATACAAGATTATTTCTAAAGTATTATGTGAGAGGTTGAAAACGGTACTATCCAGCTAATTTCGGAGACCCAGTCAGCTTTTGTCCCGGGAGACTGATCTCGGACAATATTCTGATAGCACAAGAAATGTTTCATGGCCTAAGGACAAACAGTCTTGTAAGGGAAAGTATATGGCGGTAAAAACTGATATGAGCAAAGCGTATGATCGAGTTGAGTGGCAATTTGTTGAAGCACAATGCGGAAGATGGGATTCGGAGAACGATGGATCGGGTGGATCATGAAATGCATAAAGTCGGTTGTGTATAAAGTACTCATCAATGGGCAACCACGGGGAAAAATAACTCCGAATAGGGGACTACGTCAGGGAGATCCTTTATCTCCCTACATTTATTCTCTGTACAGAAGTCTTGATATCAAATCTTAAACGGGCAGAATCTGTTAAATCTCTAACGGGTCTGAAGGTGGCTCGTGCAAGCCCACCAGTATCACATTTACTATTTGCGGATGATAGCTTATTTTTTGCAAGGCACGGTTGAGGAGAGTGCAGTTTTACTACAAATTCTTCAGAACTACGAACGGGCATCAGGCCAAAAAATAAATTTTGATAAATCATCTATCCAATTTGGCCATACGGTGGAGACAACGGTACGTGCGGAGATTCATCAGATGTTAGGTATACATAAGGTCGGGGGAGTTGGTAACTATTTAGGTGTCCCAGAGAGTTGGGGGGTGCCAAAACAAAGATTTAGTTTCTTGATCGGCAACAGAAGCGGATAAACGGCTGGACATCTAAGGTTCTATCTAAAGGGGGAAAAGAAGTAATGGTAAAGTCTGTACTTTCGGCGATGCCGACACATGTCATGTCATGTTTTAGATTACCAAAGGGAGTAACAAATAAACTAACAAGTGCGGTGGCAAATTTTTGGTGGAGCACAAATTCCCAAACACGGGGTATGCATTGGCTCGCGTGGCGGAAGCTGTGTCGACATAAAACTGACGGGGGACTGGGATTTAGGGTAATAGAAGATTTTAACACAGCGCTACTCGCAAAACAGTTATGGCGCCTAATGGATAACCCGGAATCCCTGTTTGCTAAAGTTTTCAAGGGGAGATATTTTCGGAACTCAACCCCCTTGGACCCAATTCGCTCTTACTCTCCATCTTATGGATGGCAGAGTATCGTTTCAGCTCGACCTCTGGTATGCAAAGGACTTATTAAAAGAGTTGGTTCAGGTTCATCTATATCTGTATGGTATGACCCCTGGATTTCCGATTCTTGCCCGAGGCCAGCTATCTGTAAAGGAATTAATTACTACCCACACCTCACGGTGAATCAGTTAATTAATTCCCAGACCTCAACGTGGAATCGACCACTATTGCAACAATTTTTTGAGAGTGAGGAAATCACTCGCATTACGGGTATACCAGTGGCTACTGGATATAAACCCGATACCTGGGGCTGGTTTTATACAACAACGGGTCGGTATACGGTTAAATCGGGATATACTGTGCTACAGGAGCTCTCAGATGAGGGGACACTACCAGTCTTTGGACCGGACACTCGGAGATTGCAAGCACAATCCTGGAAGGTTAAATGCACCACAAAACTCCAACATTTTCTCTGGCAAATTATTACCGGATGTTTATCGGTTGGCGCACGTTTATGTAGTCGGGGAATGCGTGTGGACCCACTGTGCGTGAGATGTGGTATGGGAGATGAGACTATCAATCATATGCTCTTTGAGTGTCCCCCGGCCCGACAGGCCTGGGCACTCTCTCCCATACCTACGCCTCCCAGTTTTTTCCTACGGGAGCACTGTATTCAAATATGGCACATCTATTCTGGAACCTCCCAGACAATGATGACATGTTGATGTATCCATGGTTACTCTGGTTTATTTGGAAAGCTCGTAATTACAAAGTTTTCTCAAATGATGATCAAAATCCGCAGGAAGTAATGGAATCTGCGATAACGGAATCCCGGGCATGGGTAGCAGCACAAACGGTAGCAGACGGAGTATCCAATATATCTCCATCAACTCCGGCCACGTCCCACCGGGAGAGTGGTGTCAGATTGATGGAGCATGGAAAGTGACAGACAGTCGGGCTGGACTTGGATGGTACAATTTTGACCCGGATTCGGGCTCTGTTGATGGGGTCTAGCAACCTACGGCGGGGTTTATCTCCTCTTCAAACAGAATTGGAGGCATTGGTTTGGGCTATGCAAAGTATGCTAGTCCATAACAAACGACGGATGAATTTCCAAACAGATAGCGCTCAGTTGGTGAAGATGGTGTCCAAACCTGAGTGGCCAGCTTTTGCGATCTTGCTTGAAGAAGTGGAGCATTGTAGAGGGATGTTCCAGGCGTTCTCCCTCACATACATTCCCAGAACGAAGAACACAAGGGCAGACAAGCTAGCACGGAGTGCTCGAGCTCAGCCCCATGATGTGTATTACATAAACTCAGTTCCCCCGATTCCGCTTCCCGGACCGGTATAGGAATTTAGGCTGTTGACAAAAAAAAAAAAAAAATATATATATTAAAAAGGTTATAGCTACTACCATGTGATTTTTACAATAAAGAGAAATGTTTACGTTTAAACAAAAAGGAAAAAAATAGCTAAATCAAATAACGGTCTTTTAAGCTTTTGATATTGAATGAAAATCTTCTGCCATCCATTTAGGGAAAACATTTGAGTCATTGTATTTTTGATATTGCATCAATGAATATGTGATTTTGTATTACACATTTACACGTTACATTTTGCTTCAAGTTGCAATGTGGTATATATCCGTTAATTGAAAAGATGATTAATAATACAATACTATTAAACTATTGATTTTTCCATAATGGACTGAACAATGGAAAGAAAAAGCTGGGTGAAGGCGGAGGTAGCGATTCGGTGAAAACGCGAAAATTGGGTGATAACAATGGAAATGGCGATCTCGGCTGCGGCGACATAAGGAATTGTGAAGCTGGAGACTGGAATAACATTGAACTAGGACCGGTTTGATGTGAAGGGAACAAACCGGTTGATGGTTGAACCAAATTTTGATTTTGTGGCTGAGATCGGTTTCCAGCAGGGCTTGATTCGATTAAGTAACGCATATAAGCAGAGATTGGAGATTCAGCCGGGTTAACCGAAAATTGGTTAACAGAATGAACCGGTGCAGAGGCAATTGGATCCGATTGAACCGGAGGTTGTGGTGGTGGGCGGTTGACTTGAGTCAAAGGAGCCGGTCTAACTTTGACCAACCGTGAATTTGGAGGTTTATGTGGATTTGGGTTGGTTGACTGTGAAGGATTGGCTGAAGAAGTTGAGCCAAGTCCGGTTAGCTGTTGAACGATGGATCTGAAATCGGTTTTGTTGATGTTATAAACCAGAGGTTGAGGATTTTGTTGTTGGTTTTGCTGGTTTGATGGCTCTTTACGGATATTTTTCCCCATCTTATTCACACCTAGATGATGATGATGATGATTATCATTATTATTAGGATAATCATTAACACGATTTCTCTGATCTTCCATAAAACTTAACCTGAAACAAAACACAAACACAGAGCAAGCAAATCTTAGGAAGAAATTATCAAAGAAACCACAAAGCCTTAATCTTATAGGCAAATTAAGTTTTTGGAAAAAGATTTGAACAAATAAATCCTCTAAAACAAGCAAGATAATATGGTGTCAACCCCTTTTAACGAGAAATAGAGCTTACGCGTTTTCTGAGTTTGACTGGAAATTTGAAGACTGGAAAGAAGAAGAAGAGAAGAAGAACAAAATAAGAGGCTTTGAATATATAAACAAAAGGAAAGTATGACTTTTTTGACTCTCTTGCTCTCATCCCTCCATAATATTTATTTCTTTTATAATTTCAACTTTTAATCCTAATCTAAAAAACTAAAACTATTATCTTATTTTGCCCAACTATTTATAACATAGGACAAAGAGAGAGTAATTTTTTCTGTAACCAACAAGTGGATTCAATTACTACGTATCAATGTTATTGATATAAATAAAGCTGTTAACATATTAGTCAATACTTTATACCAAACTTTTTAAAAGACGACTTTACGTTACAGTTTATATTCATCCTAGTATTTTGGCCCGTAGTGGCATGGACATTTAGAATATTAAAACTATCTATAAAATTTGTATTAAACCATATTATAATAGTTGAAGTAAATAAATATATATATATTTATTTATTTATATATATTTTATAGTAGAACTCTATAAAATTATACTCAATAAACTAATAAACTCGATAATATAATAGATATATTTGATCCTAAGTTGGGCTGTATAAAATATTTCATGTAAAATCCAAGGATCTTACGATGATAAGGGATATAATTAAGCAACTGGCTGAATGACTCTCTTTGCTAGATCAAGTGATGATCGAATGAGATGATGAGTGGAGAAGATGCAATTGGCCGAAATGCTCTATTTGCTTATTATGTTGGATGGGTCGATGGATGCGGAGTGTATGTATCGAGAGACAACACACAAATTGTGAGAGAGCTATGATAAGTCTGGTTTTGAAATTAAGAACTAAGGGAAAACTCACAAAGCTCAAGAACTCGGCAGCTGCTAAAGAAAATTCTACTCTATTGATTTAGGGTAAAAAGTTGTGAGTATAGTGTCACTATGTGGAGCTTTATAAATAGCTCGCTCGACTTTGACACACCAAGACAAAACTTAAACTAGAGTACGAAATGTAAAATGCAAGAAAAAGGACACTTGTGAGTTTAATTATATCAAAATAATGATTCAAGGACTCACATTGCTTTGTCGTTGGAGTGATTGAGCTATCCTTCTCCTTGCATATCTCCAGCTTGGATGACAAGTATGTTTGAAACGAGATGAGTCTTTAAGAGGGGCCATGCTTCTTTCGCTTCTTCTCTTCTTGATATTGTTCTCTTTTGAGCTTGTATGAGTCCTCATGGCTGGTTTGAAGGAAGAGGTTGTCCACAGTTTTTTTTGAACTCTTCTCTAAGCTTTATGACGCCGGACCTTGTTCTTGGAGCATTCTTCATACTTGGTAACAAGTCAATTTGGGTTAAGCTGTTGTTGATGATATCTTGTTTTCTCGGGTTGTATAGGTAGATGTCCACATCATAGTAATGTTTTTAAAAACCTTATGTAATTATATGGTCCCATTAATATCATAAATTAATAACTTCTATAAATAAATCTTATACAAAGATATAACCTATGATAATATATTAAAATATAAATTTAGGATTGTTTGTTTTTATTTAAATTTAAATAATTTCAGAACTTATCTCTAATTTTAGAATAAAACTTTAGATAATATTAAAAAGCTTAAAGACATTCATTTTTAATTATTCCTTAATGAAAAAAAATATTTTAGTCAAAATGACAAATTAATAACGCATAAATTAATTAAATATCATAGTTTTAGCATTATTAATTTATAGAGATTCTATTGTAGTTTACCTCTGGGTAAACAGTAGTCAACATAATTGTTTTACTTGAATGGTACATTACTAGCTGAACTGGGAGTAAATTATGATTTGGCTGAAATGTTTTCCCCAATAATGTCATAGATAAGCTTTGTTGGCTGTGAATAGAGAAGATGATTCACCATTTTTTTTACTTTTTATTTAGGAGGAACTGCATTGAATTGATACACATGATTTTGAAGTGGATCAACTGTTTAACAGATCAATGTGTGATCTTTAAATTTAGAAAAAAAAATCTGGAAATTTATAAAAGTAAATCAAACAACTAATTTGGTATATTCTTCTATGGAAATTGTTTCTTTTATCTACAAGTGTTTGATATTCCCTCTCTTTTATAATAAATGTCATTATGAAGTTTTTTTTTGTTACAAAATAAGTGTCATTTTATGATTTCAATGCACTTTTTCATACTCCCTCTATTTCATAATATAAGGGTTTTGGAGTTTTTTTTTGTTTCATAATAAGGGGTTTTTGAGTTTCTAGGCAAAATTAAATGTGTTTTTGTTAATTTTGATTATTTATATTCTTTAGATTATTTTGTTATTTGTTGAAATGTTTTGAAATTGATGATAAAATATATTTTACTTCAAAAAGTACAAGAATTAAATATTTTCTTAATCTGTGTGCAAAAGCCTTAAACCCCCTATATTATGAAACAAATGGAGTATTAATTTATCTGTTTTGATTCTAATTAAATAAGAAAAAAACATTAAATACTATAGAATTCTAATAGTCAGACAAGGGTAAAACTGAACTTTGAACTACTTTTTAAATTTGTATGAAAAGTGTCAAAGTGACATGAAACAGAGAGAGTATTTGTTTTATGCATGTTGTCTTGGTTTATTTTTAACTAGTTAAGGCCACGTGTATACGCGAAGTTTATTTATAGATTTTATTTTTTAAATGTGATTATTTTCAAAAGTAAGTAAAATAATATTGAATACCCGATCAAAAATCTCTAAATAACATAAGTTATAGTTAACTATATAGGGTTTAGTAAGACACATAATATGGTAAATATGCATTTTTCCGTTATAATTTGAAACATTGTTCTGTTAGAAAATGGCATGCAAACATATTTTTTTTGTATTTTTCCTTTTTCCATTAGAATATGACATGCAAAAAGAAATCTCCTTGTTCCGTTAAAATATGGATGATTGTTTTTTTCTTCCTTTTTGTTTAACATTTTTTAATTAGTTTTATTTTCTTTTGTTATTCGATTAGACACATGTCAAGATCTTAAGAGGAGTCAAATTAAAAAATCATACATATCGCGATCATGTGAGTTATAAAATTCTTATGTGTTGCAACCACAACGCGAACATCCAATTTTATATAATAAGATTTATTTGTTGTATTGATAAACTAATTTTTCTCAAATTAGGGGGGTTTATTGGTTAATGGATTTTAATGGATTTAGAAATTTAAGCTAAAATCCCCCCTTATTGGATTAGTGATTTTAAAATCTTTGTCAAAATCCCCCATTTTCATTCAATGATTTCTATATACTAGTTGAAATTTCGATGTTATTGGTTTAATGATTTGTTATTTAGATTTGGAAATCCACTCTGGATTTCAATGGATTTGGAAGTGATTCTAAGTCAAAAATACAAAGAACCAAATCCAATGTATGAAATAGCAACTATAAATTTAATGTAAATTATATAATTATATATATGCATTATTTTGGATTGCTTATTTATGGCTTTTTTCATTCAAACATATAATTTGGACCACCTTATATGCATTTTATCTGCTATATCCGTATTATATTAGTTTCGTTCCATACACTTAATCCATAACATATGATTTGCTTTCTCCATTTAGAACCTTAATATGATATTATTTAATTTTGTTGTTTTGTTTATTGGTGATTATATAAACATGATATTACAGAAATATCGTCAAAAAATCATTCAAAATGGCAGTCACTTATATTTTAAAGATCTTCATAAAACCGTTTAAGCCTTTAGAGGAAAATCTTTGACACATACTTCATCCATTTCTTTTTACTTAGCTTGTCGTTCTAGAGTTTTTCACATAAATTAATAAAGTAATCAATTTTATTATTTTACCTCTATTTAATTCATTTTTTAGTATGAATTCCGACGAGATACATCCATTTTTTTCAGATTCATTTTGGCCAACTGCTTAGACCATCTCCAACCCCTCATGCCATATGTTATTGCAAATGGCAAAAATATAGCAATAGCATTGGGTTTCTCTCCAACCCCTCATGCCATATATCATGCTATAATTTTTTTCCAACTTATTATTAATTGTTAAAACTACTTGATTTCTTCAAATTTTACAAAGTGAATCATTTGTTTTTCTTTTTTTGCAAAAACAACCAGAATTATATTTTTTTATTATTATAATATTAAAACAAAATACATCATATTACATAAAAATTATAGAAAACAAAGATTTTAACCTATTGTTTTATGTTTTTTGAATTTCAGTATTTTTAAAAATAAAATTTAAGTTTATTATGGTTATGTTTTTATATTTCTATGAAATAAATATTATTTATATTTTGAAAAAGTTATGAGTATTGTTTATTTATTTAAATAAATCATAATCAATATAATTAAACTGTTAAATTAAAAGTAATTACAAATTGAAGGACTATTTTATAAATAAAAAAGTTCAATGGCAAAATAGCATATTGCATAATCTCATGCCAAATATAGAAGCAAAAATAGCATGATGCTATTTTGCAATAGCATATGCAATTGGGTTGGAGCAAAAATTATGGCAAAATAGCATATATGTCATATTTAGCATGGGGTTGAGATGCTCTTATAATATGGGATAGAGGGAGTAATTAATAAGCTAAAATAGGGTTAAAGTTGAAAAATCTATATTATAATGAGAGGATAATTTCTCTCGGAGAGGCCAGCATTTACCTTCTTCTATCGCGAGGACACGTGGCACTCTCATTTATTATAAAAAAACAAACTTTTTTTATTTGTTGTAAGTCCTTTCACATTTTTTTCCTTAAACAAAAATCCCAATACATCGGCTCTTTTCATTTCCTCTCTCACACACCGACGCCGGCACCGCCAAAACGCCGGATCTCTTCTTCCCGTCTTATTTTGACCGCACCACCGTAGGTGCCTCAGATGCGCAGTCGAGATCAGGCTCCGCTCCACCGTCTCGGATCGACCGGCCACATCGTCGATTTCTCTTCTCGAGATTAGGTTTTGAGTTTCAATTGGAGTGATCACACTCATTTTCACGAGAGTTTGGATCTCCGAAAGTTATGGAAGTGACTGCATTACCAATCGAGTCATCTAGACAAAAATGACTATTACATTCACCAATGATCGGAAATAGGAGATACCTTTGCTCACTTGGATCAGATGCAGATGCATCAATGGTGAACTCAACAGGGTTCACAGTAGGATCAATTCGCTTCCCTGAACAAACTGGATCGCCAGTCTCCACCGTCTTAAAGACTCCCTCCCATGACACAGATGCATTCACTCCAACCCCGGCCGGCTCCACTACTTCACCGGCGTTGTCTCGATCCAAAGATTCGACCGTCTCCGTTCGTCTCCGTCCCATTCGAGACATTGTCAATTGCTACTTCGGACTTAGGGCTCCTCTCTTCCCAGCGGGCTCCCTCCAATTCAGGTTTCTCCACTGTAAAGCCCAAGACGTTTTACTTATTGTTCATGTCTGAGCCCATTTGTGATTTACAATAACGTCTCTCTTCGTTGTGTTTTATGTGACGAGCGTTACTGCTATGTTTTTTCATCAGACGAATTGGCTCCCCTGTAACGGTTCATTTAGCTAACTTGAGAAATTAAACTAAATGGAATCGAGAGATCAAAGATTTTTTAAGTTAAATCTAGATGCTCTATCCATGGTTATAGTCAGGAATCAAGATTGTTCAGGATTGTTCCCTCAGCTTTTGTTTCCAAGAATGTAAAGGTCTTGTAATTTTGATGCATCTTCTAATATAAATTTTGTGATGCCTTTTGCTTTTACTTTTTTCAGTCAGGTATCTACGGTTACACTGCATATTCAGCTAGCAAGTTTGGGCTTCAGGGTTTAGCGCAAGCATTGCAACAAGAAGTTATATCTGATGATATTCATGTGACTCTCTTGTTTCCTCCTGACACGGATACACCCGGGTCTGAACAAGGTAAAACAATTCAGAATCTTTTAACCTTTTCTGATTGATTGCTACTCTGATTTCATGTTCCTGATGAGATATCATTTGAATTTTTTTTTTTGTTTGTTTGGGATCTCAGAACAGAAGAAGAGACCAAAGCTCACTTAATTTGTTTTGTCATCCTCTGGTTCAATGATTGCTAGCGATAATGGGTCCTTCTGGATCTGGGAAAACAACATTGCTCAATGTTTTAGCTGGGCAGCTTAGTTCATCACCACGGAGCACAAGTAAAGCTTATAAGTAAATGCGCTATGAGTTATACAAAGTCTGTGTTTAGGTGAAATCTGATTATTGTTTGACAGAGTTTTTCTTGCAATGGCAGGATTGCGTTTGTGAGACAGGAGGATCTGCTCTTCTCGCTCACAGTCAACTCTTTCTTTCGCAGCTCCCAGAGATATCTTCTGCTGAGGAGAAGGATGAGGATGTGAACAACCTCTTGTTCAAACTTGGTCTGGTGAGGCTTTTCATTGATATCTGCATTTTGGTATATCAAAATCCTGAAATCTGCTTCTTTATTATCCATTTGTGGCTCTCCCAAAAGGTCAGTTGTGCAGATTCATGTGTTGGTGATGCAAAAGTTCGTGCGATCAGCGGTGGAGAAAAAAAGAGGCTTTCACTTGGAATTTTAGTTTTCTTTACAGGCTGCTACTGTTTTCAAGCTGGAAACAAACGTTCTCTTAGAAGATCTGTTTTCAAGGTGATGCATCCAAATCTCTCAAATACCTTTTCTATATTGAACTCTAAGCATAGAGATTCACACATGAGACTAAACATTGAATTGGCGTTCTTTAAGCTTGTGTTTGTTTGATTATTAAACTATTGGATGAAGATCCTTCCGAAGCGCTATGGGTAAGTGCAACATTTAAGAAGGTCACATGAAAGAAAAACGTAGCTTCATCCCTATAATCTTGAAGCTAAGGTTAATTTGTTTTGTGTCGAATCTGGGAAATGATGATCTGAAATAGATTTTGGAGTTTTGGTGTAGCTGTTTTACTATGAATTGTTTATCTCTCTGTTCGTTGAATCAGCAAATGTGTGATTATCAATGTAAACCTTATCCTTGCTTGTGTTGTACCCCTTTTTCCTTTTGCAGCAGAACAATAGCATAAGCTTCAACAGTAAGCCATAGTCATCTTCCTTAGCATTGAATCAAAGAACAACAAGCATAGGGGACTCAAAACGGTACACAAACTCAACAATATGCATGTCGGTTCAGCAAACAGGTAGCTCCAAGGTCTCTGTCTCTCCATTGCACTTGTACAAACCCAAGGAAGCTTACACAGCCAAGATCGTCTCCGTAGCGAGAGTCGTTAGCGCAAACGCCCCAGGAGAAACTTGCGAGGTATGGAGATTTCTTTGACGGTAAGACAGCGAGTTTGTGTGCGAAGAGCTGTTTACTACGATCCCGAAACTGGAAAAGAAGATCCTTCAAAGAACGGCGTCTGCAGCAACTTCCTATGTGATTCAAAGCCCGGAGACAAGATTCAAATATCTGGTATGTTCATTAAATACATATAGACACCTTGAAAGAAGAGTTTTTGGACTTAATATAATTTTTCGAAACCAGGTCCATCGGGGAAGGTAATGCTATTACTAGAGGATGATCCAAACGGCACATAATGATAGCCACGGGAACAGGAGTGGCTCCTTACAGAGGCTACTTACGTCGAATGTTCATGGAAAAACCAACGTACCAAACTACAAGTTTGGCGGCTTAGCTTGGCTCTTCTTAGGTGTGGCCAACACGGATAGTCTTTCTCTACGACGATGAGTTTAGCAAGTACTTAAAGGACCATCCGGAGAACTTTAGGTTCGATAAGGCGTTGAGCAGAGAAGAGAAGAACAAGAAAGGTGGAAAGATGTATGTGCAGGACAAGATTGAAGAGTATATAGTGATGAGATCTTCAAGCTTTTGGACAATGGAGCTCATATTTACTTCTGTGGGCGTAAAGGTATGATGCATGGGATTCAAGATACGCTTAAGAGAGTTGCAGAGGAGAGAGGTGAGAGCTGGGACTTGAGGCTTTCTCAGCTCAAGAAGAACAAGCAATGGCACGTTGAAGTCTATTACGCTTCATTGTTACCTTTTCTTGCCCTCTTTTCTACTGTTTTGCTGTCTTTAACTTTATTTAAGTATCATATTAAATATTTGAATTGATGTTGTTCTAGACAATATATATTTTTGTTATTTATTTTCTTTTCATTTTAGTTTCACTTTCATACGATATGTATGCCATATATGAGTTAGTCCGATGAGTGCTTATATTTTTTTGGTGCTTATTTTGGTGCTTATATTTTTTTCAAGAGTCTAACAAAAGTGTTATTATCTTGGTGCTTATATTTTTTTTCAAGAGTTTAGTTACGGTTTAATTTGTTTATCATTTTTTTTTGACATCAATATGTTTGTAATTATGTGACTTGATATGGAGTGTAAGAATTTAAATGGAATCAATTTCTTCTTGCACCTGAGGTGGAAGTTTTTTTTTTTTTTTTTTTTGTTTATTACAATTTTCTTGAATTTTGTCATTAATTTTTAATTCACTAATTATCAATATCAAACAAAATAAAATAGTAATTAGGGGTAAAACAATAACTTTGATTATTTTTTATTGCATAAAATATTTCAGAACAATAACTAAAAAAGATAGAGACATTAATTTTTGAAATATAATATACATATTTTATATTCAACATTTATGTGAAAAAATAAAAAAATTCAATATTTTATTTTAGACAAAATAAGGAACAATATAGAAAAGGATAGATAAAAATATTTGAAAATTAATGTAAAAGTTCAAAGACAAAACTTTGTAATAGTCATAACCCGCGCATTGCGCAGGCTAAGCCCTAATATATTAATAAATGTATATTGAAAATACAAAACGACAAATAAAACAAAATAAGAAAATAAGTTCAGAACAACAACTAATATGAATAGAGGTAACTATAACCTTCGACACTTGTGTGCGTAAGGACATTTTCAATGACATTATTAACTCATGTGATAGAATATGTTTCCCGGTAACACTACAATTGTTCTCTGTTAAGGGGTAAATTTCATTTCTGTTAACGACATATAAAGTGAAACGGAGGGAATATCTTTTTTATTTATAGAACTCTTGTTTTGCGAAACAATTAAATAACCCATTATTTATTGTTATTTTGTTACAGAATGTAGTTGGTTTGTACTTTTACTAACCCAGTAACCCATGTGATAATATTACACTTATCCGTGATTAGAGAATGTCACCAGAAAATGTATTTTGTCATTTAGGTTAAAAATATCATTAAATAAAAATGTTGATGGCTTAAACTGCCAGCTGAAAACTTATAAGGTATAAAAAAATGTAAGTAGTTGTCACTATGATTGTTTTTTATGCGATTTTTCATAAACTAAATTACAGTTGAAAAAATGAATAGTTTACCACCAATATGGATGATCTCTGGTGAATACAAAAGAAACTGAAAGCTACTATTTTTTCCTTTTTCAATAACAAGTAATATACTATTTTAAACTTATGTAGTAATACATTGTTAACACCAACACAAACCATTACAATACGTAGATTTTGCTTATATGAATAGATTTTATAAGAAATAAATTAAAACACATTATAATGGAAAACAATATTTTTATTCAAAAATACAAGAGATGACAATATAGATTTATATTCAAAGAGAATAAATGTGATAAATTATATGTAAACAAAACATAATTTGTTGTCAACATAGTACTATTATATATTTCACATATTCTGTCACGATTTATATAATCAAGAATCTGGATTTGAAACTCTACGTACGTAACCAGTTTCATTTCTCTTTCGATCGATGATATATCTCATCTTAAAACTTATATAAAATCTCAGAATCATGATCCCATTGATGATCATATGTTAATTTTCCTTTTTTCTTCTATCAATCCTTGATCTCTCAAATTCTCAAAACTCCAGTCTCTTCTCATTCCACTGCTCCTCACAAGACTCGGTTGTTCGGATCGAATCTGTCCATTGCTAGGGGTAGAACCAACCGGACCACTTAGCCTAATGTGATGAATCTTTTTCACCTTCTTCATTTTCTGCGCTAAAGACGATCCTGATCTTCCAATCTTCTCATATATTCTAGGACTCAAATTCCCTGACCAATTTCTCCCACCAACATGATCTGTACAATATTTTTTACCTAGAACATGGTTAATCTCAACCGTTGGTGGTCCAGGGCCAGAGAGATCAAACTCTTTGTTGGAATCTGTTCGTGGAAGAGCTTGACATGATAGACAATTTAGGCTCAAAGTTTTTTTTTTTTTTTTGTGATCTCCTTACGACAATGGAGATCAATAATGGAGAGAGAGAGAGAGATAAGGAAGAGGAAAGAGAGAGTTGGTTTTATTTGGTTGAGTAATTTTATTTTAGTAAAGACTAACAAAAACTAATCTAATTTTAGCGATAAATGTATATTTGTAAATTTGATTTTTAGTAACGTACATTGTCTCACACGTTAACTAACTAAATAATCTTCTAGATCCGTCATGTGTATTTGTATTTATATTTTCATAACAATTTAATTGGAGTGTGAACGAATCAGTAGTATTTCTTCGATTTTATATTAGTTGTCATTCTAGAATCTAGAAATGTAAGTAGATGTGTTTCGACTTTCGAGTTCAATACTCCCTCCATTCTTTAAAGATGAATTTTCTAAACATTATTTGTTGTTCCATAAAGATAATTTTTTAGCATTTTGATGCATTTTTTCAGTTTTTAAGAAACATTAATTATATTTGTTGGATTTTATTGGTTTAAAATTATAAAATATTGTTTTATTGTAAAAATCTGTATATTAATGATTGAAAATCAACTTTTTTTAATAAGAGTGAAAAAATAAAAAATTTATTATTAAGACGAATGAAGTATTTTTTTATACGAAAACTAATATGAAACAAATTAAGTGAGAATTTAATAAACATAGCCGCAAAAGATCGCTATTAAGTGGAGTAATAGTATGTTGCATGGAAACTCCGTCCAAGTCGCGAATCCCGTTTCGAAAACGTTTCCAAAACGGAAACTCTCGGAAAACTTGTCGGAAACTCATTTTTCCACGTTTCCTAAAATTTGCAATTTGGAAACTTGTTGGAAACTCGCATTTCCCAAATTGAGAGAAATTTACTACTTGTTTTTTAAAATACAATAATTAAATAATTACATAACAATAATAATAATAATAATGGATTGTTTTAATTATTTTAGATAAATAATTAATTAATTTGATTCATCAATCAGAGAATTAGTCTTATCATTATATATTGGGTTTATATATTGAGTCTGATTATTTAAAATCTTCCTCTTGAAGATAGTTTTGATTTATGAAGTGCATAATAATAATAATATATATATTTTTTTTAATATTCTGACATTAGGCATTATAATATTTATCCTTAGTTAAACTGTTGAATATTTAATATAATATATATATATATATTATTTATTTTTATATATATATACGTTTCTAAAACGTTTCTAAACTTATATTTTTCAAAATACATGTTTCCCGTTTTGGAAACGTTTCGCTTCCGCATTTCCATTTCTGTTTCCATACATTGCACCAAAAAAATGTTATCCTTTAGAAAGAAGTCAACTTTATGGTACTAGATGAAAATAAATAATTCATTGATAGACGGAAATATAGAATGAGATCTAATTTAACCGATGCGCTTTTATTAGAACTCATCGGACAGCGACCACGGCTTAATTTTAGAAATGAAGAACTTTTACCAACAATAATTCTCTCATCAATGAAGAACGCTTCGATTGTTCTCAATTTGTGAAGATGAGGAATGGCAAAGCTTTAGCAACTGAACTTGACAATCCTTTTTTTTTTTTTTTTTGGCGTCTGAAATTTGATGCTTTCTCGTACTTTTTTAATATATATATATTTCGTAATAAAAACATTTGTGTCGGCTCACTTGTCAAAAAATATACTCCTTCTGTTTCAAAATATAAGGGGTTTTAGAGTTTTAGTTTTTTTTTTTTGACAACGAACCCCATATATTTTATTAGATTGTATCGAAAAGACTAGCCTTGTGAGCCAGCCATGTCGGAATCAAAGAGTTTACATAGATAAAAAGTGATCCACGTGCTCGAGCTGCTTTGGATATGCAGTCGGCTCGGACATTCAAAGATCGTGGGATAAAGACAATAGAACAAGAAACAAAAGATAGACTAATGAGATTGAATTCGTCTAACTCTTGGGCTATTGAGGGCCACTTATCTTCTTCATCTAGCAGCTTTACGAGTTGCATACAGTCTGTCTCGAAACGCATGGAGTGTATTCCGAGGCTTAAGACAGACTTCATCGTCCATAAAAGCGCAGAGAATTCTGCGTGTAAGGGGGAGAGCGTATGATAGCTTGCTGTAGCGCCGTAAACCCGGGTCCCGTCTAGTTTGTCAATGACAAGACCACCTCCACTGTAGTTGGAATCGGTGCCCCAAGAGGCATCGATCTGACATCTTGGGAGGTGAATGATTATGTCATCTATTAAAACCGTGGAAGGGAGAGACCCGTTTACGTTCCTCTCTGTTTCACTTTGTTGTGCGTTGGTCCATGCCATGGCTTCGGCAATTGCTTGTTGCAATGTTTCCAGGGCTTCGACTTCCTTACCATCGAAGACTTTCACATTCCTTGCTTTCCAGATGAACCATACAATCCAGGGGTACTGCTCTAGTACCTGTTCCTGAACCCCCGATTCTTGTGCTTGCCACATAAGGTAATCCAAGTTGCTGAAAAGGGAACTACACGGGAATACACCCGGGGTAACTGGAATGTCAGAGAGTTCCCACACTTGGTGAGCTTTAGGGCATTCAAATAGTAAGTGATTGATCGTCTCTGGGGCGTCTTCACATCTCGGACACGTTCGATCCAAACCACAGTGCCGGTCAACCAAACGATCTTTAACAGCGACACAACCTGAAACACATTGCCAAAGGAAGTGTTTCAGTTTTTTAGTTGTCTTAGTCTTCCATGCTTTACGTTTGAGCGCCTTAGTACTTGGTTCTTGATCCGGGAGAGACTCTTCATTTAGCAGCGTAGTTGCAAGTTCGTATCCGGATTTAACAGTGTACAGTCCGGATTTTGTGTGAGCCCACACGAGTTGGTCTGCCTTTGGGACTCGGGAAGGCCTTATTCCTTGTATGCGTCGGACGTCGTCTTCAGAGAAAATCTGTCGAATGGTGTCAAGTTTCCATTCCTTTGTTTCTTGGTCAATGAGGTGGTAAACAAGGAGATATGGGTCTTGAAACGTTCCCCTAGCAATTGGTGGACGAGGTTTAGAGTCAAGGATCCACGGGTCTCTCCATACTACCGTATTCGCACCGGAACCTATCACTCTTCGTAGGCCTGAAACAAGTAAATCTCTTGCTGCCATCATACTTCTCCAACCATAGGATGGAGAGTTTACTTTCTTGACCTCAAGTGGGTTTGATTGCCAAAAATATCTTCCTCTCAGGATGCGTGCTAGTAGTGAAGAAGGGTAATGGAAAATTCTCCATAGTTGCTTCGCAAGTAAGGCGAGATTGAAGTTTTTTAGGTCACGAAATCCCAAACCTCCATCTTCTAGTGGCTTGCTGATTTTCTCCCAAGCAATCCAATGTAACCCTTTACTATTCTGCTTCGAGCTCCACCAGAAGTTTGAGATAGCTCCTTGCAGTTTTTTGATAGTTTCTTGGGGTAGAAGAAAACATGACATAACATAGGTTGGCATCGCTTGTGCCACGGATTTGATCATAACTTCCTTGCCTCCTTTTGAGAGGAGTCTAGCCGACCAAGAGTTTACCCTTTTGCTTAGGCGGTCATGTATGAAAGTGAAAACCTTCTTTTTTGACCCACTTATGTTTTCCGGTAGCCCAAGATATGTTCCCATGCCTCCCTCCGTGGTGATCCCGAGTGCTTGTTTAAGTTCATTTCTAAGATCGGGTGGGACATTCTTACCAAAGAAAACTGAGGATTTAGATGCGTTCAATTGTTGACCCGACGCTTGACCATATGATTCGATAATTCTCATTAACTCCGCACACTGCGGGACATTAGCCTTGCAAAAAAACAAGCTATCATCAGCAAATAGGAGATGAGAGATTGGAGGGCTATTCCTTGCTATCTTAAGTCCTGTTAGTCTCCCCTCTTCCTCTGCTCCACGAATTTGTGCCACCAAAGCTTCTGTTAGAATAATTAATAGGAAGGGTGATAGAGGATCGCCTTGTCGTAGACCCCGTGTAGGTTGTATGTATCCTTTTGCTTCCCCATTCAAAAGAACCTGGTATGACACTGAGGAGATACAAGATTTGATCCAAGCCACCCATTTATCCGAGAATCCCATTTTAAGCATTAAGGCTTCAAGGAAGCTCCATTCCACTCTGTCATAGGCTTTGCTCATATCTGTTTTAATGGCCATAAATTTCGATTTACAGCTTGGATTCGTTCGTAGGGCATGGAAAGCTTCTTGAGCAATAAGAATATTGTCTGTAATAAGACGTCTAGCCACAAAGGCTGATTGGGTTTCTGATATTAGCTTTGGAAGATAGCGTTTTAAGCGTTTGCAGAGAATTTTGGAGATAATCTTGTAACTGACGTTACACAGGCTTATCGGACGAAATTCTGACATTTCCTTGGGTCTTTCCGTCTTGGGGATGAGACAAATGTTGGTACTATTCAGCCTTTTATCAAAAGAACTTGATGTGAAGAAATCTTTCACCATCGAGATGATGTCTTGTGCCGTAACCTCCCAGAAGGATTGGAAGAATAGACTTGTCATTCCGTCCGGTCCTGGGGCTTTTTCAGGGTTAATCTCTTTGATAGCCTGTCTGATCTCCTCATTAGAAGGGAATTGAGTCAGGGCTTGATTTATGTTTGGAGTGACTTGTGCTTTGACATAACGGAGGGCTTCAGAAAAATCACTAGGTTGTGATGATGTGAAGAGAGTTTGGAAGTATTCTGTTGCCACTTTCTCAATGCTATCATCGGTTTCAGCCCATGACCCATCAATTCTTTTTAACTTTGTCACATGATTCCTTGCTCTTCTTTCTTTGGTAGTAGCATGGAAAAATTTAGTGTTCCTATCTCCCTCTTTGAGCCAAGTCACTCTGCTTTTTTGTTTCCAAAACTTCTCCTCCTCTCTAAAGGCTTCACAAAGGTCCCATTTAAGTATTAGGATCACAGCACTGGGAGTAGAATCATCTGTTTGAGCCCTCTCGAGTTGTTCTTTAAGATCTTCAATCTTCTTCAAAGAATTTGTTTTCTGCGTTTTCTTCCATGAGGCTATAGATCGTCGGCATGTATGTATCTTTGTATGGATATCTCCTCGATTCGATTCTGTACCGGAACCCCATCCTCTCTCAATGGATGTCTTAAAGCCCTCATTGCCTATCCAACGGTTGTCAAATTTGAAATTTCGCTTAGTTCTGATGACCTTAGAAAATATTCTCGTTAAGACGGGTCGATGATCATATCCCCAAAGCTTTAGATACTCCACATTTGTGTGGGAATAGCTGTGATGCCAGTCTTCATTACCAACCGCACGATCCAGCCGGCATTGGACCTTGCCTGAACTTCTATATCCGACCCAAGATAGAGAGTTTAAAGGAAACTCTATCATGCCACAATCATCCAACATTTTCCGGAATGGTAAAAACGATGATTCAGCTCTTCTCCTCCCTCCGCGTTTTTCACTATTGTTTACCATTTCGTTGAAGTCCCCGCACATATACCATGGTCCTTGGCGAGTGGCACTAATAAGGCTGAGGCGGTCCCAAACCTTTTCTCGGTGTTCGAACACCGGATCACCGTAAACAAAAGACATGAACACTTGTTTTCCTTCGATGGTTGCTTCAATGTCTATGAGGCGATTATCAGCAGAAAGAATTTTAACATCAAAAGAATCAAAATAAAACAAAGCCAATCCACCGCTTAGCCCCTCTGGATCAACGGTGAACAATTTATTATAACCAAAAGAAAGTTGGAGTTCTTGCATAAAAGGGAAACTATTTTTTGTTTCAGAAAGAAAAAGAAAAGATGGTACAAAAAAACGGTGCAGCTCTTGTAAGTGTTTCTTGGTTAGATAAGCTCCTGCACCTTGGCAATTCCATGCAATTGTGTTCATATCTTCTTACTGGGTGGTTTCTGGGACACCACCGAACCTACAACAGTAGAAGGCTTCTTGCTTAGAGCAGACGGAATCACCTCATGACGAGGGAAATTTGATTGAGGAATCGAGGTTTTAGAAGCTTTACCTGTTTCTTGTTTCTTCTTGGGAGATGGTTTGATGCGAAGAGCATTAATCTTTCTTGAGGCTTGACTACTTTTCTTACGTGGAATGGCTGCTGGTTTCCGACGTATACCAGAGGTGCTCTTCTTTGATGTATGCGGTGGCATCTGTATAGCGTCCTCTACTTCTTCCTGAATCTCGGCTTCAGTCTCATTCCTTGCAAAACAATAGGTGAGAGTTGGGAAATTGCTTCTATTTGCTCAGCTTCATCCTCAAGTTCTGCACCAAGGAGATCGTCATTTGCAAACATGTCCTCGTCCATATCGTCGTCCGCCAGCTCGTTTATCATATAATTAATTTCCGCCGCCGTAAGACCTCCCTCCATGGGATTGTCCATCAAGAGATCGTTAGTTGGTTGATTTAGGGTTGTTATTCCTTCAGGGTCCTGGACCATCTCCATATTACTCTCGGGAGTCTTGTAAGGAGACTGTGGGAGGGGCGGATTCTGGTCCCGAATAGTCAGGGTTCCAGGCTGAAAGTCACGGCTGAGATCTCTCTGCAGTTTTTCAGCTTTCGTTAACTCTATCGCCGGTGCCTTAAATTTCCTCATTTTTTCACTCTCCAGATCCCGAGTGTGAGTGATCATGGATCCTCTAGCTCTGTTTTGATACTCTTCTCCGGTTTGTACCACCTCCGTTACCGTTTGCTGCATGTTCGATCTAGTATCTATTGCACCTTTATGCGGGTCCGAAACTCGAGAGTTAGGCGTGTCCAACAGAGATCGATTAGTTTGTTCTCTGTTCTTGGGGTGCCATGTTTGCGTCCGTGGTGGAGTACGTCTTGTTCCTCTCGACTCCCTCAGGCTTTCGTTTGAAGAGCGTTGGTATGGATGGTAGCGGGAGTGGGATCTCGGGTAATGATTTCGTTCAGATGAGGTATGTTCGTTCTCAAGACGTTTCCAGACATCTTTTCCCCGCATGTCCCTATGCATCTTGTCTCAGGTCTTTCTCTCAACGACCTCTCCTTTCGTAAGATCGATTGTAACTCTCCAAGTTCCTCGCTGAAGAATCCCTTCGATGATTTTCAGTTCTAGTCACTAGGGCTCTAGAACGAACATCGTCGAGTTGGCAAGGTGGAAGTCGTCCTATCCCTTTCAGAGGATCGGTTATCTCTCTATTTGCTGGTCGGAGAAAGGTAGCTGGATATGTTGTTAAGATATCTTGCTTCGCTTGTTCCGCCCTTTGATGTTTCTTTTCTTCTCGTTGTTCCTCGGTAAGTTCCGGACAGGTCCCTTCTTCGTGGGATAATAGCTTGCAGGTGAAGCAATAGCGCTGCAGGCCTTCATAGGTCAGATGAGCAATCCCTACGTCACCATTCGGAAAGCCAACTTTTCGTTCAAATTGTAGAGGGGAGTCCGCCTTGATTGAGACCTGGAACTTGGCTTTCTTAGCTTCAATTTTGATGATCGTTTCTAGAGCCTTCCCAATCTCGGTAAAGGTTGGGATGTTCCAGAAATGAACTGGGATGCCCGTAACCACGACCCAAAACACCATTGTATTGGGGAAGTCTTCACGAGTGAATGGCTCCCACTTTTCTAGTGAGAACATCCATCGATTGAAGTGCCATGGCCTCTTAGCCAGAATTTTATTCATGTCTTCCTCGTGATCGAAGTCAAACTGAAATTGTCCATTGCCGAGGTTTGTTCCTTGTGTTCTACCTTCCATGTCCCAGATCTTGGGTTTAGGCAGAAGATTGATGAGAGCTTCCGTACTTCTTTCTTCTCGGTGGAACATCCTACCGATCACGGTGAGCTTGAACTGCTCAGCCACCACCGATATGTCACAGTCAGGAATGTTGATGATTTCCTCTTCGAGATCCAGGGTCCGTCGGGTTGGGTTAGAGGATCCTCCCCTTCGTACGGCACCAGATTGTTGACTCATTTTTTGGAGTAAGAGAGGTAAGATCGATACAGTATCGCAAGGTCTTAGCAAAAGCTAGAGTGATGATATGTATTCAAAAGCCCGTCGTGAAAACTTCGTAAGTTAACGTGTAGAAGAGTACAAGACGGAACAAGAGCAGTTGTGAAGATCGAGAGACTTAGCAACAGCTAGAAAAACGCCAGGGAAACCGTAGCAGAATCGCTAGAAATGTTTTGTAGCCGCAGATCTGAGAGAAATGATGCCTATGGAGGTGTTTTGAGAGGTATTAGGGCTCGTGTGAGCTTCGGCTATGACGAATGAAAGGGTTTTTATTGATTCGCCGCCGCTAAAAGGTATTTTTAAAAACGGGGATCCGTGCGCCTCCAAAACCCTAGGGAGAGAAGCCCCATCAGTGACTTAAACACTTTGAATGTTTGTCTTAAGAAAATGTAAAGGCAATTTCAATCTAGAGTTTTAGTGTAGAATGAAATGTGCTTTTATTACTTACTAGGTGGTTGTCCTGCACCTTGCGCGGGTACAATATTTTCTAAATATATTGATTAATCAAAGATTTTAATAATATAAGTAGTGAAATTTTGTATTGTATTCATCGTTTTTGTTTTTGCAAACTTCTTATTTTTGTAATCTTGATATGTTTTATTTTTGTCTTCTCTTTCACGTTCTTCTACGTAATCTTTGGAGATTTCTTCACATTCCATTTTTTCCTCTTTAATTTCTCTTTCCTTATATTCGAGTTTTCTTCTTCTTCTCCAAATTTTTCATCTTTTTTCTTTTACTTGGGTTTTTATTTGTTCTTGTCTATATCTTGTATTTCACCTATCAATTCATTCGATAGTTTAGATTTTCAAGGATTTGTGAAGTAGTTTTTATCTTTATATAGTCGAGATCTTTTAAAAATTTATTGGTTTTGTTATCTTTCGATTTTGGATTTGCTTTAATTGTTTTAACATTTCTATTTGTGAATGTAATTTAGAAAATAGATATAAATTTTTAATCAATGATTTTTAATTATGCAATTCTTTCATAATAATTCAAATTTTTTAAAATGCACAAAAAACTAAACCCTACACCACCAAAATAAACCCTACACCCTAAACCCAAGCCCCACAGTGTAACACCACCCTCTAAACAACCCAAATCCCATTGTGTAACACCACCCGCCCCCTAAACAACCCTAAACCCAAACCCTACATTATAACCCCCCATCCCCCCAAACCGCACACCCGAACCCCATATTTTACAAATTAGTTCTAGATTTGTTTTTATTTTTATTTTATTTTAACATATATTTTTTTCATTGCTAATGTAGTGTATTCAAATTTTTAAAGTGCATCAAAAACTAAACCTTATGCCCATAATTATAAACTGTACATCGTCAACCTCAACTCTGTTTCATCTTCTTCTTTTACTTTGTCTTTTACTTATTTCATATTTTTCCTTCATTTTCTACCAATTTTTTATTTTTCTTATCAAACTTTCTATTCTCTTTTTATTTTTCTCTCTCTTCATGGTCTGCTTTTTATATCCGGGTTTTTTTTCCATATTCTTCCTTTTATTTACAATTTGTTTTTCAATTGTCTTTGTGTTCTTGTTCATTCATTATCTTTTGATTTTTCCAAGCTCTTTATTGTTCACATATTCTTCTTTTGTTTTGTTTTTTTTTTTCGTTTTTTCCATCTTCGTATTTTGTCTTTTCCTTAATTTTATTCAAGTTTTTCTTCTTATTTCGTATTGTACTCTTCATCATTTTTTGTTATCAATGTTTTTCGTTTTTGCAACATCTTATTTATCAGTTTTATTTTCCATTTTCACTTCTTTTATTTATTTTTTCCCATCTTATATTTCTTCTTTTTCATCTCCTCATACCTTTTTGTTATTTGTTTTTTCAGTTGTATTTCTTTCATCTTTTTTATTTTATTTGTCTTATGTAACGTTTTAATTTTCTGGTTTTCTATTTTATCTTCTCGTACTCTACTTAAAAACAGAATATAAACTAATTAATCTCGCATACAATATTATGTCAGATACCATTGACCTTTGTTCATTGCTTCTACACCATTGACACCATACAAAAGTTTCGAACTCATACCAATCATCTTATACTTACTTGATTTTTTTATTATTATTTTTTTGTTGTAATAGTTGTTCTCTTATTCTTTCTTTGTGATTTCATCTTTTTTTTTTTTAATTCATTGTCATCATTTTTCTTTCTCCTTCTTCTTCCTCCAATTTTTGTTGTTAATCTTTTATTGTGTCTTCATATCCTCCAATTCACTATTCTTTTTTTTCTAATTTTCTTTACATTTTTTTCCGGTTCTTCTTCTTCCTCACTCGCTCTCTTTCTCTATTTTTATCATCTTCGTCTTCCCTGACATTATCTTATTCTAATTTTTATTTATCTTTTCTTTGTCTTTTTCCTCTAAAATTCATTTTTTTTCTTCTTTGTTTTTTTTTCTTCATGTTCGAGTTTTCCAATCTTCTTTTCCACTGTCTTCTTTTCTTTTAATCGTGTTTTTATTCGTTCTTCTCTACATCTTCTAGTTCACTTATCAATTCATTCAATAGTTTAAATTTTCAAGGATTCGTGAAATAATTTTTATCTTTATATAATCGGAGATCTTTCAAAATTTTATTTCTTTTCTTATATTTTTTTATTATGGATTTACTTTAATTGTTCTTTTTTTCTATTTGTAAATGTATTTTAGAATGGTAGATATAAATTTATAGTCAATGATTTTAAATTGTGATATAGGTCTATAATAATTCAATTTTTTAAAAATGCACGAGAAACTAAACCCTACACCCTAAACCCAAACATCACATTATAACCCTCCCCTAAATAACCCTACACCCTAAACCCAAACCCACATTATAACTCACCCTAAACCCAAAGCCACATTATAATCTCCCCTTAATCATACACATGAATCCCACATTACAAATTGGTTTTGAATTTACTTTTTTTTTAAGGTCTTTTTGAAACGTTTGTTTTCTTCTTCCTCTTATTCTTCTCCAGTGATCCCACCTTATTCTTTTTTTTTTCTTTTTTTTATTCGTTGTCATCATCTTTTGTTTTCATCTTCTTCTTCCAATTATTCTTCTTGAATCTTTTATTATGTTTTCATATCCTCCAACTATCTATTCTTCTTTTTCTTTCTAATTATCTTTACATTCTTTTTCCGGTTTTTGTTCGTCTTCATTTCCCCTCTCTATCTATATCATCTTCGTCTTTCGATTTTTGATCTTCATTAATTATTTCCCCCACCTTGTCACATTCATATGCTCAGACTTCTTCGTATTTCAAAGTATCTACTTCTTTTATTTTGTCTTCTATTTGTTCAAATTTTTGTTTCCTTCATTTTTTACCATTTTCTTTATCCAATATTTTAATATTTTTTTGTTTTCATCGTCATTTTTTATTTTCTTGTTTTATTTATTTTCTTCCCTATATTTACAATTTGTTTTTTTTAATAGTTTTGTGTACGTATTCTTCATTTTTCTTTATCTTTTGAGTTTTTTTACTTTTTATTTGTTTTCATATTTGTTAATTCTTTTCTTTTTTTTTCCATTTTTGTTTTCCAACTTTCCTTTGTTTCTTACTCTCCTCCCTCCTTTCTAAGCACCTTCGTCTTCCTTCTCCACTTTATCTCGATTTTTATTGCATGTCAAAGTGAAATCATCACGTTGTAAGGAAAATGTATTGTGAGAAAACCTAAGAGAGGTTAAATCCAAAGGTGTAATCACATGTCTGAAAGAGTTTTAAGAATATATATTATCACATGTCCGTTCTCGTTCTCGTACCTATAGGAGAGATTAAATCCAAAAGTGTAGTAAGACATGAAAGGTCTTCTTTTCCGAGAAGAATGTTAAAATAAATAAATAAATAAAATTAAAAAAAAAAATAAAAAAATAAAAATAAAAAAAAAAACCAGCCATTGAATCGATAGTTAAGCAATTGATGGTAAGAAGAAGTTTAAGATTATAATCTATGAAACAATGAAATAATTAATCCATTGAAGAAGAGATTTTAGCTCACGATCTCCACCATAAGCAAAACATCCCCAACTCCCTGTAATCCATCTTCATGATCTACGCATTGCAGCTAAGAAGAGCATACCAGCGATCGATTCTGGATTGATCATGAACCAAATCTCTTCATGTGATTTCATGAAACCATTCACATTAGAAACAAAGTCAAAGTTTAAAAGTGTTCACAATATCACAAGGATTTAAGGTTACGGTTTACAGACTTGGACACATCCCCTGCCAAGAGCACAACCTGTTGGCGAAGTCAATTTTAAGAGCCACAACCCTTTGATCATCGATCAATCCAAAAGTTTATATTAACCTAAAAACTGTAAATCGACCATAAAGTGTTAACAGAGACAATAGCAATTGTTAGGGTTCCGTTTAATATTAATATTTGAATCAATCTACTATCAGCACAGATGTTGGACACAACAGCATCTGTAACATCAATGGTTTATGTTCCTTTAAACTCTCAGTTTCTGGCTTTGAAAGCAAAATGCTAGGACGATGTTAGGGCTCCCACAGAACAAATATATATGACCGACTCCAAAGTTACATGGTCATGAGTTTCTCCACATGAGTTCCAAACTATACTCCACCCTGAACCCAGCAACTTCTGTAACAGATCTTACACACCTTTCATTAAGAAAATAACATACTCTAACTAATCAGAACTTCCAAAACAGAGAAGATGATTGGAGTGTTATGCATGACGGTTTCAACAGAAGAAGTATGGCTAATAATGAAAGCTAGATTTTCAGATCAGAAGGTCTATGAAGATATCAAACGTTTCCAGCTACAATCAGATTTTCAGATTAAATTATTCTTACGAAAGTAAGTATTCGCCAAGGGAATAAGAGATGACAATTAATCCTAGTCTTGGTTGTATATTTGAGCAAGTCTCCAAACCAAAACTGTATTCTAGCAGGGTTTCCTTCGATCCATCTTGCTTGAGTAAAGGCGATAGGGTTTCAAACTAAAACCTAATACACGGCTTAAGCTCATTCATCTCAAATATCCAGCATAGTCATGTCCTAATCGGTATCAGAATCCATCACTCGAATTTCAAAACTTCAGACTCAAGAGATTCATCTATACTCAATTCCAGAGCTTGCTAAGTTCAAAAACCGCTAGGGTTACCATGTGCAGATATTGATATAACACTAAGGACACAAATAAGATGGATTTGACTTATAAAATTTACAGAAAATTATGAATAATCTGATCATTATAGCTAATAACACTAAGATCTAACGAAAAACGAAAAAGCTGCATGACAAAAGATGAATCAAAGAATAAAATGAATCAGCCTAAAACAAAGAAATTATCTCACGTCTAGAAAGAAAATCGTGGATTTTTTTGATTTTCCTTGTTGCTATCTATTTATATAAGACATAGTCGGTTAAGAAATCTAGATTTTCCTTTCTTTTTTCTCTTTCCAATTTTTTTAATTCTTCCATAATTGTGGCGCGTAATATGGTAGTTATGATTATTATCGTATGAAAATTTAAATAACTAAATATATAAATCGTAACATTTAAAAAGGAAATTATGAAGATTTAAAAATAAATGTTTCATTAAGGGTAACTGGGTAATCAACCAGTTGAGATTGAATGTGGTGCCTCTAAACGAAATTTTCACTTTGCAAATAATATATAAGATTATTTATATTCTGCAGATTTGTTATTCATTGGTTGAAATGTTTTGGAGTTGATGATAAAATATATTTTATTTTAAAAAGTACAAAAATCAAATGGCTTCTTAATTTGTGTGCAAAACCTTAAACCCCCTATATTATGAAACAGAGGGAGTATGTATTTTTTCATATAAATTGTGATTTTGTTGTCATAAAAAAAATATATATACAAACACATGACATTTAAGATTAGCGCAAAATCACTAAATTTAAGATCCATTTAAGATCACTAGATTACATTAAAGTTTTGCATACATAATGAAAACTGATTCCAAGTTGACCCAGTGTGCACAAAAATTCATTCATAGAGCCAAAAAAACTTGAATATTATCTCACTTAATCTTACTCCATACATATATACACATACAAGTACAAGTACAACCAAAGATTTCTTATTTTACTACCTCTCTCTGGTCTCCATCTAACAAGTAAACAAAGGTTTCCTAATGAACAACAACATTAACAACATCATGCTGGTGATGAAAATTGAGCACTTACTACTTTGTAAACAGATCTTGCTTGTGAAAAAGATCATACACTACAGGACTCTCTTCAATGGCAGTCTCCAACTTTGGCCATTAAAGCAACCTTGAGCTGATCATGATTGAAAAACTGGCTCCCCATCATCTTCACAGTAGCTTGTTGAATCATCAAATCATTCACAACCGATAAACTCGCATGATTCACTTCCAAATCCAACTCCTTAAGCGCTTCCATGAACCTAGCACCGGGATGATGATTCTTGCTGCATTGCACACGTATCATCACATCCCAACCTATGATCTTCAGAGACAGAATCAGCTCAACTGGGAATGTTGCCGATACCGGAGCTGCTAAAGGAAACAGTAGCAGTACAACCATGAAATTGAAATGGAATTGCACATTCATCTTCCTCTATCAATTCATTTCTTTTTTTTGAATAAGCTATTAAGGTGCCTAGGACACTAGTAGACACCCAGAAGGAGTTGTAAGGGAGAACGGAGATTGAAGATCGGACGATTTGCAACAGACAAGATCAGATCGTAGAATAGAGAAGGATTTGCTGCCGCTACTGAATCAGAGTCCACGGTGCAACAATTTCTCATCTGCTCACGAATTGGATTCGAACCAATCAAGCTACTTGCCCTTTAGTAGATCGTGAGTGGGTCAGTCGTCCTCCTCATTATAGTCCTCCTAAAATCAATAGCATTTCGTCGGAATACATCCTGTCTTTTCACCTTAGTAGTCCTATGCATAGTCAGTACTATAGCCCCAATCATGGCTACTAATAAAATCAGACTAGGAACCAAAAACCAGACGGAATAGTAGGTATTCGTTCGATTTCATCCCTTTTTGATTCAACACAGAGCTCGAGAAATTCAAATTTCGCTCTACAGGAGATGGAGTTTGTGGGTTTTGTTTCTGTCTAGGGTTCTCAATCGAGCTCTCGTTCTTCTCGAGCTTGGAAATTCGATGAGAATCGGATTTGGAATTCGAATTCGAATTGCTGTTGTGAATCGCCGGAATTACCTGACCCGATTCGATTCCGGTGGTCGTCGGTTCACTGATCCACTGAGCTGGATCGTTCTCTCCTTGATCAGGATTCAGATTAAACCCCCAAGAGCACGCTTCGCCGCCATTGCCGTTGTTGAAATTGAAGAGATTGTTGACTTTATCCATCAGATCTGAGCTGTGACTTATCAATTCCGACGAACCAAGCTCGACGACGCCGTTTTGCGCCGCGATACACACCATCGTCTGTAACCCGTAAATCTGACCCTGCCCCGCTCTTTCACAACCCGACCCGACTAAAGCACCCGACCCGGATAACCAAATCACGCGAGAGTTTAAGAAAGCTTCTCCGGGAAGTCCAACGCCGTTCACGAAGCTCTGCGTCATCGAAACCAGGAAGAACCACTCGGTATCCGTGACTTCCTCGTCGTTCGATTCGTCGGAGACTCCGATTCCGCCGGAGATTAACGAATTCAGCTCGCGGATCACTCTTTTCCGATGCTCTTGCTCCGCGGGATTCGAGGTCTTCTTCTTTTTCTCTTTGTCTTCTTCTCCTTTGTAGTATCCGTCTCCCCATCCGAGAATCACCGTGTTCTCTCCAGTGGAAGAATTGAAATCGTGTGAGATCTGCCAGAAAATCGCGTAAGTCCAGCTCTCTCCGGCGGATTCGATTAGAGCTTGGAGACGTTGCTGGAGAGTATCTTCGTTGAATTGAGATAGTAGAGGAGGAGGAGGTGGTGGTGCTTGTGGCCAGAGAGTTGAGTGATTTGTTCCGATGAAAGCTTCCATCGCCGACGCTTCATCGTCGGCCGTCAAGAAATTGATTGATGCCGTTGTGCTGTTCATGTGAACATCCACCGGTGAGATAACGAATTTTCCGGTGAAAGCTGATGACTTTTCTGGTCTCGAGAGGAGAGAGAGAGAGGTGACGTGCTGGAGAAAATATCAAAAAAGAGGAAAAGCTAAGCAAATGGCGTTTTGCGATTGTTTGGAGAGGATTCTGTACAATATTATTTTAATAATTGTTTATTGTAACAAATGTCAGATTTTATATATTACTTTTTTGATAAAATATGCTCAAATTTGAGAGTTGCAACATATTATATGACAAAACATTATGTTTTGGTTATCAGTTACGAAAATGTAACGAATTAAATTATCTAAATTATTCATGCTGTGATGATTTTTGTTTGGACCACTATTTTGTCCTCAAACGTTTATGAACAAAATGGTCACAAAAAACCACTTACTGAATCAAAAATAATAATTTGTAATTTTTAGAAGAAAACCAATTTATGACGATACAATGGTTGAGTTGAGTATTTATTATGTGGATCATGTCAAAAAAAAAATTAAAATGAACAAGAATGTAGTGATGCACTGTATACAAAATACATTTATTTGATATTTTTACATATCTCCAGATTAATTGATTATATAAAAACAAATGATTAAATTTATGAAAATGATATTTCTCTCAATTAAATTCATTTTTGGAATTTTATATGGAAAAATCATATTGGAATTATCTTGTGTAGCCCACCACTTTAATTGTTTGGGTCAGTTCTCTGGTCTTCATGATTTTTTCTCACCAAAATAGAGAAGGAAAATTTCAAAACTACATCTCTTGAGGTGCAGATTTTCAAAAATACACTTTTATGGTGCCAATTTTCAAAACTACACTTTTTTCATTTAGTAAAAAAACTCTAAACCCTAAAATATAAATCCAAAACCCTAAAATCTAACATTGAACCCTTAAATCTAAACCCTAAACCCCAAAATCTAAACCCTAATATAGGATTAGTGAACCCAAACATATATATTAAAATTGGGAAAATGTGTATTTTTGAAAATTTCCACACTATAGGTGTAGTTTTGAAAATTTGCACATCAAGAGATGCTTTTATTTATTAAAATCTTTGTATTTCTTCTCATGGTAAATACTAATAGTAGTTTTTCTTTTAGCAGATGATAATAATTCAGTTTTATCATTATATTTTACAATATTTAAACAGATTTATTCCTCTATCAAGAGTTTCAATTTTTATCATTTTGCTCAAACTTTCATGGCCAACCAAATGCTCTCTCCGTTTCATAATAAGTAACGTTTTGATAAAATGAATCTGGACTATTTATTGATATATCGGGATGTGTTTTGAGTCTTAATACATTCATACACATCTAGATACATGGGTAAATCAAGAGTCAAAACGACACTTATTATAAAACAGAGGGAGTATTATTCTTTTGAGTTACACATTATTCACATAAACTTTACACATGATATTGACAGCCATCAATCAATCAGTATAATATCCACACGAAAAGAAGGAAAATATTCAGCGAAAAGGACAATATGATATACGCAATATCAAGCAGTAAGTTAATCGCGATGGCTAAAATGCTCCAGTTCACGTGTTTCTCGTTGATGATGATGTAATCATAACAGACTTTAGACCCATTAAACATAGATTAACACCATTTGATTTCACCAGTTTTGAAAGACATCACTGAAACAAATGTATCTTATATATAAAAAATGAATCTGTGTGTTTCCCCTTGTTCACAACTAAATACACAATAGATCAACACATTTCGAATATTTTAATATCTAAGACCACAAATGTAATTCAAACCTGTTCTTGTCACTTGTGTGTATTTGCAAGGCCAAATTTGCTTAAAAGACAAAATAAAGTGATTCACAAATGGGCCTTTTCACTTTGGGCGATACAAGTCCATTAAGTTTCGTTTTGTTTTTGATCCGCTAAGCTAATCTTAGGCCTTTTAGAAAATCATAATAAACGTAAATAATAAAAAATAATAAATACATTTACAGGTTTCTGGAAGAAAAACAAAGAAAATAATTTTCCCTGCTCTGAAGAGTCGATTCATCGTCACCGTCACCAGTAGTTACTCACCACTGTCTTCTGATTCTCCAGATTCTGGGAATTTCTACCTTCCTCTGTAAACTACTACATTTCCTCTGCAATCCACGATGTCAAATGAGAATCTCACCGACAAGAATGTTGTTTTCAGAAAACTGGAAGCAAAATCCGAGAACAAGGTTAGGTTTCTCCATTTCAATCAAATTTGAATTGCGTGTGATTCCGATCAGATCTGGAGCTAACACGAACTAAATATCCGATTGAATTAATGATTATAGGTATGCTTCGATTGTAGTGCGGAGAATCCAACATTGGCTTCGGTTACTTACGGCGTCTTTCTCTGCATCGATTGTTCAGCTGTTCATCGAAGTCTCGGTGTTCATATTAGCTTCGTAAGGTAAAAGTAAAACCCAAATTTCAGTAAAACTCAGCGTTTAATCGAACTCTCTGGTTAGGGTTTAAGCTTATTCAGAGACGACGTTGACTTTATTTTCCCCCTTTGACCATCCTATTTATAGCATTTTCTCCTTTGTTTGTACATTTCTGCTTTATCTTCTTGAGAATCACATTGCCGTGTATGTTCGTTGTTATTTGAAGGTCGACGAACTTAGATTCGTGGAGTCCTGAGCAGCTGAGAACGATGATGTTTGGTGGAAACAACCGAGCTCAGGCGTTTTTCAAGCAACATGGATGGAACAACGACGACAATGGCAAAATCGAGGCTAAGTATACTTCAAGAGCTGCTGATTTATATAAACAAACTCTCGCTAAGGAAGTTGCCGAAGAAACCGGTTTATTGTCATCATCATCATCCTCTTCTAAACCAGCGGAATCATCTGAAAACGGGTTTTCTTCTGAACCTCCAACGATAGAGCTAGAAGAAGAAGAAGAAGAAGAAGAAGAAACTAGTGTCTCTTCGATTAATCTTGAAGAAGAAAGTACGGTGGAAAGTGAAGCAACTTCTCCTCTCACGGTTTTTCAGAGGATGTGGGATATAAAGAAGAAGGACTTAGCCATGAAAGAAAGATTGGCGAATATGAGACTTCTTGAAGTTCTCATTGCTAAAAGAGAACCACTTTCTCAGATGGAACTAGCTCTAAAGAACAAGCTGCTCGATTACATGTTGGCAGATTAGAAAACAACTCGACCGTCTCCCTTTGTATCAAATGTAATTTGTATTTCCTTTGTTTGAATGATGTTATTGAACTTCGCCTTTGTAGTAATATAAGATTTGGTTTCTTCTTTACGATGTTCATGCACAAGAAAGATGCCAATTATGATTGTCCATCACCAAAACACAGCCTCAAAGAAACAAAGAATCAAATCCAAAGCCACGCATTTAGGTTCATGCACTGCGTGATAGCTTCTAATAGAATCCAAGCACTATGACCTTTGTTTTTCCCATCTTAATATGTTTTGTTCACTTTGACTTTGACAAACAAAGGTTTTATTTGGGTAAGTCTTTGATTTATTTATAAAATATGATGGGATTGGTCGATCTCTTTCAGTGTGATGTCTTTCATGAACATTACAAGCAGAGGCAACATAGTTGTAAGTAATTTATATTTAACATATAAAACAATAAATATGTTGGATTTCTCATTGTGTTACCATCATTCTGGCATATACTGTTTCTTAATGAGAAAAATAGGACTGCATCAAATTTCTTGGGATTTGATTTTAATAAACCTAGTAATAGATTTTTTTTTTTTTTTTTTTTTTTTTTAATTCTAACTAAACATCTAACTAACCAGGCCCGGCCCTAGGCATGGGCTGGGAGTGCATTTGCACTCTATCCATTTGCACTCTATCCATGTTTTTTTGACAAAAATTACTTATGATTTAAGGTCATGAAATTTAAAAATATAGCAAAAAAGGTCCAAATTTTTTAGAAGCACCATATTTAAATTCTGCATAGGGACCAAAAGATGTTTGGGCCGGGCCTGTAACTAACAAACTATCAAATTCAATCAAATCCGACTACGATGCTCTATCTACTACAAATTCAATCAATTATGTTAAGAGAGATAAAAACCTAATCGAAAATCTACATAGAGATGAGGAACAAAGTTAAGGGGATTTAGGTTTTTCGTGGCCAAAATTCTCAATGAACCTCAACTTTATTGGTAGATTCATGTTCATACTTTTATTTAAGTTTTGCATAAGTTTGGGTTCAGTTCGGTTCCCGAGTTACGCAAAATTTATTTAGCTATATAAAGATTAGAAAAACAGGTTTAAATAAACATAAACATGAACCCAAAACCAAACAAAACCTATTTATTGGTCAAATCTTATTATATAAAGCTGGATGCGCGCGACGTGGTTGCGACACATAGGATTTTTATAAAATATAGGATCATGACATGTGTCACTTTTAAGGTTAGGTCCGTTAAGATCGTGACACGTGTCTTAGGAAAAAAGAAAACTTTTTTTAAAGGGAAAATTTTAATATTTTATAATAAAAACGAAAATTTATAAATAAATTGAAAATAATGCTATAAAAAATTTCTATTAATACATCGAATATGTATATAAACTAAATATCCTAAAACGGTATGGAATAGGTTACATAAACCCATGTTTAAAAAAATTCTATTAGTACATGGAATATGTATGTAAACTAAATATCCTAAAACTGTATGGAATAGGTTACATGAACCCCCTATAAAAAGAGAGCTATGTAATCTCTTTTTCTCATTCACAGACTCATCAAAGCAAATTCAGCAAATCTCTTTGATTCTCTTTCTCTAATTTTAAAATTATGTCTTTGAAAGTTCAAAAGAACAGTGGAGATTATTTGACTCTAGGTCAATTGGATCGAAATCGAAATTATCGCCGTACTATAGTACGTGTTATTCGAAAGTGGGAAGCTAGAAATCCTAAAGAAAACAATATTCTTATGGGAGTTGACCTTCTATTACTTGATGAAAAAGTTAGTAACATTTTATATTTATATCTTATTATATAAATATGAAAGTTAGATATCAATGAAGAATATTTAATTTTAGATCAGTTGGATCAAAATTGAATTTATTGTCGCAACATGTGTCTAATAATTGATCAGGTGATGAGTTGTGTTAACACAAGAACATTGGAAAAATGTATTAACAGAAAAAGAAAAGTAACATTGTAAAAAACCTAATTGATATTGGAAAGGGAAATTAATAATGGAGAGAGGCTAAAAAAATATTGAAAAAGAAACAATATAAATAGAAAACAGACAGAATAATTATCAAGCAACTAACTAATATTAAAAAGAAAAATTTATAATAGACCCATTTTATAATTTTTAATAAGATAATTTTCAAGTTTTAAATCGAATAATCAAAAATTTACGAATTAATTAATTGATCAAATTTAGACACATGTAATTCTTTCTAATATTAGATAAAAAAAATCATTTTTTATATTATGAATTCAGAAACAAAATGTGAGTTATAATTAAAATGTAAAAGGATTACCAATTTTATTTAATTTAGATATTTATTATTGATTTCTAATACTATTTTATTTACCAAAATGATCCGATTTTTTTTGATATTTTTGTGATTAATTTTATAAATTTTAAAATAAACCCGCGTGTATACGCGGGACTTAATCTAGTTTTATATAAGATAGGTGTTATTTTATTTAAACGTGTTTGTGTAACCTTTTTTTTGCCCAAATTTCTTAAAATACAAAAATGAGCTTCGTTTCTATTGAGCCAGCCAAGTCTATTAGTTTTGATCCGCTAATCTAATGTTTTTTTATATCGTCTAAGAAGACAATTACAAGTATATATTAAGAGATAATTAACTATTTTATGAAAATAAATCCTTAAGTGAACCTACTATGAATAGTTATCCTGCACCGTTATGAAAATTTTCCTTATCTCCTCATGCATTTCCTTATGCGAGTCTTCTTCCAGGAACCTCTGATAATTGAAGCCATTACTAAACCTGCCAACCATCGGGCTAAGGGCTTCCACGGCTGATCTAATGTTAGGCACTCTTTTAAGAAAAGCATAATAAACGTAAATAAATAAATCAGAATAATAAATACAATTTCCCGATTTTTGAAGAAAACAAAGTAAAACCAAAAAAACAATTTTCCCTGCTCTGAACTCTGAAGAGTCGATTCATCATCATCGTCACAAATTTCAGATTTTCGGAATTTCTACAGTTCCTTCGTAAATCAACGATGGCGACTGAGAATCTCACCGACAAGAATCTCGTTTTCAGGAAACTGAAAGCAAAATCCGAGAACAAGGTTAGGTTTCTCCATTTTTCCTCATAGGAAATTTCATGTTGATCGAAATATCATCAAATTTGAATTGCGTATGATTCCGATCAGATCTGGAGCTAACACGAACTAAATCTCCGATCGAATTTATGATTATAGGTATGCTTCGATTGTAGTGCGAAGAATCCAACTTGGGCGTCGGTTACTTACGGCGTCTTTCTCTGCATCGATTGCTCAGCTGTTCATCGTAGTCTCGGTGTTCATATTAGCTTCGTAAGGTAACTTGAAACCTCTGGGCATCGAAGGCTAGGGTTTAAGCTTATTCAGAGACGACGTTGACTTTATTTTCCCCCTTTTGACCATCCAATTTATAGCATTTTCCCTTTTGTTTGTACATTTTTGGTTTGTTTCCTTGAGAATCACATTACCGATTTTGCTTTTGTTTTCTTGAGAATCATTGCTGCGGATTTTGAGATTATTAGCTCTGAATTTCCTTTCAGGTCGACGAACTTAGATTCGTGGAGTCCTGAGCAGCTGAGAACGATGATGTTCGGTGGAAACAACCGAGCTCAGGTGTTTTTCAAGCAACATGGATGGAACAACGGCGGCGGCAAAATCGACGCTAAGTACACTTCAAGAGCTGCTGATTTGTATAGACAAACTCTCGCCAAGGAAGTTGCTAAAGCCATTGCCGAAGAAACTGGTTTATCCTCATCATCATCGTCCTCTTCTAAACCAGCGGAATCATCAACTGATAACGGGTTTTCTTCTGAACCTCCAACGAAAGAGAGTTCTTCGATTAAGCAAGAAGAAATTAGCGTCTCTTCTTCTTCACCGAAAGTTTCTCAGAAAGTTGTGGCGAGTACGTTCAAGAAACCTCTTGTTCCGAGAAAGACTGGGAAGACTGGTGGTCTTGGTGCTCGTAAGCTTACCACTAAGGTAAGTATTCATTTCATTAGATTGAAATCTCGCCTCTCTTCTCTTGGTTTTGATTAGATTTGATGTCTATTGTTGTGTAGCCAAAAGAAAACCTTTATGAGCAGAAGCCTGAAGAACCAGTACCTGTGATCCCTGCTGCTTCTTCAGCTAACAACAATACATCACCAGCTGGATCGTCGTTTGCCTCTCGATTTGAGTACTTGGATGAGGAGCAGTCTGATGGTAAGCAAGTGCTTAGCCATGTCGCTCCACCAAAGTCGTCGAATTTCTTTAATGAGTATGGCATGGACAGTGCTTTCACCAAGAAATCAAGCTCAAGCTCATCCAAAGCTCAAGTAAATAAAGTAGCATTTTCAAACAGAAAAGAGAAGAATGAGATTTCAGTCTAGTTTACTAACTATCTTCTTGGTTCTTGCTTAGGTTGAAGAAACAGATGAAGCAAGAAAGAAGTTTTCAAACGCAAAATCTATTTCCTCTGCCCAATACTTCGGGAATCAGAACAGAGATTCCGATCTGGACTCAAAAGCTACCCTTGAGAAGTTTTCGGTATTTGTCTAAGAAACAATCAAAACTCTGGATCAAGTTTTTTCTCTCAAGTCTCGTTGTTTTTAATATACCTATATGTGATTGCAAAACTAAACAGGGCTCAACAGCTATTTCAAGCTCTGATCTTTTCGGCCACAGAGAAGATGATTCTTCCAACACTGCTAGCGATCTCATGAGCCAAATTTCTCTCCAGGTATGTATGTTTCTTGGTAAGAAGAATCACAAATTCTTCAGGTTTTTCTCAACCCTTTGTTCTGATTTGAGTTTTGTTTAAACCACAGGCGGAGCGCGATATGTCTTCTCTTGTGAACTTAGCGGAAGAAACGAAGAACAAGCTCGGTACATTGGCCTCTGGTATTTTCAGTGATCTTCAGGATAGAATGCTATAAAGAAACATACACAAGATCTTGCCCTTTTGATTTACAGAGAACACATATTGATATTAGTGTGGAATTTGATCATTTGTTTTATTTAGTTCTGACATTGAATATGTTAGTACTGTATACTTGTTTTTCTGAATGGAAAAAAATTGAAATAGCAAAAAAATTAGTTGCAGGACTATCGAACTAGTGAGCACTACTGAGCAGATGGATCCTTTTTTCACCTTTTTTATTAAATAAATAGTTCCATTTTTGTAATTAATTTTAAAAAGAGTATTTTCTGTTAAATAATTTTTATCTGTTAAATAAACAGTTAATTTATAAGATTAGTAACAATTATGTTACTTGAAAGTACAATTATCTAAAAAAAATAGAAGGTAATTAAAAGGTTAGATGACGACAAAATAGAAGGTTAGATTTGGGCAATTAATTTTAATATAATGACATCAATATTTGAAACAGTTTTTGTTTTTGCCAACATATTTGAAACAATTATTTCCATCAATTGAATTAAAAGAATTTCCAGGTTCTTAGAAAAAGAAATTGATAAAAATTTCCAAGGAAGTGATGTTGTATTAATTGGATAAAGGTAAAAATGAAGGTCGTAAATCTTATATTAAGAAGAAACTAATGTATTTTCTTCTTCATCTATCTAAAAAAAACTTATAATTTTATAAACTATAACTTAAAAATCTGGCTCTGTAAGAAAAATCTGGTTCTGTGAATTAAAAATGGAAAAAAAAACTGGTCAGAGCGTCTCAAAGTTGAAAATCCAGTGCGAACCATGGTTGAGTTGAGTCAACCCACTTGTTGACAAAATCATATGGAAAATAGAAATAAACAAATTCATTGTCTAATTGCATTTACAGCTTACAGTCTCCTCTGTATTTAAATCTCGGAAGAAGTTGAAAACAGGTTAAAAAAAAAACCCAAAAAAACCTAAACGAAAAATAATGGCGGCATGATTTTCCCTCCTAATTCAAACCTTATTCTCGACTCAATTCCAGCTTCCCTCCAAATCGATCCGCTCATTTTCCAAATTCCCTCTCATTTTCAGAATTTCTGCTCTTAAATTTTCAGAAATTTCACAAAGTTTTGGAGCCAATCTTTAAAGTTCTTCCTTCCATTACTCACAGATCCATCCACGAGAGGTAGTAGCAGACTTCCCCCAAAGCTAAACCCTAGCTTCCACTTTCCCCTCTTCGCTCTCCTTTCTCGGAAAATTCGATTCGCGCTCTTCACCGGAAGCCTTGTCAAATGGCGGAGTTTTTCCAGTCGTGCGACCCACCACAACCACCGTCGCCTAAATATTCCAGCCCCGCCAAAACCCTAGATGAATCTTCACCAACCGCGCCGATTAGAGCCCTCGTCGCTAACTCCCTCGCTATCTCCTCGCCGATTCGCCAGATTCAGTCCTCTCCTCCGTCGAATTCGTTATGCCCAGGCGAATCTCCCTCCCCTCCTCCGTCGGATACGCCTTCTCCGCCCAATCTAGACGAAAACGAGTTCACAGACTCCTCAATCACGCCGCCGCCTCCGAACAACAGCGAAGTTCTCCAAATCGCGACTACCTCTTTCTCTCTCGACGACGACGACATAGACTCGGATAATCGCCCGCTAAAGAGCTACATAGCGAATCACGACTCTCGTAATCTTAACTTCGAGCCCGCAAAACCTTTCGATTTCTCATGGCAGGCTCTGAAGCGAGAACACACCGTCACCGGCGTGGTATGTTTCCTTTTTCCCCGCCTAAATCCTAAATCCTAAACCTAATTTCATTTTGGTTATCAAAATTGAGTCATTTGATTGTTCAATTTCTTCAGGGCGCTGGGTTATACAACTCAGGCAACACTTGTTTCATAGCTTCAGTGTTGCAATGCTTCACTCACACTGTGCCTCTTATCGAGAGCCTTCGCACATACAAATATCCAGACCCTTGCAACTGTAAGACCTCTCTGCTATTAGAATTGCTCCATGTTTGTTTGTTCATAGTTTTTGATCTTGTAGCTCGTTTGGATTTTCGTTTTCACAGGTGGAGATAACAAGTTCTGTGTCCTCCAGGCTCTCCAAAAGCATGTATATAACGCTCTCAAGTCTTCAGGATTTAGTCTAAGGATTGACCAATTTCGTGATAATCTGAATCGTAAGTTCTTGCTTTCTTTCTTGTTTGCATCAAGAAGCTCTCTATGAGAGGTACTCTATCTCTAGATGTAAGGGAAATTTTGTGTTTGAGATTTCTGAATGTTTTTTTATCTTTAAACCACCGCAGATATTTCACCTCACTTCCAAATTGGGCACCAAGAAGATTGTCATGAGTTTCTACAGTCGTTTTTGGATAAGTTAGAGAGATGTTGTGTGGATCGTAGAAGCCAACCTGACTCTGTACCTTCTCCAAATGTAAACTTTGTTGACCAGATCTTCGGTGGACGTCTCATGAGTAGGGTAAGAAAGAAAGTTAATTTTTCCACTGTTGGTTTGCAGCATTTTCCATATATGATTCTTGAATAATATGTTCTTTTTTTTAATCCTTTTTCCAGCTTCATTGCTGCAATTGCGATTCCTTTTCCGACACATTTGAGCCTTACCTTGGATATAGTCTTGAAATCGAAGACGTTGATGATCTTTATAGTGCGCTAGATTCCTTTACATGCGTTGAAAAACTCGAAGACTTTACATGTGAGAACTGCAAGGAGAAAGTCTCAAGGGAGAAGCAGCTCAAGTTCGATAAGCTCCCTCCGGTTGCTACGTTCCATCTGAAAAGATTCAAGAGCGATGGACATTATATGGAAAAGACCTTCAACCATGTCAAGTTCCCTTTGGAGTTGGATTTGCTTCCTTACATGAGCGATAACCACGATCCTCAAGTAAGAGTCAGACCTTTTCGTTTCTGTCAAAATCTGAGAGATTCGTCAAAGCCTTGAGGATTAAATCTTGATCTTTGTTTTTGCTTCTCTTCAGGTTCCTACAAAGTACCATCTTTACGCTATGGTGGAGCATTTTGGGAATGGAATATCCTTTGGACATTACTCGTCGTTTGTGAGATCAGCCCCTGAGACATGGCATAGTTTTGATGACGCAAATGTAATAAACGATCTCATTTTATCTGTATGGTTTGAGCTCTTCTCTGCAGGACTTCTCTGAAACGCACTTGTTTTTTCTTTGGCAGGTTACGAAAGTGAGCGAAGAAAGTGTTTTATCAGGGTATGCTTATATGTTATTCTACGCAAGAGAAGGAACTCCGTTCTTTGCTAGTGCCTTTGAAGAGCTCAAGACAAAATTGTTTGGAGTCGCTCCGTCGCAGTTCTCTCCAAAGTCAGTTCTTGAGAGCAGTCCCTGCAGGGAAGAGTCTGTATCTGACCACAGCTACGAGAACGTTTGCAATTCCAACAAAGCGTGTAACAAGGCATCGGTTGGAGTACCGATCCCTGGTGGAAACTACTCAGAAGAGTACCGTTGTAATGAGCCACAAGAAGAGTTGTATCATTCAGCAGAGTGTAGCAGCGACAGTGATTCTCCAACGTCTGATGCTTTCGACTCACCTGAGGCTGAGGAATTCGAGAAACCATTCGCTGAAACCTCTCACCGGGTAGAACCTATTGCTGAGAACAGAGCTCCCGTCGATGATGACCTTTCTTTGCCGCCTGAGCGCAAGATTCAGAATCAAGTCCCGTCTCCAAAACGAAAAGGTACTATCTCTTTACTATGAATCAACGTTATGAATAATACCATGGTCAAACCCCTAGAACAAACAAGAGTCATAATCCTCCAAACTTGAAACATCTAGTGTAATTTACAATGTCATGGACTAGATTAGCACAAGGCTTATTAGATTATCATTCTAGACTGGTTCTTATGTTGGTGTTGTGTGTATGATTCAATGTACAGCTGAGGAGAGAGAGGTGTATCAGCCTAATTTCAAGCTTCGAAAACAAAATCCCGTTCGGAGACAACAAGGTACTATACTTTATTATGTGCTTAATTATAGCAAGAGATACATGGAAAGATTCTGAGCTGTGTGTGTGTGTGTGATTATTCGTTGTACAGGAACATTTCAGATCCAACGTGACCATTTGCAAAATAAGAAGAAGAAAGAAGAAGAAGAAACTCGTGGAACAAAGCAGCAGCCATTTAGAGGCGTTACTGCTGCAGATCCTAAGGAGGCAGAACATGCTATGTCATATCTCAATAGGATGCCTAATAATGCACGCTCCCGAATGCTCGCAGCAACTTTGGGTGCTCCGCTCCAGAAAAAGAAAGTCTCTAACATCAAAAGATCGACCATGGGTCTTCACAGGAACCTCTCTGAACGTCCAACAAATGCAAATTTGGGTTTAAACTAGAACTTTTTTTCACTTTCTTTATTGCTCTGAAGAGTTGGTTAGATCAAATGAACATGTTCTTTTGTTGGTTTCTGTCTTTTTGGGGTTTTCTTGTGTATATCACTCTCAAATAATTTTGCAAGGTTCCAACCGAAAAAAACACCAAGGTTACAGTACAGTATAAGAGTAATGCATTTTGATGATGTAATAGTATGCTATAAGTAAGACAATAAATATTTAATTATTAGGAAATACAACAACATTCAATAACGGATACAAAATGTTTTCAAATAGGCATATTAATTTGTATACCCTTTCACAGATTATCTTTTATTTTCAAGCCTCTTTTTGGTTTTATCTTTCATGTTGGTTTCTTCATGGGGCATAGCCTCCACCGCCGTGTCCACCGCCTGAACCACCGCCACCACCACCGTAAGCACCTCCACCTCCACCTGAACCTCCTCCTGCGCCACCCCCACCGCCATATCCTCCTGCTGCACCTCCATAACCACCTCCTTCACCACCACCACCACCACTTCCATAACCACCTCCATGTGCTCCTCCTCCACCACTTCCTCCACCTGCACCGCCTCCATACCCTCCTGCTCCTGATCCACCTCCAGCTCCTCCTCCTTCACCGCCTCCATAAGCACCACCACCGTGAGACCCTCGACCAGCTGATCCTCCACCACCTCCATGGCCACCTCCACCACCAGCTCCACCTCCATACTCACCTCCACCCGCGCCACCACCTTCACCAGCTCCACTTCCATAACCACTAGCATGATCACCTCCACCACCGTAAGCCGATCCTCCACCGCTTCCGCTACCACCACCTCCTCCACCAGAATGACCACCAATTACACCACCAGCTCCTGCACCACCACCACTTCCATAACCACTAGCATGATCTCCTCCACCGCCATAAGCACTTCCACCACCGCTACCACTTCCTCCACCACCACCTCCAGCATGGCCACCATAACCACCAGCCGCTCCACCGTAACCGCCACCTCCTCCTTCTCCTCCACCACTAGCATATCCACCAGAAGAAGCAGCTCCTCCACCACCTCCACCATGACCACCACCACCACCAGCATGACCACCATAACCACCAGTTTCTCCACCGTAACCACCGCCTCCTCCTTCTCCTCCTCCACTAGCATATCCACCAGAAGAAGCAGCTCCACCACCGCCTCCACCCTGACCACCACCACCAGCATGACCACCATAACCACCAGTTGCTCCACCATAACCCCCTCCTCCGCCTTCTCCTCCTCCACTAGCGTATCCACCGGAAGAAGCAGCTCCACCACCGCCTCCACCATGACCAGCACCACCACCACCAGCATATCCTCCAGCTCCTCCATATCCACCACCACCTCCTTCTCCACTTCCACCACCATAACCACCACCACTCACTCCTCCATAACCTTCACCACCAGCATGTCCTCCACTGACACCACCGTAAGTTAAGAGAGTCCGGCTGGTGGCGTAGCAAATGCCAACGCCAAGTATAAGAAAAAAGACAGTCGAGAGAGCTTTGAGAGAAACCATTGTTTTGGTAGTAGAGTGAGTTTTGATTTGATGAACTAAAATGGAAAGGCTCAATGAGGTATTTATAGTGATTGGGGTTTGGTATCTTAAGCCGCGTCCACTGTGAAAAAAGTGGTTGTAGCACATAGGGGTGTCAAAATGGGTAACCCAACCCATCCAACCCATTATCCAAGTGGATTTAGTGCTAATGGATCATGGATTAATCCAATCCATTTAGGAAATGGGTTGGTTTGATCCATTATCCATTTAATTAGATGGTTTTAATGGGTTAATGGATGAATGGGTTAATGGATGATCCACAAACAAATATAACTAAAAATTTATATATATTAAAATAAAGATAACTAAACAAAATCTATAAACATCACAAAAATCTATAACCCATTAAATCTGTAAAATCGTAAAATCATGTCTTTCCGCCAAAATCGTAAATCACATCTTTCCGCCGAAACCGTAAAATCGCAAAACACGATTTTTCATCAAAACCGTAGAACCACGTTTCCGTCAAAAACATAAACTCACTGTTTTTTGCAACGTAAAATTGTGATTTATGCACAAAACAGTAAAATCACGTCTTTCTCCCTAAACTGTAAAATCACGTTTTTCAACCAAAACCGTAAAAATCAGTTTTTCCATCAAAACATAAAATCACAACTTTCCCCAAAAACCATGTTTTGCGGTTATGGCGGAAAACCTTGATTTTGCGGTTTTGATAGAAAACCGTGATTTTGCGGTTTTGGCGGGAAACCGTGATTTTGCGGTTTTGGCGGGAAACGTGATTTTGCGGTTTTGGGGGAAACCGTGATTTTGCGGTTTTGGCGGGAAACCGTGATTTTGCGGTTTTGGCGGGAAACGTGATTTTGCGGTTTTGGCGGGAAACGTGATTTTGCGATTTTGGCGGGAAATTCGTGATTTTGCGTTTTGGCGGGAAACTCGTGATTTTGCGGTTTTGGCGGGAAACGTGATTTTGCGATTTTGGCGGGAAACCGTGATTTTGCGATTTTGGCGGGAAACTCGTGATTTTGCGATTTTGGCGGGAAACTCGTGATTTTGCGATTTTGGCGGGAAACTCGTGATTTTGCGATTTTGGCGGGAAACTCGTGATTTTGCGGTTTTGGCGGGAAACTCGTGATTTTGCGGTTTTGGCGGGAAACTCGTGATTTTGCGGTTTTGGCGGGAAACCGTGATTTTGCGGTTTTGGCGGGAAACTCATGATTTTGCGATTTTGGCGGGAAACCGTGATATTGCGATTTTGGCGGGAAACTCGTGATTTTGCGGTTTTGGTGGGAAACCTTGGCGGAAAACTGTGATTTTGCGATTTATACCAAAATTGTAAAATCGTTTTTTTTGTCAAATTTGTAAGATCATTCTTTTATGGTATTGTATTCAAATCCAACCAAATACAATTTTGGATTTATTATGTGGGAAAAAACATTTGATGTATAATTGTTTTTTTTTTTTTAATAAAGTGGGTTAACCATTGATCCAACCCATTATAAACCAAACCATTTCAATCCAATCCAATTAATCCATCACCCATGTGAACCATTAACCCATTTGGATCCAAATTTTTAATCCATTTGGATTAATGGATAAGATGGATTGGGTCAACCCATGGATTTGGATCCATTTTGACACCCTACACATGCCTATGACTTGAAAAGTGTAGATTTACTGTCCCTACCATTACTCCTAATTTTGGTTACATTTTTTTCTCTAATCTAATCTCCATTTTGTAAGTTATGAGCCGAACATATTTATTATTTTTTAAAGAGAGAAATTATAATTCTGACATGTAAACAAATTTGGTTAATTCTAAGATGGTTTTGGCAATAAACCATACTTCTAGAATACTTTTATACTTTTAATAACAAATAGAAATCTTTAACTAACAACAGTTTGGGTTTTTGGCACTATGAATATATTAAAATTTTAAAATACAATGTCATTGATCTACATTGTTAAAATGAAATGAAAAAGTAGTTAGAATATCATTAACAAGTCACAATATAGTGAAGTATAGTGTCGAGTATATCCTTTTGACTTATATCCTCCAACCTTCAGGTAAGGTATACCAACCCATTAACTTCCAAACCAAAATCTTTTACTTTCACCTAAAAGTTTCTTTATTCTTTTACTTTCACCTAAAACTTATGTCTTGCTTTGTTATATAACTAACCACTTTTTCTACGTTAAATAATTCACACTTAACATAGATATATATATATATATATATGTGTACAGAGATATATTGCTTGTAGTTTTTATTAATTGGCCCAATATATGGATCAACGTACGTAGTAGCCTTTTGATTAACATTAAGGATGAACAATTTACAGTGTAATTATGACCAAGTTTTCAAAAAGCATGTCTTAAGTAGGCTACTGAACAGAAACATTGGTAAAAATAGTTTGATGGACAGTCTCTTTTACACAAAGAAGGTAAAAGCTAATTTTGGCATTTAATCCAAAAATACAGTATCGTGAATTACGGTATTGGGTATTCCTTATTCCCATACCCTCCATTCCTCACCAAATCGTCAAACATATTGTCTCCAATCAAGTTATATTTTCGTTAAAAAAAAAAATCATAACCAAGGTAGATCTTACGTCAAAATCCAGACTAATCTCTTGAACCTAGAAAAAAACATGTGTTCTTGCCATTTAATACGTTTACAATGACCAAGAGAGAACCAATAGTAGATGTGAAACTCGATTTTTGTATCAAGACCAAGATTTGACCCATACCATATGATGAGTCCTCTATCCATTTATACAAATCATTGAGTTACACGCTCTTGGTTTTTCTTTGAAACAATTTTATTTTATTTTTTCTTTAGATCTTTTTTCTTTTCTTGTAAGACTTATATTTTGCATTGAGCTAAGCTCTTAGTTTCTTCTAAGTCTTGTATATCTTGCACTGTGCTACCACTGCTAAGCCATTACTTCTTTATTCCTTTAGTTTCTGCTAAGTCCATATTCTTCTCTCTTTTTTTTTGACATCACGTAAATATATTCGCATGTAGAAGAACGCGTAGGTCAATTACCCCCAATGTATTTATTAAGAGCCTAAATGTTTTCCGACGAGAGCTCGCTTCTAGAAAGTTGGAATCAAATTCTGATTATTTTAATGCACAAAAATTTGGTATCAAACATTATGAATTGAAAATTATGAAAACTGAGCATATGAAAGTTCCACAAAGAAAGGATAAAAAAACCCTTTTATAAAAGAAAAAAAAAACATATGAATTGAAACAAAACAAAACAAATTTCGGTACGTAAGAGACTACTACTTATTAATGCGTCTTAGCATTGCCACTAATAAGAAGACATATCAAGATTTTGAGACTTTGGTGCTGTCCAGCCAATGACCACTTCTCTACCTATTATGTCGCCAATACAATGAAATAAAATATATACAAAAACAATTCAATAAGTGTACATACTGCACTTATCCTAAGTTGCAATCAATATATATAAAAATGAAACAACAACAACGATTCTTGTTAGACTCATGAAGATATATGTTTGGAATTTCAAGGATAATTGGTAATATAGTTACTAATAAAGAAAGGCTATTGATATATTGCGTCGACCAAAATATAAACAAATTGATAGTATTGCGGATTACTAGACTACAACCCGACTCATTTGACAATATAATATATCTATTGTATGTGTGTGCTCTCAGAGGAATTTAAGCATAGTGTCTATGAACTAAACAAATAAGTTTTTGGAGAAAACTTTTGACAAATGAAGAGCTCAAGCTTTTGGCATTGTCAAAAGGATAAGCACCCAATTTACCCATAATTGGTTCCAGCAAAATACAGTTTTGCTCCATCGAGAGAAGATGGTAATGATGATACGTATGTACATATACATATGGATGGGTATATGTACAGCTTCATACGCAATACAAAGTGGGAGATCACATGGAAAAAAAAGCACACACCGTCGTTGTTGAATATTGGCGTGAAGAAGAAGTAGTGTAGGACCAGTACTAGTACTATAGTGCTCTTCTTGTTTCACTTATTTTACATGCTTCCTCAAAAAAAGCTTAATCACTTAGTTTTCTCAATCGAGTCATAAACCCCACACAATGTATCATAGAGTTCAATGTTGATATGATCAAGAAAGTGTGCTCCTTTGAATCATCAAGTATCTCAGTGCAGGCTCAATATTCATAAGGGAAGTTTGGATTCGGAACAATGAGAACAATTCAAACGACAAAACATGGTGGTTCTTATAAACCATCCAACACATAACTATATTGGATTAAGTTACTATTTATACTTCTTCTTTTTTTGGGGTAAAATGTGAAAGTTACTATATATACTATACTCAAACATGACACTTATGTCACACTGACTTGTTCCTGGTTTTCTGTTTACAATTTCTTTGCAAAAATGATGAGTTTAAACCAACGGCGCTTAACCCTAATTTCATCAAATCATCACAACTCTGGAGACAACAGAACTCGACAACATGCATCTCAATTAATGACGATATTTGGCTCATTTCTAGTTATCGTGGTTGCTACGCCAAATATTTACTGGGGATTCGGAATATATACAATATAAAGCGATTTTGTACTTAAAGAGTCTTATCGAGATTGCACTAATTAAGACAAAGCGTTTGGTCCCTCACTGACAATGGAGATCACATACGTCTGACAACAACATACAACAACAAAAAAGTCCACTAGTATATTTTTGGTTTCGCTCACACATGACACATCATTCAGAAATTTTTTGAAACGACAAAAAAAGGAGAGAAAACAAAGCAAAGTGCGTATAAGTTAGGCATTATAAAGCCGCAAACGAATCTCCTTGCCTACTTCCCCTACCACCAACTTCAGTAAACAGTAGTCGCAGTACCACTCATCAAACCGTAATGTTGTATGTACTTTAATATACTACAAAATATTACATTTAAAAAAAAGTAATAAAAAACCATTCTCCAAAAATATAACAAGCTTTTTCTAATAGTAACACGAATACACCATAAAAGAAATAAGAACAATTCTCAAAACTCTTTTTTAATGAAAAAATTCTAAACCCTAATTTGGGAAAAGAAAACTCAAACATAATGTTTTGACTTTTAATCTTATGTGTAACTTATCTAGGGTAAAAAGTGTTTCCATAACAGTTTGTGCTACTTTTAGAATTTTTAAGTTTGCTAAATTTTTGTTAGGGTATTTCTCGTATATAAAAAATACCATAAATTTTAGGACTAAGATTGCAATGACCATTGAATAAGGGTTCCGAAACCATTGATCATTCCTAAACGTAAACTTTATGGTGTTTTGTAAAATTTTAGTTTTTGATGAAAGTTTTGGTAAATGAAACAGAAAATATGATATTTTATGGCATCTCCAATGTATTGCCCCATATTTAGCTCCAAAATAAATGAATCTAAAAATGGAGTTAGGTTTTGCTCCAATGTATTGCCTCATTTTTTACTTCAAAATGAATATTCTAAGTATTATTTTTGAAAAACTTTTTATTAATTACTAAATTTACATTGTATATTTATATATACTACAAATTTCCCCATAATTTTTTTCTTCAAAACTTTCACTTTCTATTGTAACTATTTAAACTAATTATGAAAATATTAAAAATACATTATTACAAGATTAAAAATAACAACACAAACTGGATTTTATTTTTAATTAGAACCATTTGAATATTTTACCCAGAAATGATCAACTAAACTATTTTGAAGAGAGAAATGAGCATCTTTATCTTTGATCTCTTTAAATCGAGCAAGAAAATTTTGGAACCGACATTGTTTGCGGCTATTTCGACTTATGGAAGTCATTATACATGTTATATAAAATTATACATATAGTCATTATGTTATGTAAGTCTTCCTTTTTCCAAAAACAACTGCTCATTTCACAATTTTTCCTGAAAGTATTTTTTCTTTCTTTTTAAAATTATTATTAGCTTAAATAATTAAAGATGTGTTATTTATATTTTAGAGTTAAAATAAACATCAAAATAAATAATTATATATTTTAACTGAAATAATTTAAAACTTCAAAGACTCTTATATAAATTAAAAGCTTCAACTCCAAAATGGAGATGAAAATGGGATCATCCCTAATTTAAGAAAAAATATGGTATTTTTGCCATTTTGAGATTGAAAATGGTGTTGGACTGGAGCAAAATTGACTCCAAAATGGTAATAAAAGTGAAATATGGAGCTAGAATAAATTAGTTGGTTTCCTTCTTAAAGAAAATATGATATTTAAAAAAATTTGAAAGGTTTGTGATGAAAGGTTTGAAAATATAAATTAGTTTGTGATGAAAGGTTTGAAACTTTTGACGATTATTGAAACATCTTCTTACTCCTCAGATTAAAACTCTGCCACTGAATTTTCAAAATGTTCACAGTGACTAAAATCTAGAAATATCAGCCTGACCAAAAAGATAAGCAAGAAGCACACTAACTATTAACATATTAAACCACAAATGATCATTACAAAGGTCTTACACTCATACTCCAAAACTAGCAAAATATCGAATTTTGAGCTATACAAAAACTTAGAAAAGAGATTGTAACTAATTACCGTTTAGAAGAAACAAAAGCTTTCAATTCATCAAAAGCTAAACATTGATCATAATTCCAAAACATTCGATCATTACACATTACACTACGGAGATCTTTAGTCCAAACATAGTAACAAAGATCGAATTTTGAGCTACACCCATGTGTGAGATTGCAATGACCACTCGAATCAAACAGTCTTTCAATCGGTAGTAGAAGAAGACACAAAATCTTCAAATTCATCAAGAACAGAGCCTAACATACAAAACGCCGTCGTTTTCACCGAATTCACACATCCCACACTTTACTTTCCTCTCCCACAATCTCTCACCGAATCTACGATGAGCAAAGTAAGCCTCCGCCGAAACGACGCCGTTAGATTCTTCCACTTCCTCATCCTCAACAACCTCGATCGGTAATCTCTCGTAATGCTCGACTTTGATCCCTTCCAATTCGTCAAGCCTTGCAAGCCCGCGGTCTGAAACCGAGTAAAGCTCCCCTCGGATCCGTTTACCCGACTCAGATTGGTTGATCAAGTAAGGAATCCCGTAGAGACCCGTAACGAGCGGGTACTGTAGCCGGGTCGTGCGTTGGCCGACGAAAACAGCGTCGTTTTGGGTGATCAGATCTTCTAGGAGGAAATGGTTTGTATGGTTTCTTTTCAATGTTCCGTATACGAAAATGAGCTTCTTGTTGTGTCCTCCTCCCATGGTTTCGCGAGAGTCGTGAAGGTGAGTTTGTAAGACTCGGAAAAGTTTTGATCTCCTCTTGCATATAAGATATAAATGGCCTTTTAAATAGTATAATGGGCTTTTCGAAGCCCACGTGTTTGACAACTGAATTTTAAAGAAATGACAACGGGCCCACGTTGGAGATGAGTGGGGGCATGTGTCCCATGCTAAATCTCTAAATTTCATGTAAAAGTAAATGTACGAGAAAGAATTTAGTTAGCTCGATTGGTTTCACTGCTAAATTTTCCACCTTGTTAACTCTAGTTCAAGTGATTTCCTTGATATTTATTGTCTTTTAATTTTTTTTTTTTTTTTTAACTCTGATTGTTTTAAAACTTTAAAAAATAAAACTAAGTGATAATGATATATTTCTATAACTATAATATATTTTGATGTTTTGAGCTATTCAAAAGATAATCAGCATCAACTTAGTGGCTTAGCTGACATGGTACGCGATTTGCTTACCATTCCTATTACCATTGTGGCATCGGAATCAACTTTTAGCATTGGAGCTCGAACTCGTGTTTTGACACCATACAGAAACCAGAAACCGCTTACTTTCAAAGAATGTTCAAACTTTACTATACACTAGGAATTGGCTACGAGGTTATGCAAAATATGAAGATACCATAAAAGATACCAATGAGGCGAGTAGCTCGGGAATAGAAGGATCAACATCATGAGATTCTATACCATGAGGTTTGTGTACTGCTCTCTTGAGCTCTTTGTATCCCTAGATCGCACTTTTGTTTGCTTGGTTCCTCCAAAATTTAGTTAATGAACAAGACGAATACTGAATTTAATAGGGGGAATTGTGATTATACACAGAAAAGAGGGAAGGTTTGTCCATATACACATTTTCATGTTTTTACCTATTTTTGCCTTTAATATCCTTTATATATTTTAAAATATGAGATAGTTTATTTTAGAAACCCAAAATATTTATAAAAATCAGATAAATGATCTTAAGACTTTGTATAATATTTTCACAATTTGTTTTCAACAATATGATTTTTGAAAAATATATTGAAGGTTTCTTCTACCAGCTCTGAAATTCAAAGTAGAATATGTATCCTACTCGTTTTTATTACATCTACTGGCCCTAGAATTCGATGTCTACCATTTCTACACACATCATGTTCTGCCGAAAACAAATATTCCTACATGTTGTAGAATATGTTGTCTACTTGAAACACAGCCTTCTACGTATTCGTAGATTTTGTATTCTATCACATACATTATCTCTTACCATTCGTATTCTACTAAAAACCACTTTTCTACCATGTGGTAGAGCTCGTGTTCTGCTAAAAAACAGTCTTCTACCAAATGTAGAAATCATCTTCTGCCGGAAATCTTAGAGAATATTAACAAATATTTTCTTTCCTTGTTCTTATCCCAACTTCTCCCACGACGAAATTGTAGCAAATTCTTTCTCCATCCCATCTTCTTAGTCCATCTTCATCTTCTTCTTCTTCTCCTATACACAAAACTTACTAGTTTCTCTTATTCCTCTTAGTTACTATGTTGCAAATCTATGTTACTTGTGGTGTTTGGAGGAGAAGAACAGACGGCAACAACAAAGATTATGTAATAGAAGAGGCGCCGAAGGATTATGTGACGGAAGAGAGAGCAACGACGGAGAAAAAAAATGTCGCAGAAGAAAAAAAATGTCGGCGAAGAAGAAGAGAGGAGAGATGTCGGGGAAGAAAGGAAATTTGTTTACTTTTATGTTTATTTAAAAATATCCCAATTAAAGGGTTAATACCTTTAATCAATTTTAAGGGTAAAAAGGGATTATAAGTTTATAAAATGTGTAGTGGGACAAAAATCTCTCTAAATTGTGTATTGGGACAAAGATTCTCCCAAAGCTGTGTATTTTGCCAATTTTCTCAATTTAATATTTGTATGTTCTTTTTGATTTTGTGATTTCAAGAGACACAAGATTTAGTCTCTTCCATTTGAAGAGGCGAGATTTAATGGCTCCAAATGATATTACCATCTATGAAGCTGAAGTTGGATATGCTGCTTAAGTACATTTCCTAATGCACTTTCATCGGAAAAAATGAATCTAAATCATTGAACTCTGTAGTACATGTTCTTGCTTCCTCAATTCTTCTTTTTTGCACCATTTTCATTAAGCTTTCATCGAATGGAAATCAAACAAAACAAATTTTAATGCTCTTTTTTTTTTTTTTTTTTTTTTTTTCTGGATGCTTTTGATTCAATAAAGGGTTCACACAGACATTAAAAAAAAAAGTAAATTGTTAAAAAAAAAATTACATGGGCTTCAACGGGCTCGTATCAGCCCGGTGATTAGTTTTAAATGGGAAAAAAAGAGCATTAACGAGTAGGGCTATAACGGGGTCGGGCTTAAGCGGACAATGTCTAAACAGACCCAAACCGCCCATATTAAAAGTACTAAGCTGTGCTAGTAAATTGTCCATTTGAAAAAAAATTTAAGTAGACTAGGTAGATACCCGCGCTTCGCTGCGGGAGATTTCTGTTCTTTTTTTTTAACCATGTTATAAATTTTATACATATTATATTTTGATATTTTATAATTTTTCAGAGACCAAAAGAGATCACCATAGCATACTCTTAAAAAATTAAAACCACTTAACCTTAACCAAACTCCCAAATAGAAACTGTAACTTAAAACTTCTCAACAGCTTTTGGAAGTGCAACAAAATTCAATCAACAAAGTGCTTAATTATGCAAAGGAGACTCAATGAAAGAGAAGAGTTAACTTAGTAAGTTTATAGCGTAATAAGTACATCAAAGCCATTTGCTTATAGAGAAGTTAAACAAAATAAGCTATGAATGACAGAATAAGCACATTGTGCCACAAAATGCATTCCCAAAACGCTATAGAAAAACTTGAAAAGCCATTAAAGGTTTGAGCTTTAAGAACCATTTTTCTCAGCATTCTTCCTGCTGAGCTTCATGTGGATGATGATCATGGGGATGAAGAACCTGACCTTGTTGTTCTTGCCCCATTCACTGATAAATCTGTCGATTCAAAACCCCATCTTGAGACAAGTACCCTAATCCAAGTTCAGACATTTGATTACTCGCAAAACCCATCTCTGAAGAACCATCGAGACCAAACCCAAACAACCTAATTAGATACAGATTATTGGAAATTGCATGTTTGGTCATAGAGGACACATGGAAACTCAAATCATATCCCTTTATCATTTTTGAAAGTTTCAATTCGCCATCCATTTGGTTGTGAATAATCTGCAATCAAATTCCACAATTTACCAATTTTTAGAATATTATCACATAAACAATTATCCAAACAATTTAACTCATAGATTAGTTTCTGGATTTGTTTTTTTCCAACAAATAGGAAAAAAATGTAAAATAAAAATAGAAAAGTAAACAATCCTGATTTTATTGAGGTTAACTCCATTAGTAAACAATTATCGTCATATCTTGATCAATGAAGAAAAGCGAGAAAACAAATAAAACCTGTTTGACGTGGTAAATAAAGCTGAGGTGTACTGAATAAAAACTGACTGGTATTATTTAGAATGTTTCCATTGGTTGCTTGTTTTTAATGATGTGTCACCCTCAAAAAACTTAAAAAAGCTAAGGTGTCATCACCTAAAGAGGCACAAAGGTTTTTGTTGAAGGTTTTTGTTGTGTTGATTCCTTTAATATATCTTATAAAAGGGTGATTAATTCGGATTTCCGATCAGAATTAAGTTTGATTTTTTCCGATTCTAATTGTTTGGTTAAAAAAGCAAATAGTTAACGAACTTAAACAATATTTATATTGGTTCAGTTCAGTTCAAAGTTAGTAAACTGATTTTTTTAGTTTAAACCTGAATAAACTGTAAGTATAATCTATATGATTTAGGATTGTATAAAATTGGGTTTGACAATTTAACTTATAGTTTTAATTGTCAGCTATAAAAATGATATCGCTAATCAAGAACAAAAAAGCATAACTCTAGGTAATGTCAATACAGAAGATCGGTTCCGTTCGCTCCGACATGCATTGAGCGAAAAACATTGGGAAGCTGACATATTTATATTATTAATTGAGAAGTACATTCTAATGTTTAGATATAAGAATAAAAGCGAAAAAACTGTTTGGATACAAAACTAAGAGACTGTTTGGATATAAAATAATAACTTAAAACAAACCGATGGTTAAAAAAACACAAAAGACTGACCACATACATAATAATTTAAAACAAACATGAAGATGGTCAAGTCAAACCAGAAATCAATTATGTTAATTAATCGGTTCACATGTTTTTTCATAGGTTTGCGAGTGATCGGTCGGTTTGGATAGGTACCTTCGGTCCAGGTCTATCAGATAGTTGGTTTTTGTAGCCACATAGTCCGAATGAATCTGGGTTCGCTATCGGCCGAGTCCATTCAGGTTCGGGTATGTTTAGGTTTAAACCAAAAACTTAATATTTTACAATATTCATTCTGTTAATTAATCGGGTTGGATACCAAAATTAAATTGACAATAAAAATAATAATTTAATCTTGTGTTACTATTGCGCGGGCTGACTACTAGTGTACATACTACATAGTTACATACTACTAATGTTACACAAAACTTCCAATAACTTTTCTTTTCCATTTTCTTGTTTAGCAAATTTTAGTCTCTGAATAGTTTTTACACTAATTTTAGCGGTGCATTAGTATTACTAGAAGAATTGTATCCACTAAAATGCGTTCATAGTGAAAGGCACCAAATAGTTGCGCTCCAACACCTTTTTAATTTATTTATTTTGAAATGATGACAATACAAGCTTTATGTGAATTTGGGACTCTTTAAAATGGCAATTTAAAAAAACCCTGCCATTTACACGCTCGTACTTTTTAAAATTGTCCATAGAAAATGCCGTGAAAAATGATGTAATATCCGTACAGAAGACTTCAGAAGTGAGAAAATATAGTAAGTCAACGGTCAACGCCTTGAAAGCTGGAAATTGCAGCAACCAATGCCGGTT